GCTTGAAGCCCTTACCACCTCTACCTCCGCCAACAAAGCAAGGCTCGAAGCGCCTCCAGCCCCATGTGGTGTCCCCGACGCCTTCTGAGTTTCTACTTGTGACCGGAACCGAGGAAACAGAACCGGGCGTTGGGATGTTCGTCGACATGGACGGTGAAGTTGTTCGGGGAACAATCAACTTTCACAGATTCCCGAAGTCGGTTGTGATTGATACAAACGATGATGGAATGCTCCAGACTAGTGAAGATGCTAAAGAGGAGTTTGTTCTCGCTGTCATCGAAGATGAAGACGCTGGGAAGCCTCGAACCAGACTCGAAATCCAACGTTGGGATGACGACCCAGGGGAGATTGAGCGAACCAAGAGCTGGTTAGAGATACCATCTCTTGGAGAGACACGAGCTACTCAAGTTGGCCTCCGACATACCCTCAGCCCTAGTCACCTTGAGCTCAATGAAATCGGGCAGCTGTTGCGGATGGTCCGCTTCAAAAGCCCCATGCTGCCCCCGCATGTGTCAGTAGCAGATTCAAGAACCCAGGCATCAATAGAGCACTCCCAAAAGGAGAAAGAGCTATTCGATTTGCAAGAATTGACCGACTCGGAGGGATCCAAGAAGAGTGACGGTCCAGCAAGCCAGGGCTGGGAGGTTCAACGCGATGCAGAAGAAGCAAAATTTGCACGCGGACTGGGCAAGGTCCAAAGCAGTCTTGTCATGTGGTCCGGATCTCAAATATGGCGCGTACTGCAGAATCCATTGACAGTCCAGCTGGAGGACACCTTGCAGAGGGCCCAGGAGACAGAAGAGGGCAAGCATATGGTGTTGCGTAGGGATGTTATTCTGGATTTTTTGCTCTCCGTCCAGGACACCGATCCAAAGACCGAGGCCGAATTCATTGGATTGAGCTATGTGAAACAAAAGGCCAGCCTTATGCTTTATGGAGACCTTCTTTCCACGCAACCAGATGACCGCAATGCCACAGCAATCGATGAAACCGAGAAAGCCCTACTGGCAGGTAACCTCGACCCGCGTTTGGCGTTGCTGTTCATTCCTCTGCTGCGATGTGAGGTTTTGCAGGGGCCTCAGGGTATATGGATACATGCTGGGCTGGCAAGCATGGCGGAAAAATACATTGAACAGGTCGGAAAGATAGGCGTCGAATCGTCTGGATTGGATGCTGCTCGCAGTCCTGTTCTCAACATGGTGAAGCGTTTCCTTCTCTCCTGGCAGCAGAAGCGGGGATATGGTAGTATCACCGATGAGGCATATGTTTTGGATAGCACAGATGCCGCGCTGTTGCACCTGACCTTGGAACAAGATGCCTATCTGACGCAAGATCAGCGGGCAGCGTCGCCAATTCGCCCTGAGTTGAATAGGCTGGTTGACAATTGGAAAGGCAATTTCGACCGGGCAGTGATGCTCCTGGAAACATACAAGCGACTCTACGTGCTAAGCCGTTTGTATCAAAGCCAAAAGATGTCCCGAAATGTTCTTAAAACCTGGCGACGAATCGTGGACGGGGAGACCGACGCTGGCGGAGAGGTCTCCGCAAATGGCGTGGAAACGCAGATGCGCAGGTACTTGGTCAAGATCAAGGACGTGCAGCTGGTTGAAGAGTATGGCTCTTGGCTGGCTAAGCGAAACCCCGATCTCGGCATCCAGGTATTCGCAGACAATGCCAGCCGTGTTAGACTGGAACCGGCGGATGTTGTTGCTTTACTCAAGGAGCGAGCTCCAAACGCGGTTCAGGTCTACCTGGAGCACCTGGTATTTGCAAAGAATGTGAGACTTCCTGTGACCTTAGTTCATGCCAATCTAACTGACCTGTGAATACAGTACACGCAATATGCCGACGACCTGATCTCATACTACTTAGACACGGTACTCTCCGTGCTCGAGTCATCCCCCGAAGCACGAGCTTCTTTGGCCGACTCATACTCAACCTATCGAGCCCTGCGTGCCCCCAAACCCACATACCTAAACTTCATAATTGAGAACACCCCCGTAGAGCCCTGGTGGCAGTCCCGACTCCGGTTACTTCAGCTGCTGGGTGGAATCTCCGGCTCCCAATTCACCTCGCAACCCTTCCCAACACGAATCAGTTACTCAATTCCCAACGTCCTCACTCGCATAGAGCCGTTCCAGAACGAACTAGTCTCAGAATGCATTATCCTCGACGGCCTACAGGGCCACCACCGCCCGGCCCTCCGTCTCCTCACACACGGGCTAGGCGACTACGACTCCGCAATCCGCTACTGTCTCTTCGGCGGCCCGCGCGGCTATTCTTCCTCCTCAACAGGCACACCGCCAGAACTAGCAGACTACACCCTTCAGTCAACGCTCTTCCGCCACCTGCTCGACGAGTTCCTGCACATCGAGGACCTGTCAGACCGCATCGAGCGCACAAGCGATCTCCTCGCGCGCTTCGCGCCGTGGTTCGATGTCCGCGAAGTCCTAGATCTTGTCCCGGAGGACTGGAGCGTTGATATTCTCGGCGACTTCTTTGTGCACGTTTTCCGCACCCTTGTGTCGCAGACCCGCGAGACCCGCATCGAGCGTGCCCTTAGCGCGGGTCTGAATCTGCGCATTGGTGCCGAGTATATCGATGGCATGGAGAAGGTTGGGCCCTGGGTTGAGGAGGCAGAGGGTGTGAGAAGGTTGAAGAAGGCACAGCCGCGGCAGGTTTCCTTGCCAATTGATGATCCTAGCGATGGTGCTTCTGATGATTCCGAGTTTGGAGATACGGTGGGGCCTACATCTGGGGAAGTGGGCCAGTAGATCGGCGATCGAGGGAATGTACAGGATAGTACGTGAATATGTTATGTTGGCTTTTAATCTATGATACCTATGCAGTTTGCTTGGATACCTTTCGTGACAACTTTGTTATTTTTTTGGTTATATCCTAGTTTGGTTTTGGCGCTATGTATCATGAGCTGATCCCAAATTCATCTCCTTCCGTGAAAAGAAAAAAAAGAGACGAAAGACAGAACTTCACCACAACGGTCGGCAGTCCCACCATGCACATTCCAAAGTCGACATAAAAGAAAAAAAAGCGAAACCATCATATTGCGTTCGTTCCCTTCGTAGCTGCTGATGAGCGTATGTTCTTCCGGCGAACGCCGAAAGCCAGTGGGACATTAAGGTGTGTAGTGCTTTGAAGCTTCAGCCAGACCTAGGATGTCTATTTCCCGAAATGACATCCAGCTCCGGAATGAATGAAACCCGGAAAGAAGATAATAGGTGAGAAAGAGTGCCCTTTTTCTATTCCTCTGCTTGCAAGAAAGGGTTGGGGATCTCCTCGCTGCCATCGGCGGGGGAGATAAGTACGATCAAAGTGCCACGGGCGACAATCAGACCCATTGAGCGGGTGGTAGTGTTGCCCTCCTCATCTGTGGAAGTTAGTATATGAAAAACAGAGATATGGAGATCAAATTCAAGTAAGAAACTTGGAACTCACCACGCATGGTTTCCTTAACGTCGTCGAGGACCAGGTTCATCAGCTGGTCGTAACCCTTGAGGGTACCGGTGACTGTTATTGGAGTTAGTATATAGTTCATAAACGGCGATGAAAAGTCACCAAAGACCAAAAGCAGAAGAAAAAGCCAAAGTAAAAACAAGAACAAAAAGGGACATATGAGAAGAAATCAGTCCAACATACCCTCACGACCACCATTGAACTTCACTTGAACTTCCTTGTCCATGTACTTGTTGAGATCCAAGATGTTTTCCTTTTTGGGCTTCTCCTGTGCACCGCCACCACCGCCACTTTTCTGCTGGCCCTGGCCGCCGCGGCCTCCACGACCGCGACCGCCTCGGAATGAGCCTCGTTCAGACATGGCCTGTGAAATTGAGGGATTTAGAAAATGGAAGGAAGATATTAGAGAAGGGAAGTAAGATTGGACCTATCCGAGAGACACAGACTCGTATCTCTTGTATCTCTGTGTATGGGGGGATAGCGGAAGGTACAAGCAAGGTGGGCGCGTATATGAGGGAATTTTTGGTTGAGAGTGGCCTAAGGCAGAGTAGAAGTAGGAGTCCGCCTTGGTATGGAGATTACCAATTATCACTGTATTATTGCATTTGACAGCCACGAGGGATCCCGCCCGGACGTATTTTACAGGTATATTACAGGTATCTTATCAGTTTTGATCGGAACATTTCAATGTTGAAGGCTTTTGACATTCTTTCTCAATTGAAGGTACTTAGATGCGTTATTTATGTATCTCTTTGTTGATTTTTTTAAGTAATCTGACCGCCAAATGATTATCATTGTGATTTCCTCCGAGCTCCTGGGACCAAAATGTTTCAGCCCGCTGGCCCGTTCAGGCATCAGCGAAATGATCTCCCCACAAGGCTCAAGGCTTAATTTTATAGTGATTGAGAGATAAGAAGGGCCTATAGAATGATCTGGGACTGTCCTTATGTAGGCTTCTCTCTGCATACAAGACGTGTGAGACTATAGGCAAGGCGTACTGTCGTACACCTGTTTAACCAGCGTATCGCAGGCCAGCGGAACCCTCCGGCGGGACTCCGCTGAGGACACTCAAAGGTCACCAGGTACTTCGGTGGAAGACCCTCACATTGTGCAAGTTGCAATTTGAATTTCTGCTGCAACGCTATTCGTCAATCATAAAGAGGAAAAACACAAGAGAATAATAAAAAGAAAAGAATTCTCCAAATCCCGGAGCCAACGGAGACACAGATCACGTTTTTCCTCTCCACTCCCCGTGCGTTGTTCCGTCCCCCCTCTGTCCTCTGTAGGCGCCCTACATTTTCTCTTTTCATTTCTTCACCTTCATGGATGTAGCCTGAGCCTTATAAAAGGAGTTACCTGCCGGTTACTCTCCGCGCAAGTCCGGTCTATCTCCGCACAAGTTTCATAATCCGCGCTCTTATCTGAACACTCCGCGACTTCTCTCTTTCCTCCCAACCTCCAATCCCTTTCCATATCGAAAATCCAGTGTATCAGGGTGTACATAGGGCGCCTTTCCACTTCCGCCCACAATGGAATCCCACGCCCAAACAGCGGAGTCTTCTCACAAACGGCCTCGGTCTCCCACCGCCGATCATGGCATGTCGTCGAAAGTGCCCAAGACGCACTCGAACCACCTGCAGATTAACTATTTGGCACGACAGTACCCTGACAACCTACCGCTCGTCTCCGTCGATGATACCATGCCTGCGATCATCCATCTGCTCGGCGAATACGACGGCGTTCTACACCGCCACGAGAGCATCGCCGGAAACCTGGGCGCATGTCCGCTCGGTCCGATCTTGATCAAACGCTTCGAGCGCCTGTTCGATGGACCCCCGCAAGTTTTGAAATCCCATGGCAAAGACGGACCTACGGTGACGTGGCTCGATGTGGTCGAATTTGCGAAGAATAAACCCGAGCAGTTCAATCTGGAGAAGTCGCGTAACGGCGTGCGAGTCTGCCAGTTCTATACCAAGCAGTGTCGCGTGGAAATCAGCGAGGAGGATTTCGTTTTGATTGCTTCCGGCATGCCGCAGAAGATGATCCCGCCCCAACCTATCATTGAGGACGAGGAAAAGGAGCTGGGCGCGCTGGAGATTCTTGAGAAGAACTTGCAACATATAATTCAGATGGCCGATCAAGGTAAGCAATCACTATGTACCTATATCAGCTTAGGAGGTGTTCGCTGACAAGTTTTGTGTGTTTAGTCTCTGCCCGAGCGAGACAGCTTAACCATCGTTTGAAGAACCGCCGCAATGCTATTATCACCCGACGAGAGAATGATGCTTCTCTACATTCGCAGACCCGAAATGTCAGCGAAATCTGGCGCGATGCCAACGGTCATGGCCTAGGAAACGGGCATGGATCATCTCACCCTTCTCCGTCTGGTTTCGTCGCTGTCAACACTCATCGTCCTGAAGGCGAGCACACCGAGGAGAACCCTTTATCATCCCAATTCATGTTCTCACAATCCAACACCGATAATGTCACCATGATCAACGGGCAATCGATCAAAGGCGCCTCCCCGACAACCCGGGCAGACTTGATGAAGAGGTTTTTCACAACAGCTGACCGCCACGCCCGCGGCTACGACGACGTAACAACCCCAGCCAACCCTCAACCACTCTCTCGGCCTCGTGCCTCCGAGCCAGCAGACTACAGTCTCTACAACCCCGCGACGGTAAACGCGGTCGCTATCCCAAACACCCCATCATCCCTCCTCCCGCCGCCAAAATCAATTCACCAAGAAAAAGACGACGGAGGCCCCTTCAAGCTAGAAATGGTAGCCCGCATGGAAGAGCTCCAGCGCGGCGAACGCGTAATCCCACCCTGCGACCGCTGCCGCCGCCTCCACATGGACTGCCTTAAGAACCTCACAGCGTGCGTTGGTTGCACAAAGAAACACGCCAAGTGCTCCTGGCGCGACGTCAAAGAAGAAGAAGTCACAGCAATGCGGGCGGGACACACCGCATCGACGGTATCCCACGAGCGCCAGGACAACGACCGCACCAACGCAAACATTACCCCACCCCAGTTTGCTATGGGTCCACTTCCCCCGATCTCCGCCGAGCGTGAGCATCCCCGAGAACCGCCCTTTGAGCCAGAGGTCCACGCCTACTACTATCAACACCGACGCGAGTCAGCTCCCTCAGCCCCGAACCTGGCTCCTGGTTCTGCAGTTCCGATGGAGCTCCCTTCAAATGATAATTCCCCGCGACGGGCAGTGAGTGAGACAGAGAAAAGGGACCGCCCTCATATCCCTGCTGGTCGTGTCTTGGATCGCCCCGAGGATGAGGATCCCGATGCCAATCAGCGGCTCAGACAGGCTATCTTGGATACTGTGGATCATCACACACGTGTCGCTGCGGCTGTGCAGGAGAGGGAGCGTGGTGCGGAGCGTGGGGAACACCCAGGTATGGGCAGTGGTGGTGTTCTTCCTGCTCCAGGCTCTGCTCCGGTTTCTGGTGCTGGCTATGACCGAGAACGAGAACGGGAGCGGGAGCGGGAGGCTGATCGTGATCGTGACCGGCGTATGGTGCATGCGTAAAGTATTGGCTTTTCTATTGATTTGTGTATACTCTCTCTCTGTTCTCTTTTGTTTTTACATATTGGCAAAATGGGTTGGGCGTGGGAGTACTATGTTAGATATCCCTCTGGTTAGCGTTCCTTTTTTCTCTTTCTTCTTCCATTTAAATATCTCTCACATGCTCTCCTTCTCTGAATAACTATGTAAATATATCATTTACCTCTGATGCTCGTGAATAGCTTCAGTTCTATGTTGCTATAGCCAGCCAAGACAAGTTCTTGTAATACAGTAGATATCTATACGCACTTTGCTTAATATTGACCATCCCTTGTAATTAGATAACTAGATCTTAATACCTGTGTAGACTAAGACATGGCCCGGATATATACTCTGCCCTGAGACTTCCGGCTAGGTTTCCCCATAGTCTACGGCATATAAATCCGATCTTTACATCCGACAGGGGAAAGTAGTGGGGATTGTGGGGTGAAGACCTTCAAAGATTCCAATTTGGGAGCTTCTAATTGGGAGAACTTGTATCTTCTTGAATAACACCCCGCTCCTATAATATAAACAGTTGACCCCGGACTCTAGCTTTAAATTATTTACTATCAACTGCAAAACTACAAACTACAGCCCACCATGGACCCCTCCAAAGTCAAGATCCCACCAATGAAAGACCAAACAGTGGACAACATCACCGACAATGTACTCACAATCAACAGTCTCTGCGAAGACGAGCGCATGAAATACATCCTCGAGCGCCTAGTAACACACCTACACGACTTCGCCCGCGAAACCCGTCTCAGCAGCGACGAATGGATGACCGGCCTCCACTTCCTGACCGCAGTGGGCCAGGCCTGCACAGACGTACGACAGGAATTCATCCTGCTGTCCGACGTACTGGGGCTATCCATCCTCGTCGACTCAATCGACCACCCGAAGCCCAACGGCTCCACAGAGGGAACCGTGCTGGGACCCTTCCACACGCACGACGCAGAGGAAATGCCCGCCGGGGATTCCATGTCGCATGATCCCAAGGGCGAGCCCTTGTTGGTCGTTTGCACGCTGCGGGATTTACAGGGAATACCAGTGGATGATGTCAAGATTGACATCTGGGAGACGGATTCTACGGGCCATTATGATGTCCAGTATGCTGGTAGGGAGGGTCCTGATGGGAGGTGTATTATGCGCTCTGATCGGGAGGGCGTCTTTTGGTTTAAGGCTATTACGCCGGTGCCGTATCCCATTCCTCACGATGGGCCTGTTGGGAGGTTGTTGAAGAAGTTGCATCGTCATCCGTATCGTCCTTCGCATATGCACTTTATGTTCGAGAAGGAGGGCTATGATCATTTGATTACGTATGATTTTGGGGTTTCGACTTGTTTTGTAAACGATACCATGGCTAATTTGATCCTAGCGCTCTCTACCTTCGCAACGACCCTTACGAAACCTCCGATGCAGTCTTCGGCGTCAAGGATTCCTTGACTGTTGACATCGGCAAGGCAGATGCTGAGATCGCTAAGAAATATAACGTCCCCGAGGGCCATGCTCTTCTCACATATGACTTTGTGCTTGTGTCTGATGAAGAGACGAGCAAGTTGCGTGCGCATAACTCCAAGGTCGCGCTAGACAAGCTAGGCCGGAAAGTCAAGATTGTCAATGGGCTGCCTGTGCCGGACCTGGATTAATGCTATTACGAAAGGAAAGTGTACATGAGAAATATCGCTTGTATGAGTTTGGCTAGGAAACAATACCAATTCTTCCAAGACTGCCCGGTTTTCGTTGCATAGCAAGAATATAGTTAGAATTGTATTGAATGCAAGATCTCGACGAAGCAAGCTAGTCCCGGAACCGAGACTGCCAAATACAACCCACATGCCTGTATTCAGCTGACCTTTTCTGGTCTTGATTGCAATATGTAACATGTTCTCAGCGATAACTGGTCCCTTTTTTGATCCAAGTTGTCTCTCGAGTCTGCGCACGGTGCGACGACGGACCAGCGAGGACCGAACAGGTTTCATCTAGGTTATGCGACGTAGTCTAGTCAGTTTTATACCACTGGTACAACCAGGAATCAAGACCGTTGAGGGGCTTCGACGGGGTGGCCTTTGCGTCTATATAGGCATATCACCTTGGTTTGATCGAGCATCTGACTCAGATTTCCCCGTCGATATCGGCGCCATGCGTCCCACTTACCTTTTCTTGTCTGTGGCAGCTCCACTGGCTTCGGCCTTTGTTATCCCGGATGAGAATATCCTTGCGGACGTAGTCTCTGAGACTCGCCCAGCCGCGAATCATCAGCTGTCTAAAGCAGATGTCGAGATGAGCCTATTGAGCATCTCTCCGGATGGGCATAGAGGCTGGGAAAAAGATCGGGACTGGCGTGATGACGATGGATACCCTAGACACGGTGATTGGCCCGGACACGGAGGCTGGCAAAGACATGGGGACTGGCCGGATGACGATGAGTATCCAGGTCACAGCGATTGGCCCGGATATGACGAAGATCCGCACGGGAGATGGCCCGGTGGCGATTGCCCCAGACAAGGGGGATGGCCCGACGACGGCGAATGCCCTAGGCATGGAAGAAAGCCCGATCACGGAGGATGGCCTGGACAGCGAGGTGATGTCGAAGACAGATGCTACCCTCCACACCCCCGACACGGAGAATGTAGATACGACCGCGACTGCAGACCATGCAGAAGACACCGACACCATCCAATCCACCGGCCAATCGACGCCTGTCCAGGCCCGCTCTGCCACGCAGACAAAACAACATGGGAGGTCATCAAAGAAAACGGGCATACATCTCGACTCGCCGAGCTCATCGCCGACGACAACGACCTGATAGAGATTCTGAACAGCACGACGGCAAACCACACCTTCTTCGCACTGACGAACAATGCCCTAGAGGGACTTCCACGAGGGCAAAATGGCCCCAGTCACAAGTTCATGTCCAGCTTGCTGCGCTATCATATCCTGCCTGGTCGATTATCCATCCAGCATATCGCGGGCCACGGGACGCTACCGACGAAGCTGACAGAGCCAGCTCTGGAATCGAGTCTGCCACAGAGGATTGTTGTGCGAGAGCACCACAACGGAGTGATGTTGAACCGGAGGAGTAGGGTAGTGGGAGCTGACATGGTAAGTAAAACATCAGTCGGTCGTCTCATGTATATGGCATACATACTACATATGTATGTACTGACCTCACCTTCCAAGAAAACCAAAGACGGTATAATCCACATAATAGCCAGTCCCCTCCATCCACCGCCAGAGACACGCACAATGCTGCACCAAGCACCGGCCGACTTCAGCACCTTCACGCTGGCCCTAGCACGTACGAAACTCGCTCACAAGCTTGACCCGGCTCGGAGGCAGGGCGGGACAACCTTCGCGCCCACGAACGCTGCGTTTAGACGGCTCGGGGAGCAGGCTAATCGGTTTCTTTTCTCGCGACAGGGTGAGAGGTGCCTACGCGCGCTGATGCAGTATCATATTGTGCCGAATCGGACGCTCTACTCGGATGTCTTGTATAGTAGTAATGGGAAGGCTCATGGGTTGTTTTCTGGCCATGATAGTGGGAATGGGCGTAAGGGCGAGGGTGGATGTGTTGGTAGGGCAGAGGAAGACTATGCGAATGTACGGCTTGCGACTTTGTTGAAGGAGAGAGAGTTAGCGGTTGATGTAAAGAGACGGTTTGGTGAGGTCGATATGCTCGTTAATGGGTTTGGTAGGGTTGCACGACTGGATTTGTTGGCGAGAGATGGGGTGGTGCATGTTTTGGATCAGGTATTACTTCCGCCGAGGAAGATTCAGGATAAAGATGAAGGTGAAGATGTGGAAGAACTGATGGTAGAGGAACTTGTGGAGAGGTTGGATGGTTGTGTCTATGGGGTGACTCGGGAAGAACTGTAAGAGATGTCTACAAGCTTACGATGTAGGAAAGCAATTTGAAATTCTTCATTCCTATGTTTGTGTTTCAATAAAAGTGGCAGAGCGAGATCGGTGCTTGCAAATTAAAACAAAAGATGTAATCCTTGAGTTAACCCCTAAGACCCCTGAGTGAATACCTCAAGTGGACAGACAGCCTGCCAGACCAGAGACATGCGCATCAAAGAGGCGGTCAAAACTAGCAAGTAGCAAGCAGCCGGAATCCATAACGAGTACCACATGTAAAAAGTGTCGAAGACTCGCTAGTGCATTCGTCTAGCGGGCTTCATCAGAGCCTGGAAGGAAGACTCGAGAGCTTTCTTGACCTCCTTGTAGCTGACAATGAAGGAACTCTGCTCGTCGCGACTGACCAAATGGATTTTCTCGTCAGTTCCAGCATCAAGCTTGTTCAAACAAGTCAGCACATGGCCAAGATCGACAACAGCTTCGCCTTGGCTATCCACCGAGTGGAAGACGTAATCGCGGAAAAGCTTCAGGAAGTAGCGTTCTCCGCTCTCCGACCAGCGCGGGTCAAGTTCATATTCAGGGCGTTCATTGATGAGCCCGAGCTTGCTCATCAGGCGCACAATCCGTCCATTCTCCAACTCACGGGCGAGATCAGAGTTCAGCTGATCATCCAGGTGGAGTGCCGAATCAAAAGTCGACATCAGCTGGGATGAAATTCCAGTAATAAAGGTATCGATGGTTCGTTCCTGATCCTTTTGCAGTCCGTTCAGCAGCCAGAACACAGAGCTCTTCAACTGAGAGCTGTAGGCGCGAGTGAAATGCTCCATGGCTTTGGTGGGATTGTGGATTAGAGTGGGCGTGTTGGCGCCAAGGGTGACGATCAGTTGGCCAAAGTTGACTAGATCTTGTCGCTGGAGGTCAGCTACAGTCCGCTGGGTATCGAACTGCACGACATCAAGAATAGCGCAGGCGTTAATGCGCACACGGGTCTTAGCGGTAAGCAAAATCTTGCTAGGCTCAAGCACTCGGGCAGCAAGACCATTGGCGTGAATCGCCTTGAGCCCATTGGCGATCTGGGTCATGTAGCCCCAGAGAATTTGCTCAGGAATATGAGCATTCGTGTGACGGCCTGGGAAGCGAGTTCCAGCGCTTAGATGCTGGTCTGCAAGTGTCTTGGACAGTGGGTGATAGTCGGTCACAAATATCAAAGAACTGTCTTGGAAGCTGCGGCTAGTGAACGCGTCGTGAATGGTCACCACACTGGCGTTGCAGACACGCTTCCAGGCTTGCACAGAACGGATAGCCTTTTCGTTGGTCAGGCGGAAACCTATTAAGATTAGTTTGAAGCTACAAACAAAAAAGAGATGGAAAGATTGTCATACCTTCAAGTCTGCGAAGAGCATAAAAGGTGCCATCTTTGCTAGACTGGGCCTTGTAGATCCAGCTTGGGTAGCCAAAGGTCGCGGCATTCTTCTGGTGACTGAGGTCCAGAGGGACAAGGGAATGAAAATAGTCGACTTGAGCAGGGAGTTGGGTGTCTTCAAGTCCGTCAGCATGAGCCCAAATTGTTGTCAATTCGGTCCAACGTACTAGGGAGAGTTTGGAGAGTAGCTGCGGATTTCTTCTGCAGTTCTTCGCGCAAGTCATTGGGGATAAAGAGATCATGCACGTTGCGCTGGTACCCCAATGTGTTCTGGCTGTGAGGGCCAATTGGGGCATAAAGATGGTACTGGATCTATTGGGCTGTTAGAGCTCATTCAAAGCAAAAGGAGAAGTATACATTGGACACCAACGTACCGGTTGCTGGAATCCAGTTTGGCTCGCAAAGAAAGCGCCTCCCATCGTGCCAGTAGGGTCGTGGGAATAAGGATTCGCAGAAACCGGGCCAACGCCACCAGGAGTCATGGGAGTCGGGGTAGTCACAAAAGGATCAAATGCACCCGTGCCGTTTCCATTGCCCTGAAGAGGTGTCTGGTTGGAAGGATTAGCACGGTTACGATTGCGCAGAATACCGCTGAAGCGCGGGGGGATATGCCGGCGAGGCAGATGAGCTGTGAAGAACCCGGGGGGACTGTCATCGGTAGGCCCGGGATCAAATTCAGCTGCCTCGGGAGACAATCCACCCTGCGCCATCGCGATGGTAGAGATGATGAATAAAGATATGGCCAGTGGGAGAGGTTGGGATGGTTAGGAAAAACAAAACAAAAAGCAGTACGAGGGGAATCGAAGAATACGGCAGGGGCGACTGACCACGTGCTCGAAGCCTTGAGGAACAAATTCTTGGACATCGGCCACCGCCCAATCTTGGACTGCTTCTGGCCGTGTTGTTGGCGTACTGGTGTTGGAACCTTCTTCTAACGTCAGTAGATGCCTTTGAACCCTCCTTGCTCCTCACAAAGCACATACGTGATGATGTTGTTCGAGGTTGAAAAGGAGCTGCACTAGCAGCTTTCGGAGATATAGCGGTGGACTTCTTTGGTGCCGATGCACCGTTCCCAGACAGCAAGGATGGGGTGAAACTAGGTGAGTCGACATTGAACCGCTTCTTGCTACCAAATGAGACAGTCCTTGTTAGCAAAGTTCGTCTAGTTTCGTCTGAAGACCTTGCATCGCACCTCTCCGACTGGTTTGCATTGAGCTTCGACGGGTCATGATTGAAAGCACAACCTGGATACAAGTGTTCCAAGTCAGCTTCACACCCTCGCTGGCTGTGATCTAGGTTCGCCAATACCTTTGTCTTCATAGCGGCATCGCCCATAGATGGTCACGTTGCGGCACAATGTGTCTTTCGCATTCTCTATCAAGCAGAATCATTGTTGTCAGCAACTCCATCCATCTCAAATGCGGCATTCATCACTGGCTTGCCCATCTCAGACCTGAGATGGAAGTGATATGCTAGCCTTTGACTTCGAATTGCACTCACCGCGGCTCTTCATTTTCGGTGATCCCGTCGTCCGACGAGCGTCCTCCAATGGAGGCTTTCCGGCAGACGCCATGATATCTGGCTGATACCCACTTGATGGTGCGGATCAGCGCAAAAAGATCCCCATTGAAACCGGACTCGGTAGGGAACAAAGGATGCTATTGGGTGAAAACCGCATTCCCCTGCTTTGATCCTAAATTATTCAAGTCACCAATGGTCCACGCGGTTGGCGGGTCAATTCCGGGAGAGCCCACGGACGTCGGGCGGTATCTCAGCCGATAAAAATAGGCATGAATGGAATATAAGGATAAGACCAAAGTCGTCTCTCATCCCAAGGAATGACTAAGAGCGACAGAACTGATGGAAATGAAGACGCGGGGCGAGAAACGAACTCGAGCGAAGGGGGATATGCACGGACCAGGCGGTCAGAACATCAATGAGCTTCACCTTGAGGCCACTAACAGCTTCGACGTCACGTCGCTCTTACCCATCTACGCATTGGAATTTCTGCACGTGCTCAATGGTCATCACCAAATGATCATCCTCTTGATGGCTCTTTCTTGTACTATCTTTTGATACACCACACGTCCCTGAGTTTATGGCTTACGGCCCTTCGACAACAAGATGTCACAACCGGAGGTTGACCTGGACCGGCTTTCCGATAGCGAGAAGTCTACGCTAGAAATGTACATGGCTGTCACGAGCCAGGAACCTTCAGAGGCAATTCCGCTACTCCGTCGATCGCAATGGAATGTGCAGGTTGGTCTATCTTCCCCGGATTCTTTCCAAGTGTACGACAGTTTACCTGATCCCCGCATGATAGATTGCCATATCCAAATTCTTCGATGGCGAAGGCCCGGATCCCCTTGAAGAAGCTCGCGCTGCCATGGATCGCCCGCCTCCACCCCAACCCAACCGCCGAACCCAGAACTTAATGACCGACGATTTGACCGAGCACTTGTCGCAAGTTACTCGTGCCGCAGCTACAGATCTGGCTCCACGAGTTGAGACACAACCGGGTGACCAGCCAATCTACCGGCCTCCGTTCATTCTTAGTCTACTTCTCACACCATTTAACTTGGTGTATCGACTCCTCTGCAGTTCATTCCGCCTCTTTAGTGTCCTCTTCCCTTTCTTGCCACGCTTGTTCAACAGGACGGCGAACCCCGCGCTGCAAGGCGCTCGCCGGAATACCACTGGCCGTCGGGCTCTCGGCCCTAAGGATACCGCCGCTCGCTTTATCCGCGAGTTTGAGGAAGAATATGAATCTAACCCGATCCCGTTCCTGGAGAACGGATACAACATGGCGCTGGAGAAAGCCCATCGCGACTTGAAATACCTCGTGGTCATTCTCCTATCCCCAGAGCATGATGATACGAGCAGCTGGGTCCGTGATACCCTGCTGGCACCTGAGGTTGTGGAATTCATCAACGATCCCCAGAACAACCTCCTGGTGTGGGGTGGCAACGTGCAAGATTCCGAAGCATACCAAGTCGCCAACTCATTGAAATGCACCAAATTCCCCTTTGCAGCGGTCATCGTCCATACCCCGAATGTTTCGTCAACCGCTATGTCTGTCGTAGGACGGATCGCAGGTCTCACTACGCCATCCGAGGTCGTGAACAAGCTCCGGACAGTCGTGACATCGAACAGCGAGCCGCTGGAGCGACTCCGATCTTCACGCGCCGAGCAACAAGCCTCGCGCAGCCTCCGCGAAGAGCAAGACTCAGCTTACGAGCGGTCGCTGGCGATCGACCGTGAACGAGCGCGCCAGCGCCGGGAAGCGGAGCTGGCACGCCAACGCGAAGAACAGGAAGCCGCTGGCCGACAGGCGGCCGAGGAGCAGCGGCGCCGCAATCTCGCCCAGTGGAAGCTTTGGCGCGGGCAATCGCTTAGCGCGGAGCCCGGGCCAGATGTCAAGGATGCCGTTCGTATCAGCGTGCGGCTCCCGTCCGGCGATCGCATAATGCGCAAGTTTGCGCCCGATGTGGATATTGAAGAGATCTACGCGGTGGTTGAGTGCTACGAGATCTTACAGGAGCAGGATACAGAGCGCCCCATGGCGAGTGCACCAGAAGGGTTTGTGCACCAATACGGATTTCGACTGGTCTCACCGATGCCTCGGGTTGTGTACCCCGTTGATGAGGGAGGGTCGATCAGAGAAAAGATTGGCCGTGGCGGCAATCTGTTGGTGGAACTGATTGATGAGGATGAAGATGCAGATGATGACGAGGCCGTGACCGACATGTCTTGAATATGGCTGATCTCTATGATTCAAATGTTGCTTGTGTGGGTTCCTTGGAAGACCACGACTACTGGCACACCGCTCTGTTTTTCTTTACAATATCCAATGTACAATTTAGATTATTATGATTCGATATTGCGCTTTTCCCCGCGGCGTGGCCGACTTCCATTCTGGCCAGATTTTGAAATTGTCTGCTCCACCGAACGTGCATACTCCGTATTTGGTAAGGCGTATGGCGTAAAAACCACTGGAGCCTGGTACCTTTCTGGCTAGACTCGTCCGAAGGATTGGACTCATCCATGGATGGACTATCAGACTACATTTCAGCCCCATGCAAGGGATGTCTATGGGGGCCTATCTGACAGTGCCACATCCTGGTGTGTGAGATTTCCAAGAAATTTCAAGATGGGAGCCTCTTTGACTCAGAGACGAAATGGGCATTCGGTCCGTTCAGCCCACCCGCTCAGTCCATCCGCTCAGTCCATCTCGTCCGTTTATTTGGTCCGTTCATAAGATAATTAGGGGTAGGGGTCTAAGTACAACATCCATCAATGGATGGATACGGGAGTTAGACGGAGATAAGATGGTTTTTACGCGTTCAAAGATCTCTCGGGTGGATCCAAGCATAGCTGAGTCAGCCTCGGATGCACCTCACCCGGGCATCCGAGCCCTCCAAGGCTGTTTATGGGACGGATGGTAGTGGTCCCGGTTGCTGACCTTCTGGAAACCTTGCCACGATGTTGTACAATGTTGTACCCGTGCACACGTGTGGGATGTACAAAAAGCATGGAAAGCATGGAAAAAGCGTGGAAAAAGCATGGCATGTACATGGATATACCCGATATCTACTCCGTATCCCTTTTTCAGTCTGACGTATCAGGTACATGTACATACTCGTTTTCGTACTTCCGTATACAATAAACAAGAAGGCCATTGTTACCCTAATATAGTATTGCTGTTTCTTGGCAATAAGCCGCCACAGCTCGAGTCGAGAAAAAAGCCCGAAACGAAAATTCATGACTCCGGAAGGTCAGCAGCTCCGCCCCGGGTCTGTTTCAACGGGAATCCCCGTTTTTATTTCCTTTCCGGACAAAGGATACAATGTTTCCGAGTCCCGATCTCTAGATCTGTTGAATCCCTTTTATTTTTCTTGCTTTTTCATATTCGTACTTAATTCAATTATTCGCTCATTGCCTTTTCTTCTTACTAGAACCCTAATCTTTTGTACAATCTTTATATCCCCATCCCGTTGATGGTGATTACCTCTCCTATTCATCTTTTATAGGGATATTACCCCACATAATCAGTCTCATTTCCTATCGATTCGACAGTGACCGTGCTGGAAGGTCACCATGTCGCTCCTAGGGACGTTGAACCCTAACATCACCGGCGCCCAAGACGTGCAGGAATCCCATGTCGCCAACATGGAAGCTCGCCGCCATGATCCCGCGGCCAGCGTGAGCACCGATGACACCGCTAACGAGAAGAGCGAGATTGGCAACGAGGAGTTCACTGAGATCGAGGTCACCCGCCTGGCCCAGCAACTCACCCGCCAGTCAACACGCTTTTCTGTCTCAGCCCAAAATGCAGAGAACCCTTTCATCGAAACCCATGAGGACTCGACCCTCAATCCTCACAGTGAAAACTTCAAGGCCAAGAATTGGATGAAGAATCTCCTTGCTATCCAGTCCCGTGACCCCGAACGATACCCGAAGCGTCAGGCTGGCCTAGCGTTCAAGAACCTCAGCGTGCACGGATTCGGCAGTCCCACAGATTACCAAAAGGATGTGGCCAACTCCGTTCTGCAAATCGGTGCCTTGTTCCGTGCGATGACGGGTACTGGCAAGCAGAAGATTCAAATCCTCCGCGACTTCGATGGTCTCATTAAGAGCGGCGAGATGCTGGTCGTTCTCGGCCGTCCTGGATCTGGCTGTTCGACTTTCTTGAAGACCATCGCAGGAGAGATGAACGGTATCTTCAAGGATGGCAGCTCGCACATGAACTACCAAGGAATATCCGATAAGCAGATGCGCAGCCAGTTCCGTGGTGAGGCCATCTACACTGCCGAAACCGACGTGCATTTCCCTCAGCTTTCTGTGGGAAATACTTTGAAATTTGCTGCTATGGCTCGTGCCCCGCGCAACCGTTTGCCGGGCGTCAGTCGTCATCAGTACGCAGAGCACATGCGTGACGTCGTGATGGCCATGCTTGGTCTTTCGCACACTATCAACACCCAGGTTGGTAACGATTTCATCCGTGGTGTCTCCGGTGGTGAACGCAAGCGTGTCAGTATCGCCGAGGCCACCCTCTGCGGCAGCCCTCTGCAATGTTGGGATAACAGTACCCGTGGTCTGGACAGTGCCAATGCCCTGGAATTCTGTAAAACTTTGAACCTGATGTCCAAGTACTCCGGCACTACCTGTGCGGTTGCTATCTACCAGGCATCCCAAAGTGCCTACGATGTCTTTGATAAAGTTACTGTTCTGTACGAGGGCCGACAGATCTACTTCGGCCGCACCACTGAGGCCAAGGAGTTCTTTACCAACATGGGCTTCCAATGTCCCGAGCGCCAGACTACTGCCGATTTCTTGACCTCTCTTACCAGCCCCGCTGAGCGAATTGTCAAGCCTGGCTACGAGAACATGGTCCCCCGTACCCCTGACGAGTTCGCCACAGCTTGGAAAAACAGTGCTGCGTACAAGGAGCTTCAGAAAGAGATCGCCGACTACGATCAGCAGTACCCTATCGGTGGCGAGTCTCTCGATAAGTTCGTCGAGTCTCGCAAGGCTATGCAGTCGAAGGGTCAGCGTGTCAAGTCTCCATACACCCTGTCTGTCACCGAGCAGGTCCAAATCTGTGTGACACGTGGTTTCCAGCGTTTACAGGGTGATTACAGTTTGACTATATCGGCCTTGATTGGAAACACGATCATGGCATTGATTATCGGTTCGGTTTTCTTCCAGTTGCCTGATGACGTGACCAGTTTCTACTCTCGTGGTGCCCTTCTCTTCTTCGCTGTCCTGCTCAACTCCTTCTCCAGTGCCCTAGAGATTCTGACTCTCTACGCGCAACGTCCTATTGTCGAAAAACAAGCTCGCTACGCCATGTATCATCCGTTTGCCGAAGCAATCTCGTCAATGCTGTGTGACATGCCGTATAAGATTCTTAATGCTATCACCTTCAACATCACACTCTACTTCATGACTGGTCTTCGCCAGACCGGCGGCGCCTTCTTCACCTTCCTACTCTTCTCTTTCGTGACTACTATGACCATGTCTATGGTTTTCCGTACGATCGCTTCTTACTCGCGTACTCTGTCTCAGGCTCTGGTGCCCGCCGCTATCCTGATCCTCGGTCTAGTCATCTACACTGGTTTCACCATCCCAACCCGCAACATGCTTGGTTGGTCTCGCTGGATGAACTACATTGACCCGATTGCTTATGGTTTCGAGACCTTGATCGTGAACGAGTTCCACGGTCGCAACTTCACCTGCAAACCGAAATCTTTCATCCCGGTGGGAGACTCATACACGGATGTCGGTCCGTTCAACAAGATCTGCTCGCAGAAAGGAGCCGTGGCCGGCCAGAACTTTATCAGCGGCGAGGCCTACTACACTGCAAGCTTCCAGTACTCCAACAGCCACAGGTGGAGAAATCTGGGAATAATGATTGGGTTCATGATCTTCTTCATGGCCACCTACCTCATCGGTACCGAGTATATCTCCGAGGCGAAGTCCAAGGGTGAGGTTCTGCTTTTCCGTCGCGGCCACGCGCCCAAGCACTCTGGCAACTCCGAGGATGATGTCGAGCAGACACACGCCGTGTCTTCTGCCGAAAAGAAGGATGGTTCTAGCTCCGATGGCGAAGAAACCACTGCCGCAATCCAGAGACAGACTGCTATCTTCCAATGGCAGGACGTGTGTTACGATATCCAAATCAAGAAAGAGGAACGTCGCATTTTGGACCACGTTGACGGCTGGGTCAAGCCCGGTACCTGCACTGCTCTTATGGGTGTTTCCGGAGCCGGTAAAACCACTCTTCTGGATGTCCTTGCCACGCGCGTGACAATGGGTGTCGTGTCCGGTGAAATGTTGGTTGATGGCCGTCCTCGCGACCAGTCTTTCCAGCGCAAGACTGGCTACGTCCAGCAACAGGATCTGCATCTCCACACTACCACGGTCCGTGAGGCTCTCCGCTTTAGTGCTATTCTCCGCCAACCGCGTCACGTTCCCCGTCAAGAGAAACTCGATTACGTCGAGGAAGTGATCAAGCTTCTTGGAATGGAACACTATGCGGATGCCATCGTGGGTGTCCCCGGTGAAGGTCTCAACGTCGAACAGCGCAAGCGTCTTACTATTGGTGTCGAACTGGCTGCTAAGCCACAGCTGCTTTTGTTCCTCGACGAGCCCACTTCGGGTCTTGACAGTCAAACATCTTGGTCTATCTTGGATCTTATTGATACCTTGACTAAACACGGTCAAGCTATTCTCTGCACTATTCACCAGCCCTCTGCCATGCTCTTCCAGCGGTTCGATCGTCTCCTATTCCTCGCCAAGGGTGGTAAGACCGTGTATTTCGGAGAAATCGGCGAGAAGTCCTCCACGCTTTCCAACTACTTTGAACGAAACGGTGCGCCCAAGCTGTCTCCCGAGGCCAACCCCGCTGAGTGGATGCTTGAGGTAATTGGAGCTGCCCCCGGAACCCACAGTGAGATCGACTGGCCTGCCGTGTGGCGTGATAGTCCTGAGCGCAAGGAAGTCCAAAACCACCTCGCCGAGCTCAAGTCCAACCTCTCTCTAAAGCCCGTTGCCACAACGGACAACGACCCAACCGGCTTCAACGAATTCGCCGCACCGTTCACCGTCCAACTCTGGGAATGTCTCGTCCGTGTGTTCAGCCAGTACTGGCGAACCCCAGTCTACATCTACTCTAAAATTGCGCTCTGCACCTTAACAGCGCTCTACGTCGGTTTCTCCTTCTTCCACGCCCAGAACAGTATGCAGGGACTCCAGAACCAGATGTTCAGTGTCTTCATGTTGATGACAGTCTTCGGTAACTTGGTGCAACAAATCATGCCGCACTTCGTCACCCAGCGCTCTCTCTACGAAGTCCGCGAACGCCCTTCCAAATCATACTCTTGGCAAGCCTTCATGTCCGCAAACATTATTGTCGAACTCCCTTGGAACGCCCTCATGTCCGTCCTTATCTTCGTCTGCTGGTACTACCCCATCGGGCTACAACGCAACACCAGCGCCGACGACCTCCACGAGCGCGGCGCCCTGATGTGGCTCCTCATCCTGACCTTCATGATCTTTACCTGCACCTTCGCGCACATGATGATTGCCGGCATCGAGCTCGCCGAAACAGGAGGCAATCTCGCCAACCTGCTCTTCTCCCTCTGTCTGATCTTCTGTGGTGTCCTCGCCACCCCAGACAAGATGCCCCGCTTCTGGATCTTCATGTACCGCCTCTCGCCATTCACCTACCTAGTCTCTGCAATGCTGTCGACCGGTACATCCGGCGCAAAAGTTTTCTGTGAGCCCGTCGAGATGCTCCACTTCGAGCCCACTGCCGGCAAGACCTGTATCCAATACATGGCCGACTACATCAACAGAAGGGGTGGTTACCTCCTGAACGAGGACGCCACTAGCGACTGCACTTTCTGCAGCATCGATAGGACGGATACTTTCCTCGCGAGCGTGCTGAGTTACCAGAGCGACGCGTGGCGCAACTTCGGTATCATGTGGGCGTTTATCATCTTCAATATCTTTGCTGCTGTTGGCATCTACTGGCTTGCTCGTGTGCCCAAGGGAACACGCAGCAAGAAGACCAAGACTGCTTGATTTATACCATTTTGTGGTTTTCTCTTCTTTTCTGTTTTTACTGAACAGGCTTCCGGTGGCTACTGTTTCCACCCAAAAACTCTGCATTAGACCGCCAAATCTAATCCCTCCGCTCTTGTTGCACATTCTATTGTTTACATATTATACTTGGTCTTGCAGATGGGGATGCCCTAGATAATGCATACACTAGCATAGAGCCTCTTGTTCAATTACATATGTTAATTACAATTTTCATTTAAGCATACCGTGGACAAAATAGATAGATCCCAAGTTCTCAATAAGACATTACCAAATGTATACAGGGGAAGTCGGGAGATTATGATAGTGATCGTGTATACTAGGCATTAAGCAAAGGTATATGCGCGAACCGCCAACCGCAAAGCAAAGAAGAAAAAAGATTGCATTAAACAACAAAGTACAAGAAAAAAACTCCCTAGGGAGCAAAAAGAACGAAAGCATGTAAACCACAAACCAAGCCTCACCACGTAAAAGCCTCCTCAGCAAAATCCACCACAGCGCCCTTCCCAATCCTCTCCCTAGCCGCCGACCTGACCTCATCAGCAAAAGCCCCAGGCCCACAAACACTAACCAGCGTGGCGCCCGTCCTACCGGGCAAGATCTCATCAAGAACAACATCCGGCCTACAGCGACCAGAATGCATAAGCACCGTCGCAGACGGACTGACGATATCCGCCGCACGACGCGGCTTCGAGATGAAAAGCTTAACGACGAGAATATCCCGTCGATTCGGCAGTCGCAGGATTTGGTCCATGTAGCTGCTTACCCAGGTGAGGTGGTCTGTAGAACGGACAGACCAGATCAGGTAGACTTTTCGCGTTGCGGCGGTGTTCTGCGCGGCGGCGCTGACGAGCGCGCGCGTTTGGAGGAGGTGGTGGGTTATGCCTGCGCCGGCGCTGAAGAGGACTGTTGTGCCGTAGCTGGAGGGGTTTGTCGGGTGTGAGCCGTAGGGGCCTTCGATGAAGCCTCCTAGTGTGAGGGTTTTTGAGGGGGATGCGTTGGCGAGGTTGTAGAGGCGGCGGGTCATGCCTTTTTGGGCGCCGATTATGAGGGAGACTTGCGTGGATGGTTTGGTGGGTTTGGTTGGGAGGTTGGATTGTTTTTCTAGGTCGGTGTATCCTTTGCTCTGTGACGGTGAGGATTGCGTTGGGGAGGGAATGGACGCTGGTGTGCTGCCCGTGCTGGGTTCCGCCCAGGCTATTGAGAATGGGTGCGACATCCACCATGAGATCCTGGGGATGTAGGCGAAGACGTGGCAGCCTGGTTCGATGTGGACGAGTTTGGGCAGATGGAAGGTTACGCGGCAGGCTTCGCCGGGGAGGGCTTGTACGACCATTGTTGTTGTGCCGGAGGTTGAGATGTTGAGGTGGACGAGGCGGAAGAGCCGCGCGAGTCGGTCGCCTAGCCAGATGGTGGCAATCGTCCGAGCCCAGCTTTGCTGCGGGAGATTGTCTATCTGCAGGTGCAGGTATACACCTAGGAAGGCGAACACGGCGGCCAGCTGGTGCAGGTGTAGGAAGGTCTCGTAGAAGGCGTGGCGGATGGGTGAAGGGGAGTGTAGGCAGAGGAAGACCATTGCGGCTGTGCTTACCAGGCCCCAGAGGAAGAAGGGGGTGTCACGTACGCGGACGAGCATGCGGGCGAAGTCTTCCTCGTCGACGGCGTTGACGGCCCACGCGGCTGTGTGTGCGACTGACTCAAGGATGACGATGCGGCCCAGCCAGCGGTGGAGGAGGTTGTATGTGTCAAAGCTGATATGGAGTAATGGGATCAAAGGGTTGTTTCGGCCCGCGAAGAGGAAGAGCGGGATCATGTTGAGGACGGCCAGCGTCCCGGATCGGCCGCGCAGCTCGGCCATCAAGGCTGCCTTGTTGTTGACACTGTAGTCCAGGATGAGACAGTATGCGAGTTGACTAGCGAAGTAAAATGCGACCAGGATGGTCTGCAGTCGGGAGGGTAAAGTGCCGACATTGACAGCGGAAGAGAGCTGTAATTCTCGGTTGTGTCGCTTCTTTCCTAATGGGGCGTATAGGATGTATTTCTTGATGTTGGACCACCATGTCGATTGTTCCTGGGCCCAGAAGGTCTGCTGGCGCTTGTTTGCGCTAGATGCGGTGATTTGGCGTAGATATGCATGGCTGATCTGGGCGATTCGGCCACAGAACAATGCGAATGCCACGACGGCCAGGGAAACGTAGATGATCCGAGTAAAGATCACATCGCGAGGGACGTCCACGCCACTCAGCCCCCTTGTGTACTCATATATGTATGTGGCGTTTGACCCGTACCCTCGTGCCGCGATATGCGGATGGGTTGCTGCCATTGAACGGGCGCAGATACTGAAGAAAGGAAGATGTTGCGGTCTGGGCAGAAAACATGCAAGGCTGTGCTATCGACGTTGCACGACCCCCTAGTCGAGATGGGGATCTGGAATATGTTTCAAGTAGCTGCTCAATAGCTGAGATAAAAATATGAAATTTAGATGTCGACTGAAGCGGGCGGTTTGCGGGGAATCGACGTCGAAGACAGTAGATCAGATGAAATAGATTATAAACAGGTTTGGCGAAAGTGAGTCGATATAGATAGAGACCTCTTTGATTGTATCGGACAAAGACAATGTCTTATAATGGGAACATTGTGGCTGGTTTGAGGTTGACAATGAACAATGCAGATTCAATGTGAATGTCCAGGCTGAAGTCAACAAAGCGACCCAAAATAACCCCGATCTTTGGAATTCGAGAGAAATTAGCACGTCAGCAAGAATCGAAATTTGGTAGAGGCTCACTCTCAAAAAGGCGTTTGGAATGCAAGTAAGGGGGGCACGTTTTTTCCCTCTTCAAGAATAGGAATCGGACAATGTGGAGGCAGTCCAGACCAAAAGATATAGAGTCAAGCAAATCCAAGTTCAGTAAAGAGAGTGTCAACAATCGAGACCGGCCGACTGTCTTCAAAGCCAAGAGAATGGAAGAACCGGAAGAAATGCAAGAAATGGAAATGAAAGAAAGATCGGCCCTTAAGGAGTTTTAACAGGGAAAAGGAAGCATGGACGAGTCAGGTCTGCGGAAAGCCCCTGGATGGTCTGATTTGCAAGTGTTCAAGGCGTTTAAATGACCGAGAAACCTATCGGGATAGCTCCTTCAGTGACACCAAGGACGCCGGTGTTTCCAAGATGACTAGTGTTCCCTTCAGATGGGGTGTGATTTGCTGATGATCCTTGCAGATCCGAGTTCGATTCAGGGCGTGACGCCTTTGGGTGGGAGCGTCAGAAGTCTGAGACATAATTAATTATGTTAATTATGTTGACTTCCAATTATCCGGAGAACGCCCGGTCAAAGTGAACGTTCAATCTTCACATGTGGCAGTTCGTCAAGGCCGGTGTTTTATTGTAAGACAGTGGCTTTGTTGGCGCACGGACCACATCTGGCAATAACTAAGACAATAACCGGAGAAGCCAAAAAGAAGGGATTTATATGTCCAATTGATTCGAAATAATATACGTTAGATTCATTTTCAAACATTTACCGTCCCATCCATCCACCATCAACAGTGAGGACCTCGCCAGACACATAGCTGCTAGCCCGACTGGCCAAATACACTACCGCGCCCTTGAAATCCTCAGGGTTTCCCCATCGACCAGCAGGGATACGTGCCATTATCCCGGCGTTGCGGTCAGCATCGTTGATAAGAGCGGTATTCATATCGGTAGCAATATAACCGGGCGCAATCGCATTAACATTGATTCCCTTGGCGACCCAGTCATTCGATAGCGCTTTGGTCAACTGCCCAATGCCACCCTTGGATGCTGCATAGGCGGGGACCGTAATTCCGCCCTGGAAGGTGAGCAGGGATCCGACATTAATGATGGAGCCTCGGCGCCCATGTGGAAATTCAGAGGCGTCGCGAGCCAGTAGACATGCGGCGAATTCTCGGCTCAAGATGAACACGGAGGATAAGTTGATTTCCAGGACCTATACATCATCCCACGAATGAGACATAGTGTTTCAAGGGGGGGATTTATATTAGTTTATATTAGGCTCTCGACTCACCTCGTCCCAGTCCTCATCCGGGAATTTTTCGGCCGGGTGTCGCCGTTGGATCCCTGCGCAGTTCACCAAAATCTCCGGCTTCAGCCCTTGGCCAGTCAATGCGGGGATGATGCCTTTGACGGCTTGCCGATCCCCAAGCTCGGCGACATGGATCCATGCCTTACGCCCAAGGCGATTAATGATTTCGTCCTTGGTTGACGTGTTGGTGGTATCTCTCTATTATCATGTTAGCACAAGACCTTCAACTCTTTCCAAGTGACTCACCTGAATCAAGACAATGTCGGCGCCGGCCTCAGCCAGGGCAAAGGCCATAGCTTGGCCAATACCTCGTGTTCCACCGGTGACAATGGCGGTTTTCCCGCTTAGGGAGAAGAGGGACATTACGTCTGCCATTGTGAATATGGATATGCAGATGAAAAGGAGTTTGGAATAAAAAGAAAAGAACCAAACCAAAAGGGAGGAGCCCCAAATAAGAAATGCAACCAAAATGAGAGACGCGGGGTTGCTCCGGGCAATTCCTATAGCCGACGTCATTAGCCGTCGGCAATTGACACAGTGGTTTTCCTATTCACGTTGAAATATGACCAAGTGGCTATTAAATAGCGTATAAGGGACAAGGCATCTCTAATATTGTAGTATTTTAGTCAATGTATTTTAATATTTTTCTAAAAGGAAGATCATCTAACTAGTTAGTTAACTAGAGAGGTCAAAAGTATGTAGGTAAATCGTTCAGCCCGGTTTCCAAGGTTTCGAGCATCCCCCACATTAAGTCCACGGGAGCATGGACACGATGAGTAAGGGTTTCGGACTTCTTCCCAACGGTTGTGGGGGCCTGACTTTGATTTCGTATTCTTCAATGTCTCTACTATAGCCATGGACGGAGAATCCCCGTCAGAAGCCTCGCGCGATATCGCCAAACGCGTCTCTCGAGCCTGCTTGCATTGCAGACAGCGCAAGTCTCGATGCGACCTGTAAGACTATCTCCTTGCTCTTTTATTCCTGTTTCAGCCATTTCAGCCCTTACTGTCTTTCCCCGGATCCGTTCCGCGCTGATCGCATGCAGAGACTCCAACGGTAAACCTGGCAAACCACCATGCACGCGCTGCGTGCGCGAAAAGCGTGAATGCATACTAGGCGGCTCAAATCGTGGAGGTCGTCGAATCCGAAAGAACAAAATCAAAAACTTTACACCAGCCAACGATTCGCCAGGCAAGGATTCGGAAGGATCAAGCCCAACCAATTCTGAAAACCGCAGAGTGCAATCGGCATCCTATCCCGGCCCGGTAGTCTTCTTGCCGCCTAACCCACCAGCACCAGCACCAGCATCCGTCGAGGAAGACGATACCTCTATATCATCTGTCCCGCGCAATCCATCAGACGCCTGGCAATGCTTGACCGGCATTGCCACGGAAGGCACGGGGACGACCCCGGAGGTGCGCAACGACCATGTTCGGTCGGAGCCAACAACGTTCCCAGTCTACAACAGCCTGCGCAACGGCGTCGTCTCAGACTTTAGCAACCCAACCACCGGCATCAGGGCCTACAGACTCGTTCAGTCATGCGCCCTAGACCCGGAAACGGTGTGGCAACTGATCTCCCGCTACGCGGAGAACTTCCATCCGTATCTTCCTCTCGTGCCGCGGAAGTATTTCACGCGCACCGCCCTGGACGCCTTCGCCGCTAATGAGAAGCACTTGCTCACCGCAGTCCTGACCATCGCCTCCAAGGACTTGGTCGACCAGCCCGAGATCCACGAGTACTGCTCGAAGTACATGCACGAGCTGATTTCCGGCATCGCCGCGGGCGCGGAGTGTGATGTTGAAGCGGTCGAAGCGCTTCTGTTACTTGCCGAGTGGGAACCGCAGGGATTGCGGCCTCGCATTGAGCGTGTTGGGCGCGGAGAGGAAGACCGCGCTGCGTGGATGCATGTCGGGCTTGCGTTGCGCTCCGGGTATTTCATCGGCATGGATCGCACTTCTTTCCGTGGGGATCCTTATGGTGATCAGGAGAGTGAAGCTCGTCGGCGGCTGGCCTGGGCGAGCTGCTATGTCTCTGATCGATTAATTTCTGTGCGTATTGGACGTGCTTTCTGGTCTCGTGGGCCGGGGCCCATGACCGGTCTTGTTAGTCAGGATTTCCCATCGCTGCAGCCGGTTAATGAGGGCGATGAGGACTATGCGAAGATCTTTCAGGCTATGCTGGATCTTACGCAGCTTTATGGGAATGTTCATGAGGTTTTGTATTCGGGGATGCGTACTAGTAACCAGATGATGCTGATGGGAGACTATGTTAAATATGTGGATGACTTCCGTCTGGCAATTCTGCGGTGGAAGTCACTTTGGGGGTCACTGGACTGTAAGTTGGCCTCTTCCCGATTCTTTGAGCTTCTAGGTATGTTATGGTTCTAAACTATTAATAGGCTCACCACCCATGCGAGCAACACTGCAGTTGTCGTACGAGTACTTGCGTCTGTATACAACTGCTTTCGCGTTCCAAGCTGCGATCTCGCAGTCGCTGGTCAAACCGAAAACCGACCTACAAGGCCAGCGAGAAAATCTACGATCGACGTTCAGGAATGTCGCTTCGATGCAGGATTCGCGATTCATTTATGAATCTGTTGATGCGGCCAAGTCATACCTGACAATCCTTGTGGATCTGGTAGATCCTGAGAAACATCTCCACTTTATGCCTCTCCGCTTCTACTTGTAAGTTTTGTTTTCCATTTCATTGCGTGTTATATCAAGGCAAACAGCTCATGTGATTTAGATATGGCATCTACTCTGCCGTTTTCCTCTATAAGGTAAAATTTCTGTTCAGTTCCTCTTCTGTATATTATCTGACCGATACCATAGGCTCGTTCCTTCGGAATGATGGTCCCATCAGAGGAAGCAAAAGTCCAAGGTCTAGTCATTCGAACCACCGAAGTCCTCAAACAAGCAAGCGCCGGCACTGACGACGTCGGGTCGCGGTATGCTCGCCTTCTAGAGCTTCTATGGAAGCCCAAATCCACATCAAACCCATCCGAAGAGACACAGCAAAATAGTGACTTCCAACTGCAAACAGCCCTTCCGAACCCCGTCGCAGACCCGGGATACATGCAATTCAGTCCCGCAAATGACTTCTCATGGCTGGATTTGGAGGCAGTGGGAGATTATGTATCCGGAGACCAGATTTCTGGTGGCTTGTTGGGGCTGGATGCGTTCCAGAATGCATCTGATATGTACCAATCTGGAGAGCCACGCTCGCAGTCCTGGCAGCCGTCTGCTTGGATGGGGGATATGAGTAGCAGTCTTTTCTTTTAAATGGTTGTGAATGGCTGTGTCTCGTGCGATACGTGTGATGTGATACCCCCACGCCCCAATCTGACGGCGAATGATGCGGGGCTGCGGGGGGCTACCCTCGGAGATGGCCCCGAGGGGTAACCGAGGCCAGCAACGCAGTTCTTTTTGCTTTACCAGATCAAACTTGGAGGTCTGGGAGTTTCCTTCTGCACTTGAATCATTGCCTATCGTCAACACCAATATCAACTTCGTCACGTCATGTCACTTAACGAGATCCAAGGCCGACTTGCGCTTATCACCGGTGCATCGGGAGGGTAAGATATTTCCCAACTCCTGCAACACTGAACGAATAACTGACAATTGATTTTGTAGAATTGGAGCTGCCTGCGCACACCAGCTTGCCCAACATGGAGTGCATCTCGCCTTGACATACGCGACCAATCTGACGGCAATGAACGCGCTGGTGACCGATCTGCAGAGCAAATACGCCGATAACAAGCTCCGTATCTCGATCCATAAAGTGGATGTTGGCTCCGCTGACGACATCGAGACGATGTTCCAGCAAATCGACACCGAGCACGGCCACCGACCCGATATCCTGATCTCGAACGCTGGGCACGGCAAGCGGTTCCCGCAAATCTGGGACTGCTCTCTCGAAGAGTTCGATTATACTTTACAAGTCAACCTGCGCGCTTCATTCATTCTCGTCAAGGGGGTGGTGGAGCGTATGAAGAGCCAGAATTGGGGGCGCATTGTGTTTATGTCCTCGATTGCTGCGCAAGGCGGAGGAATCAACGGATGTCGTATGTAACTCGTTTCCTTTCTGGGGAATATCAAGCTAACTCTCTTTTAGATTACGCCGCCTCTAAAGGTGGTCTGACAGGAATGATGAAGAATCTTTCTACCCGCCTGGCTGAATTCAATATCAGTGTTAATGATGTGGCGCCTGCCATGATTGGGGACACCGGTATGATCCCCAATGCTGCGGCTATTCCGGACGTAGCGGCTGGTATTCCGCTTGGTCGCCTTGGGACTCCTGAGGAGACGGCCAATGTTGTGACTATGCTTGTGAAAACAGGGTACATGACGGGTCAGAGCCTCTTGCTCGCTGGAGGGTTGAAATGAGCAACCCGTCAATATTAGGAAGAATAGTACATATAATAAGTGGAAATAGGCCTTTCGCGCCCTACAATTTATCATTATTATCAACATATCAACAGCTTGGTTCAATTTTGCAGATGCAATTTTGCAGTTCATAAATCTCACACCCCACATATACAACCCCACATATAGTATGTCCATCCTTTTGCTCTCTATTGTCACAATCCGGGTATTTCCAAACACAAAATCATCATCATCACCGTCGTCGCCATCAATAAATTCACAGGGAGCCACTGGAGCCCCGTCGGTTCTCAATGATAACCTTCACAACAGGGTTCCCCTCCTCATCAACTCCCTTCCCAGCAAGTGTAAACGCCCGCTCTCCCTCCTCCAACTTAAGTCTATGCGTAACAACCTTCTCCTCAACACTCTTCATCTTTCCACTCGCGAGCAGCGCAATTGCAGCAGGGTATGCATACCCATCATAACGGAACACACCAATGATATCCACCTCGCGCAGCGCCGCCGCGCCAACAGGCAACGTCTGGGTAGGATTTCCCATACCAATCTGCACCAGCACACCACCAGGAGCACTAGCATAGATACCAGCCTGCACACAAGCCGGCACACCGGTACAGTCATACACACGACTGAATCCGTGAACAACAAGGCCATCCCTGGCACCGACCGCCTCGACCAACGCAGCCGCAACCTTCTGAGCATTCTCCAGCGCATACGCCGTCTGCTCAGCATGAGGCGCATCCTTCGGCGGAGGCGGAGTCTCCGCCCTCGGAATAAGAGCAGTCTTAAGACCAATCCCCATCTCCTCCGCGATCTTAAGTCTCCGCGCATCAATATCAGCAACAACAATCGCCGAGAAATTCTCACTAGCAGCCAGCGCCCCAGCTAGAAGCAGACCGATCGCACCGGCGCCGAAAACCAGGGCAGCAGTCTCTTCCCCAGCCGCGCGGTTCAGCGCAACCTCCTCTTTACTCGGCGGGTGTGAGCGACGCACAGCATGTAGCGTGACAGCCAGCGGCTCGACCAGCGCACCGCCCGCGTCGGACACGCTATCCGGGAGCAAGTGGCACATATCTGCTGGGTGGTTTGTGCGCTCCATCAGCGTGCCGTCGAGGTGCGGGAAGGCTTTTGCTGAGCTGCGGAATTGCATGGCTTTGCAGATGTTGTACCGGCCTTGTTTGCAGAGCGCGCAAGTGCGACAGGGGAGACCGACTTCCAGTGCGACGCGGTCACCGACTTTGAGGGTCGTCACGGCGCTGCCTGTGGCTGTTACTGTGCCAGAGGATTCGTGGCCCAGACACATTGGTGCCCGTACGACGAAGTCGCCATTGCGTCCGTGGCTGTAGTAGTGGAGATCTGAGCCGCAGAGGCCTGTTGCTCGGATGGCGACTTGGACTTCTGTTGTAGATGGGGCGGGGATGGTGCGTTGTTCCTGGGGTTTGGGTTAGGGTTTGGGTCTTTTGTGTCTGGTGTTACTTACAAGGCGGAGGTCTTTGGCGCCGTGGAGAACGAGCGCAGTGGTAGTTGTGTTTGCCATGATGTGTATATACAGTATAGATAGTAGTAAAGAGTTTCAGAAAGAACAGAAGAAAGATCTGAAGTAAATAGTGAAGTAGCGAAATCCGACCTCTGACGGCATTTGGAGTTAACTCGGCCCGTTGGTTCCCCACTTGGTCGTCGTGGGGGGAAGACTTGGGCCCGGAGGTGCTCCGCTGTCGGTTATTGGACAAAAGGGGTGATTTCAATACCCGACTTCGGGACGTGGGGGTGATTACAGGTGTTCTTGCATTTGCAGTTTGAAGGTTAGGAGGTTAAGAGGTAAAGAAGTAATAAATTAAGTTAATAAAGTGTATAGCGAGATGTATATAAAAATGGATTGATAGAGATATGAAGGTTGATCTATGCGAAGCATATAACGTATACCTAGGTACGATCTATATCTATATCCAGGACACCGTCGGAGGAGCCCCATCACGACATGGGGGTTCCGCGATAGCGGGGATCTCCAATAATCTTTGGATTTCCCGGACGCTTGTAATTTCTCCTTTCTTTTCATTCTCAAAAGTTGCTGATCTCCGAATTGCTTGCTTTATTCCCTCGATCCTCTTGTCCTCTTGATATACTCCTATCGAACCTTAGAACGTTACAGATGTGAGCAACCCCACTGACATCATTCGGCGCATCTAACATTTGCAGAAACAACATGGCAACACAATCAGCTCTCCTCATTGGAGAAATCACACACGCGCGCAAGGAGTGGGAGAGCATCTCATCTCTGTTGACATTGAAGGTAAGCGATTCTTATTGCGCCGCGATCGAATCCCGCTAAAGCAGACAAATTAGGAATTCCCCAGCGGAACCAGAGAAGAGTTCATTGCAAACTGCAAGGCTGGCAAGTATGATGATGTAGTCGCGCTCTATCGGTCCAACACCTCTACCAAGGTAAACATCGGCCTGGCTCCTTCATTTCGAGTTATCTTACTTACAGCGCATAGTATACCGGTCCGTTCAATGCAGAGATGCTCGCGATCTTGCCTAAATCCCTCAAGTACATTTGTCACAACGGCGCGGGATACGACAACATTGACGTCGCCGCATGCTCGGAGAAGAACATCGCCGTGTCCAGCACTCCAGTGGCTGTCAACAATGCGACAGCCGACGTGGGCATTTTCCTGATGATCGGCGCTCTGCGCCAGGCTCATGTGCCCATTACTGCTCTCCGGGAAGGTAAGTGGCTCTACATTAGAGCGGAACAATCTTCTGTCGATGACCAGGAACTAAACATAATCCCAATGACAACAGGAAAGTGGCAAGGTCCGATCACCGCAGGAGGAAAGGAGCACAGAACCACCCTGGGACACGACCCCAAGGACAAGGTCCTCGGAATTCTGGGCATGGGAGGCATTGGACGGGTATGTAACACAGACGCACGTAGTGCATCACCTGAACCCAACTGACCAAGAGCAGGAAATGGCAATCCGTGCCAAGGCCTTCGGGATGAAGATTCAATACCACAACCGGTCCCGTCTACCGGCCGAGCTGGAAGTCGGCGCTACATACGTCTCGTTTGACGAGTTGCTCGCCAATGCGGACGTGCTCAGCTTGAACTTGGCCTTGAACGCATCCACGCGCCACATCATTGGTGCGACCGAGTTCACCAAGATGAAGGATGGCGTGGTGATTGTCAACACGGCGCGCGGGGCGCTGATTGATGAGAAGGCGTTAGTCGCGGCGCTTGACTCTGGAAAGGTATGTAATGCTGCACATTGAACTTAAATCTCTTCCACGATGGTTATACGTATAATCCCGGCTGACTGGCTGTTATACAGGTGCGCTCTGCTGGTCTGGATGTGTATGAGTGCGAGCCGGAAATTGAGCCCGGGCTTGTTAGCAACCCTAATGTTATGTTGCTGCCGCATATTGGCACGGCGACTTATGAGACTCAGAAGGAGATGGAAATCCTGGTACTTGATAACCTTCGATCTGCTGTTGAGAAGGGCGAGCTTATTACGCAGGTGCCAGAGCAGAAGAAATAGACAGAATATGAACAATATAGATGTGGGTTTATAAACAATTATATTTCTTCCGTTCAATCATCAAGTATCTAGTACATATGTAGTTTCCAAGGGCAGTGCCGAGGTGTTTACCTTAGTCGATTGTAGAACATATCGACACCTGAGATGTGGGGCCACGGGGCAGAATGCCAATGACTAAGGTCTGACATAACTCAAAAGGAAGAATCCACCCAAAACGGCTAGCGTTAGGGCTCGCTTAGGGCCAGAGCGCCAAGAGCGAAAAAAACCGCACCAAATCTAGTGGCTCAAGCGAGAGCCGGACGACGACGAAAAGCGACAACAACTCATCACCGAGGACCATCACACCCCCCTCGCCAACTCCTTCAAGATGGTGAGTGCTGCATGTCCCTGTCATCGATAATGACTTTTGGGAATCCCATTCTCTACGAAATGCCACCCGTGTGATGCACATTCAATGTCCGATTGCCGGGTCGACTTTCGCTGCCAACATCACCGACACCCAACGACGATCCCATTGCTAACGAGCGATGCTTTTCACAGGTCCGTTACGCCGCCCAGGAGATCTCGGAGGCCAAGAGCGCCCGCGCGCGCGGCTCTTACCTCCGTGTCAGCTTCAAGAACACCCGTGAGACCGCCCAGGCCGTCAACGGTATGAAGCTGTCCAAGGCCCTCACTTTCCTCGAGAACGTCACCAACAAGTCCATGGCCGTTCCCATGCGCCGCTACGCTGGCTCCACCGGTCGCACTGCTCAGGGTGAGTCGCCCTGCTTTTGAAGAAAAATTCCGGCCGGATCGGGGTTTTGAATTGGATTGTGGGAAGGACGAACAGCATCGCCAAATATACGACAGCCACTGGGATAAGCACTGAAGTGACGAGGAAAATATGAGTGAACGAGAGGATGGATTTCTTGGCTTATTGGCGATGCTGTGGATTGTCTACGATCTGGATGAAATTTTGTGAACGGAGTCGAACATCGACTGACAATTTTTGGTTTACAGGCAAGCAGTTCGGTGTCTCCAAGGCCCGCTGGCCCGTCAAGTCCGCTGAGCACATCATCAGCCTGCTCAAGAACGCTGAGGCCAACGCTGATGGCAAGGGTCTCGACACTAGCGCCCTGATCATCAAGCGCATCCAGGTCAACCAGGCCCCCAAGGGTCGCCGCCGCACTTACCGTGCTCACGGTCGTGTATGTTTCCCCTGAGATTTGCGGATGGGTCTGTATTTGCATATGCTGACCTTTCTCTTTCCAGATCAACCCCTACATGACCAACCCCTGCCACATTGAGCTCATCCTCACCGAGGCTGCCGAGGAGGTCAAGAAGGCCAGCACCGACAAGCAGGTCCGCCTCTCTTCCCGCCAGCGTGGCACCCAGATCCGCCGTGCTCTCATTGAGGCATAAACGGATCGCCATAAGAAGGTGTGAGGGGACGTGTGGTTACGCAATGTGAAAAGATTTTTGCGGTGGACGGGAAGGATCGGAGTTCTGTGCATCAGCTGTGTATGTTGGAACGGAATCGATACCGGATCATACAAGATTTTTAAGGTCATGGCGCCAACACTCGGAGGAGAACCCAATAAAAAGTTTAAACGATATGGCCCAGGGTGATGGAAATAGGATTCTGTACTTCCCGATCCAATCATGATACAAACGTGGTTCTTTCTCCATGACTCTATCGAGTGTCTTCTCTTTTGATAGAGAGTGTTTTCCGTTTCTGTCTTGTCTAGCTGCACACCTCTGTCGAGGTTCCAATCTGGTCATAATATGATCTTATTTTTTCTGTTTTAATTTGCATCATCCGATCCATTGTAGCGATGACTGGATGACATGCCTTGAACTACGGGCTAACCTATGTATGCACTTTATATGAGGTATTATTGACATGAATGGAACCTGAAGGAAATCCTGCCTATACCACTTCTGGTCCCCGACAATCCTTACCTAGGAACATGCCAAGGGAACCATCCGTCTATGTATAAGCAGGGATCTGCATGCGGGGGTATAAGTAGCCCGGAACAGAATACACTTTCAAAGGTTCCTTCATTATGTCAATCTACTCCCATTATATATATAGTCTCACCAAGTCAAACCAAAATGACCAACCTCTCAGACTACCGCCTCCTCTGCTTCGACGTCTACGGCACTCTAATAGACTGGGAAAGCGGCATCATCGCCGCATTAGAACCGATCCTCTCAAAAAGCACCACCCAATTCACCCGTGAACACCTCCTAACAACCTACCATGACCTCGAAAGCACCCAACAAACCGCAACCCCGGACCTTCCATACTCGGACCTGCTATCAGCAATCCACCCCACCCTCGCGGCGCGTCTAGGCCTCAACCCGCCGACCGAGGAGGAAAGCCGCGAATTTGGCAACTCCGTTGGAACCTGGCCAGCCTTCCCAGACACCGTGGACGCCCTGCGTCGACTATCAAAGCACTACAAGCTAGTCGTGCTGTCGAACGTGGACCGGGCTTCATTCGCCAAGTCCAATGCTGGCAGCTTGCAGGGCGTGCCTTTTGATATGATTCTTACCGCGCAGGATATTGGCAGTTACAAGCCTGATCCACGGAACTTTGAGTATATGTTGAATGCTGTGCAGCACGAGTTTGGGGTTGGGCCTGGGCAGGTTCTGCAGACGGCGCAGAGTCAGTTTCATGATCATCAACCTGCGAGGAAGGTTGGCATTAAGTCGGTTTGGATTGAGAGGCCTGGGGCTTTGATGGGGAATCGGGGGGATCCGGTCTTTGATTGGCGGTTTGAGACTTTGGGGCAGATGGCAGATGCTGTTGAAGCAGAGTAGATAGGGGTGATCCATGGATTCGAGAGTAGTGTCAAGTACTTGGTACTTCTGAAACTATGGCCAATGCGCATTGAAATTATGTACTGCCTACAGTATGTGGCTGAGTCACCAGGAATAAAGCAACGAGACTAATTGCCTGGAGCCTGGCCATCAGCTTGGCAATGTAGAACACCTGGCCGCGTGCGTGGAATGTGGCTTTGACTGGAGATATAACTCTATATACGTACATATATATCTCTCATTGTCCTGTCTTTCCGTTGGCCCTTAGCGAGGCCTATCGCTAGTTCCCTGCAGACTAGTTCGAGGCCGGCAGTTGGCCCCCGGCTAGAATTATTCTTTGGCAATCTGAACTTTTTTCCTTTCAAAATTTCCCCTGAAAAATAGGAGACTGTACGATCAAAATATGAAGCGCTTCCTGGGATCTCTGAGCAGGCGCTCAAGTGAGTGTCTCACCGTCTCCACGTCTCCCCGCAAATTCGCTGACTCGTACCTGAACATAGGCTCCAGCGACAGTGTCGAACACCGTGAAGACTCACCGGAAGCCATTGTCCTGAAAGAATTGGTTTGTGCTGATCCCGATGAGATTGAATAAGACATACTGACACCTTCTCTAGACTGCCTTCTGCGAATCGAATGCAAATGTGAATCCGAATGGCTCTCCGCGCGACGCGGTATGTGACTCGCGGAACAACAACCCCCCTTTTCGAGGCTGACAATCGCATTTGCACACTCTAGCAAGGAACCGAATTCGTCCACCTCCCCAAAATCGTCGAAGCCGCCGAGTCGAGCCCCAATGCCGCCAAGGAGGCGGCTCTGCGCATTCGCAAGTATCTCTCCGATCCCGCCGCCACCCCGAACCACACCCAGTACAATGCGATCATGCTCATGCGCATCCTGGTGGACAACCCGGGCCACACTTTCACCCGCAACTTCGATTCCAAATTCGTGACGACCGTCAAAGAACTGCTGCGTACAGGACGCGACTGGCACGTGCAGAGCTATCTCCGCCAGTATCTGGACACCCTCGAGCAACAGCGTGCATGGGACGAAGATCTCAAACTGCTGCTGCAGATGTGGGCAAAGGAGAAGACGAAAGCCTCGCACAGTCTGGTGAGCACATAGTCTCTCTGCGCGTTGTCGAAGATCTCTAACCGAGCTAGAACGACCGTTTCCCAATGAATTCCATCATCCCGCCGCAAGTCCCACCCAGGGCTTACCCTCACCAGCAGCAGCCACCTCGTGCACCGGCAAATACCCTTCCCGGCCCAGCGGAACTAGCAGCCCGCATCGAGGAGGCGCGCAATTCGGCAAAGCTGCTGACGCAGTTCGTCCAGTCCACGCCGCCAGTAGAGCTGGAAGACAACGACCTCATCAAGGAGTTCGTTGACCGCTGCGGGACAGCATCGCGTATTATTCAAGGATATATCCAGTCGACCAACCCGCCTGCGGACGAGGACACCCTGTTGACGCTTATTGAGACGAACGACGAGATCTCCGTGGCGCTGTCACAGCAGCAGCGTGCGATGTTGAAGGCACGCAAGATTAGAGGATCTTCGTCGCCGACCTCGTCCAATTTGAATAGCCCCTCGCCGACGTCGCCGGCTGTCGCATCAGGCGCTATCAATTTCTCTCCTCCCCCCGCAGCGCCAGCTGGGACCTCAACACAGAGTCGCGAGTCCCCTGCACCCGTCACAGCGCAGCTGCCTTCTCCGGCCATGACTGGTGGTCGCCCACTTGGTTCCCATCCCGTCTCGGGATCTACGACTACCAGCCGATATGAATACAACTCTGAGGATTTCCAGGTGCGGAATCCTTTCGCTGATGACTATGCTACGAATGACTCGGACCAGGAGAGGAATCGGGCGCATGGTAATTCGCAGACTCAGACTGATCGTGTGCGCTTCCAGCCCACTGAGCAGGAGCGCTAGCGTCATGCAGTGATCAATTGGTGATCGCCGATAGGCACTTCTCGATTTTTTTTGGGTCGCCCAGCGCCTTGACTCTTATTCCTTTTGGTTATACTCAACTCTGGTCATGGTTTTGTTTATTTGTGCAAGCGCATAGCTTTTGCGTCTCTTTTGGTCCTCTTTCGGTTATCTTTTCCTTCTCTTTGCCCTCGATGATACCTCGCACATTGTCACTCCACATATATCCATTAGCTTTTTACTGCGAATGCGTTCAGCTGCATGTCTGACCTATAGGAGGGCGAGTGTGCGCTGTCGTTCCGTACCCTGGCTACTTATGCCTTCCAGGTAAATATACTCGCGAATCTTATACCATCCGATCTAGTGCTGTACATGTGAAAGCAATGTCCCTCTAGATCATAATATGTGCGTGCACCTAGCTCGGACTTATATGCATGGCCCGCATCACAAGCAAAATATCGAATGAATTGGTAGGGAGTCATAAGCAACAGCTACAAAAGACTCACAAAAAAGCACAAGGACCAATCCAAGGCGGGCTGTTTCCAGGCATTATCAGACATATCGTCAACCGGCAAATGACGCCGCAGTAACGACTACCCCCTTCGTCTCTGACCTCAAAGACACGGGATAATCCATTTCATTTACCTCAGCAATGAAAGTATACCACCTTTTACTCCTCCTTCTTGATATCGGCCCTCTCATTAGCCTTAGCCTCGGTCTCAGCCTGAGCTCTCGCCTCAGCCTGGGCCCTCGCCTCAATCTCCTCAGGGAAAGGCTTCCTCGCCCACACACGTCGCCTGGATAAGAATCAGCCCAATGCACACACACACTAAAGGAAGAAAAGAAAGACATACGCGCGCTCATAAATATGATAACGAGGATTCTGCAGCTCGGCCCTCAGCTTCGCCACATAAACAATTACCTCCTCCTGCGACCAAGGCTCCGGAGCCCCGAATTTACAGAGCAACCACATAGCCCAGCCCTCCATACCAGACATCCAATGCTGATAGTTAACCGTGCCAGCCTCTTTATATTTCTGGTCGCGGGCCCACGGCCCAAGGGGCCACTTGTATTCTTTTTCATGGATATCCACAAACCCAGCCTTGCGGAAGGCGTCTTGCATCATATCGATGGTTTCCAGCGGACGGCCGGCTCGCTTGCCGCACGCCGATAGCGCTGGGCCCCAGCTGCGCAGGATGTTGTCTTCCGGCAGGCTGTCGTCGTCGCACTCGATGTACGGACTTGCTTCTAGTTGTTCGATCCAGCCGCCTGGGCGGATGTTGCTGGTTGGGTTAGATGGATGGAATGGGAGGGAAGGGGATGGGGATGGGTGGCTTACTCGTAGCATTGTTGGTAGACGCGGGTCCATTCTGCGTCGTCGAAGGCTCCGATCATGATGCGCATGTGGATTAGGTCTTGGGGTTCGTTCCAGGTCCATTCTTCGGCGATGTTGTCGACTTCCAGGATGCAGTTTGGTGGCATCCATTTTACTGGTGGTGGGAAGAGGTCGACTCCGCGGACGGTGGCTGGGATTTTTGGTTAATATGTTGACTGTTGATACGGGGTGAATTGCTTCTGGACTCACTTGTTGGGAACATGTCGGCTACATCGCTAGAAGAGGGTTAGTGGTCGTCCTTGAACATGATTGCTCCACATACATGGCCCAATTACCCAGACCTGTTCCAAGATCGAGAATATTTTTAGGATCTTTAACAGGCGACCGGAAAAGCGGGTTGTCGTTGTCTGAGTCCATGATCAGGGCTACCAAGTGGCTGCGATAGTGTTATCATTTGAAATACCAAAAAAAAACGAGGATTCCAATACCCAGCTTCGTATGTCTCGAACTGCTTCTCATCCGATGGGATCCTGATAGGAAGTAAGCAGGTAATACCTTGATTCGGAAATCCAAGCGTACAGATATTCTTTGTGGCTCAATGTTTGATACCGTCGGCCATTCTCCTCTAGCCCGCGATAAAGCGAGGAGCCGATCGAAGTGGTTTCCCTGAGATTGTGTGAGATACTATTCTTTCCATATAGGCAAAGAGACAATATTTACGATTGCCAGTCATCGCCGTAAGCTGTCGGGAGATGGGTCGTGGGATCCTAATATTGGTCAGAAAAGAAAACCAAAAAAATCAAAAAGCAGAATAAACATACCACGGCAATATCATCCTCGTCACTATGTTTTTCATACATTGTACAAACCGATCTTGCACAGAGAAGTCAAGAGAGAAGAATCCGAACGGGGAGAGGCATCCCCCGCTCTGTCAAAGCCCATATTAGGAAAATCATAGAACCCTCCCGGAGGTTATAGGTGGGCTTCGATGTGTGGGGTGGAAACCTGTCCCGGTATTACTCGGATTGGACCTCGTGTCCTAGTTGCATGTGAATTCACAAAAAGTACCATTATCTACCAATAGGAAGTGTCGAAAGTGATTCTTCACAGAAATTCTGCAGAAATTCCTTCCTGCTAAAACTCACTTCGTTCAAACAGGGATATATTCACGAATATCAAAGCTTATTGAGGGAATTTTTGAGACGATCAACTCAAAATGGAGTTTAAAATCTAGATCTATCGTTTTTATAGGGACTTGTCGGTCTGGGATTCGAAAGGACGACAGCTGGTATGACCTCCCGAGCATTTTAAAAGGTACGATTCGTAATTATTTGCCTATAATTGCCGAAATACGAAGCAGCTTATTGCATCTTTGGTTCTGATTTAAATGAGTAAATGTATAATGTGCTTAGGCTAAGTACTCTGTGTAGCTTAGGGGAGATAGGCTATCGACTAGCCTATGCGGGAATCCGGATGATGCCTCGACACTTGAACGTGTATAATCCAAGAAGAAGACACAATTAACACGTTCCTCATTGCAGATAAAGAAGTACCTACAAATTCAAAACATGCCAAACCCCATCCCCAAACTGCGCAGCATCATCCAAAAATCGGCCTCTCCCCCTTACAAACATATCTCTGCCAATCCCAGATCACGCACGGGTGGAACGCCTAATCCAAAATAAAGGCTGCAGCCCCTGCGGCGGCGCACTCCTCTGGCCAAAGAACTTCGCTTACCAACAGCACGCACTCTGAGTCCATGCCCGGATATGGCGGGAATCATCATCTCAGCACCAGAAGACTCGCCCTTCCAACTAGGCGATGAAGTATACGCCGCCCGAACTATAACCGACCAGGAAAAACGCGCGAGTACTCCATCGCCGGTACGGACGAGTTGGCGCCCAGACCTAGGGGCTTAAGCTGGGTGCAGGCTGCTGCAGTTCCTGTCTCTGCGCAGAGGGATGGCAGGTTCTTTTTGTCTATGCTCTCGGTACCCCGGGAAATAGGGGAGAGACGGATTTAGAGACTGCTAAGATTTCTTGGGCTGGAAAGAGAGTTCTTGTTACTGCTGCCTCTGGTGGTGTGGGGATTTGGCTTGTGCAGTTGGCGACTTTGTTAGGTACGTAGGTGGTTGCGATGTGTGGTTCTCGGAATGTGGAGCTTGTGAAGTCTCTTGGTGCGAAGGAGGTGCTTGATTATCGGGTTGTGGATTTGAGAGAGTGGGCTATGCAGTTGCCTTCTAATGTTGTTGCTGATTGTGTTGGAGGGAAGGCTCTTAGGGATGCGTGGTGCACTGTTAAGGATGGTGGCGCTGTGCTGAGTATTTATCAGCCACCATTGCAGGTCTGTCCGGATGGGTTTGAAGGTGAAAGGGTAAAAGATTTGTTCCTAGTTATGCAGCCTGCGAGGAGACAGTTAGACTAGATTTCGAAGTTGGTTGAGAAGGGGGTGTGTCGGGGATTGGTGGATAGTGTTTGGCCTCTTGAGCAGTATGAACAGGCATTCAAGAGACTGGATGGAGGACATGAAAAAGGAAACATTGTCTTTGATCCGTTGATGAATTACCAGCGGATGAGGGATGGAGACTGATGTTCTCGGGCACTGTTGCAACACACGCAGCCTCGGAGAAATAGAAGATTACTGTCATTTCTGGAAGATTGGCACTAAGTAGTTGGGAGCATACGCTGAATTTTGTGGGACTCAGACTAAAAGACTCATAAGTACGAAGTATCCAAGAGCCAATTAGGTATAGAGGGGAGAAGTGCAAGCAGGTTCTATATAAAGTACATGATCCAAGGAGTACTCCGGTTTCATGACATTTTCGACCGATGCCAATAGCTTCGAGCTTCGTCGCAATATCTAGCTGCAGGGAGGTAGGCTGAAGTTGCTCTCCGGAGGAAATATGTATAAGATATCCTTTGCATATGCGACAATGTCCAATGCTGGGGAAAGGTTGGGCAGCGAAATAGAGTCAGATATTGCGCATATGATATTCGTTCTATTGGACTCTATTGTGAGACTCCTGATAAATCAAGAGGTAGCTAGTCAGTTTCATTTTATTTTTGATTTTTAAAGCACTAAGTGGACTATTTAATCCTCGGGATAATCCTCGGGATAATCCTGGAATGAAATTGGATAAACGTCCGAGCGGAACCTGCCAAGTCAAGTTTATTCGATCTCCACGTTCTTAATCAACGTAAAGCACCCATCGAATTCCTTGTCTCACCTGTCAACCTCCCCATTGGCACCTGGGCAGGTCCCATCAACGTGAAACTCGGCGCATCCCTGTTCGGCGCGTGGCAGGCTTGGCAACCCTAGCCTCAGGAACGTCGGCCTCATCCCGATCGAGAAGATCATCCAGCCTAGTTCAATATGCACCCGAGGCCATATTTACCCGATATGATGCGGTCTCAACTTGCCGCCGTTCTCACTTGTCCTAGGTGGGGGAGCGCTGTCCCTTTGATATATCCGATGTGTTTCAGTGTGATACAGGCATCCGGCCCTACTCACTGTTCAAGGCGTCTCTGATAGGTGTCAATCTAGTGTTTGTGGTTGATTAACGTCCCATACGAGTCAGCTAGTGCTCCTTTTGAATATGGCTACTATATAAGCAGCCGCATGCCACGCGACAGACCAGTTCAGTATGCTGGCCCAGTCTTTTTGAACTTTCATTCACATCCACATTCATTTCCTCCGGTTTGAGACCGTGCAGACTTTCATTCATCAAGTATACATTCATTCATCGGTCCGGTTTACCGATCATTTCCATTCACTCCCCCTGACATCCCAACTCGCCAAACATGAAGCACTTCACCTCCGCTCTGGCTGTCGCCAGCATCGTCTCCTTGGTCAACGGCCATGGCTTCGTTACCAGCCCGAAAGCCCGCCAGCCCGGTACCGCAATGGGAGCCGCCTGTGGCCAGCAAGTCCTGTCCAACCAAGGCTCCGACAAGTACGGCAACATCCAAGGCGAGCTGCAAGTCGCCTCCAGCCAGAAGGACTACAAAGACGCCGAGTGCGATATCTGGCTTTGCAAGGGCTACAAGTTCGCCGACAACAAGGACAACGTCCAATCGTACAAGGCAGGACAGAAAGTGGACTTCACCGTCGACATCCGCGCCCCGCACACCGGTGTCGCTAACGTCTCTGTGGTCGACACCGCTTCCAACAAAGTCATTGGAAACCCCCTGATCTCCTGGGATGAGTACGCGTCCACCGCCACCGGTGTCACTTCCGACGAGACAAACTTCAGCGTTACTATCCCCGACGATCTCGGAAGCCAGTGTGCCACCGCCGGTGACTGTGTGCTGCAGTGGTACTGGTTCGCCGAATCAATTGACCAGACCTACGAGTCATGTGTCGATTTCACTCTCGGTGGATCTGGTGGCTCGGCTCCGGTTGAGTCGTCGGCCTCTTCGGGCGCGTCGACCTCCAGCTCTACGGAGATTGCTGTTACCACGGCCCCTACTGTCGCTGTTCAAACCCCCACCACAGCTGCTGTTCAGCCTATTACTTCCTCCACGGTTGCTGCTCAGCCTACTACTTTCGCTACCACTGCCCGTCAATCGGCTACTTCTTCCGCGGCCCAAGTCCCTACCGCCAGCGCTGTCCCCTCCGCTAGCGCTTCAGCTCTGCCTTTCCCCACAGGTAGTGCTGAAGATGTCCTGTCCTGGATTCAGGCCATGCTCGGCAACTTGTTGGGTAACTAAATGCGGAGGGCGCGGAGAATGGCCCACTAAAAAGTGGGCGGCATGATGCCGGAAGCACATCGTGTTCAGTTTTGGATCTACCTGTATCTCCTACGTTAGCTAGTAGATAGATATATAGGTAATTAAATGTCAGATTACCATGCTTTCTTCCTCGTCCTGGATTCCAATGCAACACCGTCCATAGCGATAATCGGAGAGATCACCGAACATCCGACATCGCCACTTCCTCGATTCACCTCATGAAACATAAGATATCAATATAAAAGCAAGTATTCCCCATACAGCCAAACATCTTCCAGTATTTCAAATCATTCAAAAAAAAAAATGCACTGTCGCCTGAACTCCACAGCAACTAGACTAGTCACCCACTCCCCAAGGATCCCAATTCAACCAGTCTACAGACACTTCAACACAACAATGTCCCAGCAAACCAAAGACTGGAGCGCAAGTCAATACCTCAAATTTGAAAACGAACGCACCCAGCCCGCGCGCGACCTCCTCTCACACGTGCCCCTAACATCCCCAAAGAGAATAATCGACCTAGGCTGCGGCCCCGCCAACTCAACAACAGTCCTAGCAACCCAATACCCATCAGCAACAATAACAGGTCTCGACTCATCACCGGACATGATCAAGCGCGCAAAGCAAGTCCTCCCAGACCGGGACTTCCACGTCGCGGACTTGTCAACCTACACGCCCGACCCAGCGAAGCCAGTCGACCTCTTCTTCTCGAACGCGGTGTTCCAGTGGCTGAAAGCCGACGACCGCATTGCGGTCATTAAGCGGCTACTGCAGCCCCAGGAAAAGGGCGCTGTTTTCGCACTCCAGGTCCCGCATAATCTGGACCAGCCTTCGCATATCCTTATGCGGGAGACGGCTGCTCAGGCCCCGTGGGCGGAGAAACTGGCTGGTGTGCAGAGAGATGGGTTTCAGTCGCCGCAGGAGCTTTATGATCTTATTAAGCCGTTTTGTAGCCAGGTTGAGGTTTTTGAGACGAGTTATTACCATTCGCTTGAGAGTCATGAGGCTGTTATTGAGTGGGTTAAGGGGACGGGGTTGAGGCCGTTTTTGGATCCGTTGGAGGATGTGGAGAAGGTGGCTTTCTTGAAGGAGTATTTGAGGCGCTTGCGGGATGCGTATCCTGTTTCTGTAGATGGGAGGGTGTTGTTGAAGTATCCGCGGTTGTTTATGGTTGCTGTGAGATGATTTGGCTGGACGGTAGTTCTTGCTTCGGCTTTGGTGGAGATCTACTTGCGTATGCATAGCTTGTAATTACTGGTTTTTCTAATGTCATAGTGTATATGGAACTATTGGCCCCGGAATTTCCAGGGTCCATCCTACCCGATCTGATGAAAGTCTAGAGATAGAAAAACATGGGACACATGGATCGATGAGACGATGAACGGATTCACATCCACATTGCTATTCAGTAAGCTGCTTAGATAGAAGACAGCACCATTCGCCAATGATAGACTAGACTGTTCCCGAAGCAGCAATCTTAATGGTACCGTCAGTCTTTCCAGACCGATCTAAGCTCTTGCTCTCCATCTTCTGGAGAATATCCAGACCGGAAACAACTTCTCCGAAGACAACATGCTTTCCATCCAAGTGGGGGGTTTTCACAAACTAATCTAGTCAGAACGTCTCCCATCTACTTCTTTCAGAAAGGTTTCGACTCACAGTAATGAAGAATTGAGAACCATTGGTGTTGGGTCCAGCATTCGCCATGGAGAGTAAACCGCCCTTGGTATGCTTAATCTGGAAGTTCTCATCCGCGAACTTCTCACCGTAGATGGACTTGCCGCCCGTGCCCTGGATAGAGAGTAGAGATTAGCCGGAGCTCGGATATCCCCGTGGAGATACGGACATTTCCGCGAGTAAAGTCACCACCCTGGGCCATGAATCCGGAAATTACGCGGTGAAAAGCAGAGCCTGCGTAGCCGAAGCCCTTTTCGCCCGTGGCTAGGGTGCGGAAGTTGGTCGCGGTCTTGGGGACGACGTCGTCATAGAGTTTGAACTCGATGCGGCCCCAATTTTCCACTGCACGGAGTTAATGTTGCTCAAATGAGATAAGAGTGTAGACTTACCCTGGCCGCCGGCCGTGGCGTATTCAATATCAAAATAGGGGTTGGACATGATGAATTAGATGATTTGAGGTGAGATGGGATGTAGACGGATGAACTGGAAGGCGGGGTAAATAAATGAGGGGCTCGGATCCTATGGACATGCAGGAATGAGGTCATCTTAGGGTTGAATGGTACAAGTTGGACGTGTCAGGGCATATGGTTGGACACAGACATGGATAGTTGGACAAAGGTCGGATTCATCGGTACCTGGTAGGGTTCTGATCCAAAATTTCAACCGGGATTGTATATCTACAACTTCGAAGAGACATTGAAGTTGTAGATGCTTACTACTAATATGTTATCGAGGCCTTTATTTATAGAATCAAGATTGAAACGGATTCGTCAAAGTTTCATCGGATTGTACCGGAAAAAAAGTCACAGACCGTCACAGACCGTCACAGACCATCACAGGCATCGCAAAGATGCTGCCGTCACGAGAACAAGACTGAGGGGCACATAACAAAGTGCACCCAAGAACATGTAAGAGATTAACGACAAATTCACGAGATGGTAGTAAAACCATGAGAAAAGGTGACCACGCAAGATTCCCATCCGAAGTCTCTCTTCCCCGTCACATCGTCCTCCGCGTGCCTTGCCACCGAAATCAGGCTCCTTCTAGTCAGAACTGTTGACGTCCTTGTTAGGGGACTCACTGGGAGCAGTCTTTGGAAGATTCTGCTGAATCTTGATATTCAGCCGAGACCACTGCTTCTGAACAGTTCCAACAGCCTTGCCCGCATCTTTCGCCACGGCAGGCCAGTCAATCTGTAAGACAATTCAGTTAGTAGATGGCATACTATCGTGTATTGATCAGATATGTCAAGATATCTGAGATGTCCAGACAGAGACACAGGTCAAGACAGAGACACAGGTCAAGACAGAGACACAAGTCAAGACAGAGACACAGGTCAAGACAGAGACACAAGTCAAGACAGAGACACAAGTCAAGACAGAGACACAAGTCAAGACAGAGACACAGTCAAGTCAACTGAGAGACACTTACTTTCATGCCTGTAGACATCTTCATAATTTTCCACAAGAACACAAGGTCCTCGTTAAGAACGACGGACTTGGTCGGGGATCGTTTGGCCGGGGGGGTTTTCACCGGAGTTCGCTTCGCAATGCCTGCCTTGACCGGCTTGGTCGCCTTGTCCTTAGTGGTGGTCGCTTCTTTAGGAGTGGTTGGTTCTTTAGCCATTTCGACAATGAGATGAAGGACAATTTGAAGTTGGGTTGCGTAGAAACGGTCTGAAAAAAGAATTGGCTAGGGAACAAATTAGATGGAAGAATGAGAGAAGAAGAAAAACGCAAAATATTCCAATTTATAGCAGGCTCGCCGTCGTCCCGACGATTAGTTCACCAGTAAGCGATCAAACAGGAGTCTTGAGCAGATTTGCAGGTCACCAGGTTGTGGTAATTACTGTTAAGGGTAGTAAATTATTGGTAGATCATAATGGTTACTATGACCTGGTGACTTGACAGTAGCGCAATAGATTCATGAAGCAGCTTCAACTCGCAGAAACTCTGTACCACGTTGATTCACTCGTTATCCTGTGGAGGTACGTGTAGCCTTCGATAACAGGAAGCCAATGTCGACTCCTTGCAGCAACTCGGTCGCGCCAAATTCAACATGAGATCTCATTCAACATAGGCTTGAAGGAGAACACGCATCAGATCGGATCATTCCAGTCTTTGCAATTCGGGCAGAGTTACTATTCCTCGTGCCTCCTGTGCATGATAACAACAGTGAGCCACTCCCGGCAAATATCAATCAGTTGATCCGCCTGTCCGAATCCGAAGAATCGAGATATCTGAGTCCATCACGTGAGTCAGGAAACCTAATATCCAGCGCTATTAGCATGGTTGGTTCAGGTACCATCAAATATCCAATCAGAGTAGCCCGAACACCTGCAACATTATACATACGTAAGGTATGTATGTTGGATGTTGTACATGCAAAATGCCCCTCGGAGGTGCCAAGAAGCTAAGGTGGAGCATCCACACGGCTCCGGGGATGGATGATCCGATCAGATAAGCACTGCCACAGAGGAATTTATTTCTCCCCTTGCATGAGTTTCTTTCATCCTCCCATTCATCAAATTCAAGCCATTCATCATGGAGGAACATTTGCGTCAAAGTCTTTCCAACCACCCCCATGCCTTCCAGAATTTGCATCATACCCATAGCAGCTCACCGTCACACCGGGACAGATTGCCTCTATCCTTCAATGAAGGGACCACAACCGCCCTTGAGCACGAGCTCACCACCCTGCAGCAACACCGCAATGGTAGTTCCAGTGACGAAGAAGGCCAACCTCCACCACGCTATACCCCTGAAAGCGATCCGTTCCAGCTTGCCTCGAAGCTGAAGACCGAGGATGAGATCCGACAGATGAAAGCCAATACATCGCGGAAACGGGATTCCACTGCAAACAAAAGCCGGAAAGTGGGTTCCATAGTGCAAGACACTGCCCGTCTCGGAAAGCAGGCTTTCATTACCAAAAAGCTGCAGGGATTCTACGAGTCCCAAAATGAAAACATCGAGCGCATGTTGAAGCCCGTCGAGGAGCACCGACGTGCCGCCCGCGAATTGAGCGTCGACAACCGTCTCAAGTACCGGATCGCTGTTTACGGTAGTTTTGCCGCGAATATCATTCTCTCGATCATCCAGGTGTACGGTGCCGTGTCGTCCGGATCACTGTCTCTGTTCACCACAATGGCCGACGCCGTCTTCGACCCCATGTCCAACCTGACCCTCCTGCTGTGCAACAAGGCCGTCAACCGCGTTGATCCGCGCAAGTTCCCCGCTGGAAAGGCCCGCATCGAAACCGCTGGCAATATCTGCTTCTGCTTCCTTATGACCGCCGTCTCTTTCATCATCATCGCCTTCTCCATTCGCGAACTGGTATCGGGCTCCGAGGAAGAAACCCAGTCTTTCCATCTCCCTTCCGTCATTGCCGTCGCCGTGGCCTTCGCCACCAAATTTGCCCTTTTCCTGTACTGCTGGGCCCTGCGCAACCAGGTCTCGCAGATCCGCATTCTGTGGGAGGATCACCGCAACGATCTGTTCATCAACGGGTTCGGTATTCTGACCTCCGTCGGTGGTAGTAAGCTGCGTTGGTGGATCGATCCTATGGGTGCTATTATTCTGTCCGTGCTGGTCAGTGGACTGTGGCTGCACTCCGCCTATGGCGAGTTCGAGTTGCTCATCGGCGTTACTGCCGACACTAAGATGCAACAGCTTATCACTTATATCTGTATGTTCATTCCCTTTCGGTTCTTTTGAGCTCTGAGTCAAAAAGCCACTAACATCTCTATCAGCCATGACCCACTCTCCTGCCATCACTGCCATCGATACCGTCCGTGCATATACCTCTGGCCCTCGCCTGCTGGTCGAGGTGGACGTCGTCATGGACCCAGAGGCATCCCTGCGTGCCACCCACGATGTCGCCGAAGAGCTCCAGATTAAGCTGGAGTCGCTTCCCGACGTTGAGCGTGCATATGTGCATGTTGACTACGAGACTACTCACAAGCCGGAGCATTCTCTGAAGAAGGAGCTTTAGAGACTTTGACATAGAAGTCTGTATTGGCTGTTTCATTTTGGACAGCATTAAGTCGAAGTCGAAGCCCACCCATTCCTTTGATTTTCTCCAGGAGCCATTTTGTTTAGAAGAGCGTTGTCTGCCTATTTATTGCTTCATTTCTTTTATGCAATGGGTGGAAATCACATAGTGACTTTGAAAACTTAGTGCCTTTTCTGATATATTCTTTGGTGCCGTTCTCGAAGTCTTCACAATAGCCGTCAATGCTCAATCTCGAGTGGACTGTCCCAGTCAAGGACAACCTGAAGAACAGTCCCAAGAAACCAGGCTTTGCCGGGGTGTCGACAACCAGCAGTTTCTGGTAGTGCCCAATCGACCAAGATCAACCAGTTGTAGGACTCTCGAATGAGAGGATCTGATGGAAGATATCCCGAAGATGAGTGATTAACCGTTTGAGGTAGAATCTTATCTTCTAGAAAAGCATTTCCTATGTGACGTGGTAGGTGCCTTCCCTTTTTGTCAAAACTCGTCGCCGACCCCAGTTCCTTCCTCCCACTGGGAAAATATAAATACCCCCTCCCCCCCATTTCTCTCTTCTTCTTCTTCTTCTTTTTCTTCTTCTTCTTCTTCTTCTTCTTCTTCTCTTTCTTTCTTTCTTTCTTTCTTCCTTCCTCACACCCTCACACCCCCACACCACTCCGGGTCCCGCACACCGTGGTCCCTTCAGCTCCAGGTGATGGGTCTTTGCTGCGGCTCAGCCAAGGCTGTGAATGGCACGAAGCATGTATACGCCTTCACACCGAACGGCAATCTTCGGATTCCTTAGGTGCTTGGTTATGGCCGCTGCGGATACAGACTGTACTTTCCTATTCTCTCCATTGTCTATCACGAGAGCTGAACCAGGTATGTCTGTTCCCTTATTTGTTCCTGTTGTCTTTTTATTTGTTCCTTTCTTTCTTCACCCCCTGTCTAACCTAGTTGCATGGGTCCTGTGTGCAACACCTGAACAAGACTTGCCCCTTTGGGTGGTGTTCAGGATGAGTAGCCTTATGGTGAAACCAAGCAAGTCCCTATCTAGAACTGCAATAGAAATCAACCTGTATTTGGTCTTATTCTAATCTGATATTGACTGCCTAATGTAACCTGTATAAACACAAATGAGAATTTTACCCTAGTGACCGCAGGTCGATACGCGCTGCAGCTTGCCCAACTACCATGGTAAATCGGTATTCGACTGTCCACACAGGTTCCTTTCACTCCGTATGCTTTCAGTAGCTTGCACATGTGTACTTCAAAATCATTTCCGTGTCTTAAACCCTCCAGGGCTTTCTCAAAGGAGAGGGTATATCTTTATCCACATTGTGCTTGTTGGTCTCGCAAATCTGCTTTCTAGTAGGGATCAATGGACCGTTGTTGTCTTCGTTATCCTTGGGAACGAAGCAGAAATATTCTCCAACTCATGATTTCCCCTTTAATAAGGCACGAGGCGAGGAACTGAGACACAGGCTACGATTTGACAGTTCACCTGAATCTACAAGAACGAAGATCATAAGTTGGATCCCATAGCATTTTATATCGTCACGTCGATCAGTCTAGTAATGGTCTTATTCATAATCTCATGAAAGAAACCGAAAATGGTGTCGAGTAAAAAACCTCCAGTGTGCAAATCCGATGCACAAGAACAATTTTTAGGGAAGTGCCTAAGACATAAGGACAGGAAGACAGGGAGGAGAAAAATGGAGATCGGATCTCATACGATGAGGAAACACAAAAAAGTTAAATGGTATTGTTTACAACAATGAACGAGAAACAAAATGAGAAATAAAAATGATTCCAGAGAAAAGAATAACCTAAGCATGCTGTTCAAAGAGAGCAATAGTCGAGCAGAAGTTACTCTTGTTCGGCTTCTGAGGGACCAGGCCCTTTCCACTGGACGAGGTAACCATATTAACAGCAGCCTTGGTGCTGAGACCATACAGCTTGACATCCGAACAATCAACCTCGACCATGTTCTCCTGGCAATCCTCGGAGTTGAGACAGGATTGGGTGTAGTTCTCGAAGAAGCTGTAGAGACCGGCACCGAAGACGAAGACGTCCGAGGAGCCGAGAACACGCAGACCCCAGGCCTTGCGGCAGGAGTTTGTCTTGCAGTTCGAGAAGTCGGGATCATTCCAGGACTTTTGCGGGGTGAAGGGGACCAGCGAGGTCGGGTTGGACTGGTAGTACGGAGTCTCGGATTGGATGAGGCCCATGAAGACGTTCTTAGCACTTGAGATCTGGTAGTTGTACAGCTGATGGTGCTCCGAGGAGGTACCCCACAGCCAAACGGGGTTCTGCGACTCGATGAGCACACCGCGGGCAGTGTAGACGTTGATCTGGTTGTGATCCTTGAGGTCGAGCTCGTGATCAGCGGTCCAGAACCAGGTGTTCTCAAGGTAGGCGCTGCCCTTCTTGGTGATGTGCAGCAGCATAAAGGCAGCCATGCACTCCTTCTTAGGGGTGGTCTTCTCCTTGGGGGTCTTGGGGCAAGTGTCACTCTGCAGCTCTGTACCGGCGGCGCCACCGATGCGGAAGTGGACGTCCCACATACCGGCGGAACCTTGGGAAGAGCCGGCAACGTTCCACTCCATGAGGATAGCACCAGGGGCGGGGCCCTTGGTGGTGATGATGAGGTCGCTCATCTCGACAGAGCCAGTGTCACCCTTTTCGCCGACTTGGAAGACAGGAACAGGGTTCTCTTGATCGGCGAACGTCTTGCCGTGTGCCATGAGCATGGGCCAGATCTCACCAGTGATCTTGATGTCCTTAGGAACCTTGATGGTGGAGGTAATGACATAGGCACCGTGATCGAAGTAGATGATCTGACCATCCTTGTAGCTGTTGAAAATCTTCTGGATGGCCTCAGTGTCGTCAGTAGTTCCATCACCCTTGGCGCCAGCAGACTTGACGCTGATGAAAGAGGAGGCTGCGACGTTCTCGTACAGAGGCTTGGAGCGTTCAAAGATAGCGCCTCCCTTGAGCATGCTAGCGGGCTTGGAAGCAGTCTTGAGAGTGCTCTGGGTACGGGCAGAGGCAACGGCGCCCGGGGCGCCGCAAGTGCCCGTGCTGCTATCACTGCCGGACTGGCGGCCCTCGCTATCTTCGGAGCCGTTGTTGGTACTTTCAGAAGGTGCAGCAGTGGATGTGACAGACACAGCAGGTTCCTTGGCAGAAACAACACTGGAGGGCGAAGGACCAACAGGCACCGCGGAAGTGACAGGGGCCTCAGTAGAAGGAGGAGCGACGGGAGTGGGCTCGGGGACTTCAGCGGGAATCGAAGACTCAGCAGGGCGATCAGCATCGCTACTGGTACCAGCGCCCGGGATAGGCGAAGGAGCGGGAGCGGATCCAAGTGATGAAGTCTTCGCAGGGGCAGGAACGTCGCTGCCCGCAAGGCTGGCGCTGGGAAGGCCATAGGAAGCGGGACAGGCAAGGATAGTCTCCGTAACGGTCTCGACAACGGTAACCAGCTCAGGCTGAGCCTCGCTGGCGCGCTTGTTGATAGTCTTAGACGGAGTGTAAGTGTTACCCTGGATCCAGCTGTCGACGACAGAGCCACCCTCCAGGATGACCTTGCCATCGACACCAGCAACAGCAACCTTGGAGCCAGAGAAATCCACGTTATCCAAAATCAGGTCACCACCACCAACGGGGATACTCTTTTGTGTCCAGGCAGTAACGATACCAGTGGGGGTGTTGGTGAGCTTGCTGTCGAGCATCAACACAGAGCCAACAGTCTGGTTGGAAGGCGAGGTAGACATATTCAGGCCAACCTCGCAGTTATTGATTTTGACCGACTTGAAAGTCCAGGCCCAGTTCCAGTTCATGAAAATGGCAGTCTGGCAGTCGTTGAAGACCAAATTGCGGGTAGTGAACTGTTGGTTACCGAGGAACATGCCGTAGTTACCACCGTTGAAAGTCAAGTCTGCCATGAAACCACCGGATCCATTGTCCATGAAGATACCCTGTTGCTTGTTGGCCTCACCACCACCCTTGACCATCTCGAAGCGAATGTTCTGCAAGCTCGTAGCCTGGCCGACCTGCCAGTGGATACCGGCGCCGGCGCCAGCGGGGACGCTGGTCAGATCAATGACCAAGTTGCGAATGGCGCGGAAGAAGTTGTTCTGGTTGGTGTACCAATTGGCGCCGTCGTCCTCGTAGGGATCGGCGTCAATCACAGCCATACCTGCGAACTTCGCGGAAGCCTTGATGATGGGGAGTTCGACAGCATCACCGACAATCTGGGTGTAGTAGTACTGGACGATGGGCTTCGAGACGACATAGGTACCAGGCGGGAAGTAGACAATAGCAGGAGTGGTGGTAGAGGAATCACAGCCCTTGCCACAGCGCCCTCCAGAAGAAATAGCCTTGTTGATAGCCGCAGTGTCATCAGTGGAGCCGTCACCTATGATATAGTTAGCATGTTGTCCGAGGTATGGAGTTTGGATGAATGACTCACCCTTGGCACCATAGTCCTTTACATTTCGGAAGATCTTGTAGTCGGCGTTCTTAGCGAAGGGGACGATACCCTGGCGCTCAACATTGGCGACCCAGTAGCTTGAGGCAGCGGATGTCTTTTGGGTGGTCGCCAACACGTTGTTAACGGGAGAGACGGGAACGGTGACTGGCACAGCTGCGACCAAAGAGGCTGGCAAACCGAGCAAAAGGATTATATGGGCGACAAATATCGCGATGGAGGTTTGTAAGACGGCCATATTGAAAATGGATAATGCTGAACCAGCAGCGAAGTAGAAAAGGATGTCTAGGGAATGCAGATTCAGTAACCAGTATTGCGAAAATCGAAATAAGAATATCGAGTCCAACGCTTGACCGGCAAGCGATATGCAGGGAGAAAGCAAGAGAAGATTTAAAGAGTCAATCTCCAGATGCACAGTTCCTTCCCCAAAGAGATGCGAAGACAAAACAATGGAGTATCAAACAAATGAATGAATAGATTGAAGAGAATGAATGAAATGAAAAGAGAAAAGAGAAGAAAGACACAAAATAGGACACAATGGGATCAATAGGAATCATACCTATAAGAAAGCCCTCGTTTGCCAACTTCCCCTTTTCAGCCAATCAAACGCACCAGAGCCTTGAAGTCCACCACACCCAACCAATCAGAAACCCAGGACTTGCGACAGCGGGAGAAGCTTGAAACGTGATAGTCTGGAGATGAAACGCTGAAGATCAGTGTTGCAGCTTGATTCGGCCAAATCGCAGTAAGTGTTTCGAAATCGCGATTTAGGGCGTTTGAGGGGCAATTTCCAATCTGTTCGTACACCGTAGAACAGAACAGCCTTCGGATGAAATGGACAACACGAGAGTTAAGGGCCTACGCGCTATATAGCTAGATTCAGAACCTAAACAGGGTATGCCGGGTCATCCATTCCAATCATCTGAGATGCATAGGTTATGCTTACAGGGGGATAGGTCGAGCATTGCAAGTTGTCGCGTATCACTATGCCCTTGACCCGAGTGGGTCCCCCTGTTCAATAGATGGGTGTATAATTAAATAGTGCCGATGATAACTCGATTCCATAGAACTGACATCGTGGAGAATATCTCTTTATTCCGTTTGCTTCAAAATGCAGGTGTATGTGTATGTGTTTGTGTAATGTAGACATGTCACACGAACTAGACTCGACGCCTCAAGTCAAAAATGGTGTATATCCCCCGCGTTTTGTCAGCGTGTTGTCACCTGGGCAGGGGGCGTTCCGCGTTCCAAGTTATGGATGAACATTCCGGAGGGTTTGAAAGATTCCTGATGACGGAGAACAAAAAAGCAAAGTCATAACATGACCAGGCCACGACATCGGGAATTCCTGAAGGTCAATTTAAGGGCGTTTGGTGTGAAAGTCTCAAGGCCAAGCTTTGTTCCCCTGAGAGATTAAGACCCGCTCGGGATTGGCTTGCCCTCATCCTTGAAACTGTCTCGGGTCTTATTTTGCCCCTGTTTGTGGCAGAATTACTCCAAGGACTTTCTGTTGCCCAGGTCTTTGACTAATCCCGGTTCCAAAAGTAACCTTGGACCTGCCACAGGTTTGCATAATGCAATGCCCGACGCAGAGCCTCAACATGTATGTAGACTCCTATATCCAATATCAAACTCAAGAGGCTTGTATGAGCTGGCAAGACTACGTCTTAAATTAAATTGCCTACTTAAAATTTCATGCGCCACGCGTCCCTAGTGGACACGGTACGGACCGGACTCTCGACCAGCTGGCGTGGCTCCGGAGTGGCGTGGATCCAAGTCCGACGCCACAATACCAGGGTTAGACCTGGGTACGAGTCATACGGTTGAGAACACGCGCTAGCCTACGCATGCCCTCGGTCAAGTGTCGTGGCTCTTCCCACGCAAAACAGAGACGCAGATGATCCGAAAACCCCTCATCAGTCACCTGCGGGTCTCCGGGGACCTGAAAAACATCACCTGGAGATACACGCAGATTTTCTTCGCTCAGCGCTAGCTGGACTACGTCGGCGGCGAGCAACGGCGCTGGTAGACCAATCCACATGAAGTAGCCACCCGCCGTCGCGGCAGGCGCTGGGACTGTGACGCCCAGCGGAAGGAGATGCTCATGGATTGCTGATAGCAAGGTGTGGTAGTGCTGAGCGTATTTCGGTTGTAGGACGTCCCGGATGTGGTTTTGTATGCCTGTAGGGAACATCTGGTCAATGATAGCGGCGCATAAATGGGAAGGAGCGCCGCCCGATCGGGAAGAGCCTCTGCAAGCAATATCGGGTCAGTCTGCGAATCGGTATCCGAGAAGAAGGGTTGGTCAGTCAAGTCATCCCGGTGCCCCATACGTTTGTGATAATCCATAGGCAACCTTTTCGGAAGCCTCGGCCCAGCCGGTGCGGGCCCCAGGCCCGATTAGTTTGCTGAAACTGCCGTTGCTTAGTGCGTGCCCCCATTCATCCTGTGGACCACCGTCCACGTAGCGGTCCACATCGACAATGCGCGGGATACATGCGCGGTCACCGAAATTCTCCTCTCCCTCCGGCTTAGCCGACCACAGAAGGAAATCGTACACATCGTCCGTAACGATAAGCGCATCGTACTGACGGGCGAGGCGAACGAGCGCCTCACGTCTACGCAGGGACATAATCTTCCCCGAGGGATTCGCAAAAGTCGGCACAGCATAAATGACATGCTTGTAGATTTTGCGCCAGGGCCTGGGCGGTTTCATTTTCTGCAGGGAAAGAGGGGCAGGGTTAGTCCGGGACTCAATAGACGATGGCACAGTGGCATGGCACGGTCACTGCCAATCATGCCAGCTCAGTCATGGGCCCAGGATTGTCCTACCGGCTCGGTATTCCCATCGCGCAGGGCAATATCTTCCGCAGCGCGCAAGCCGCTCTCCAGCACCGCTATGTCGACGCCCTCGTCATCTTCGGGGATCCCGCGTAGGCGCCCGGCGAAGCCGGCGTCGTCCATGATGCGCGCGGCCAGGTGGTACGTCGGTGCGACCATCCATACATTCCGCGTGTAGACCGGGTCTGTGAAGGTTTGCAGCACGCATGCTAGGTTCTGGCTGGCCCCGCCGGTGATGCAGATGCGCTGCGATGAGACGGGCTCGCGCGGCTGGTAGAAATCGCTCAGCCATGCGGCTATGTGTGTGCGCAGCGGCTCGTACCCTTCGTCGGGGCCGTAGAGGAGGGCTGGGGTTGCGATAGAGGGGTTGGACAGTACGGTCGTGGCGGAATGGCGGAGGATGGGGGCGGGGAGGAGGGCGGGGTTGGGCCAGCCAGTTTGGAGGTCAATGGGCTTGGGGGAGACCGTGATGGTCATGACGAATTGGATATTAAAGTAGATCGTGAATATCGCCTGCTTATGTATAGGTTAAAACCAATAGTTTGAGGCTTGGGTAAAGAGCTCGGGCTTCCACGGTTGGGATGTGGCAAAGTGGGCACTGATGCATCCGAGATCGGGAATTGAATGGTTCCAGGGGGTGAACAGGAGCAGGAGCAGTATTGATATTGTTTATATTGAGAGAGCTACATATGTATATACAGACTTTGGAGTTTGGTCAGAGTATATTTTAAGTATATCTCAATTTTAAAAAGTCGAAATACTTCTCATGTCGAGATATATATTTAGAGTACCGATGTCATAAGAAGGTGCCTTGGCAATACCGGGCTAGTATGCACTTGTATCCCCCAGTTCGGACAGAGTTCGTAGGGTATGTCGGATCATAGCGGACGTGATCGTGTTTTATATATGGACTGTAATTGGGTGCTTTCAAGGTTCGAGTAAGGTATGTCAGTTCAATGTTTCTACTTCCAATTCGAGTTATTTCTCTGATAATCTGTTCCAATATATAATTGATAGTTATGCTATATATTCTGTGTTCTTCTCACAATATACAAAGGAATTGTAAATGTGACTGCCTATATTCTTTGACATCTATCCTACAACAGATTTAATTGGGTCCACATCCAAGACATGCACAGCCAGGGAACCTCATAGTTCTATTATTGGCACCGCGAACTCCGTCTTTCTCGTATTATATGAATGTTGGTATTATATTGTATTATATTATTAAATAGTAAAATAATAACTAAAATAAAATAATGGAGGCTCCGATATTACCTTTTTTTTTATTTCCATCAAGTTACTTCTCCTGAGCTTTCTCCCCTTGTGATTCTCTTTCCCTTTTAAAATTTTTTTTGTTTGGATCTCAGCTTAGCCTCATCCATTCCCTTGAGGACGTCGGGTTGTCATTCTTCCAATCCCTCCTGCCGATCCATTCCACAACCCCCTAAACCTCCTCCCATCACCTGCCTAGTACACACTTCATTCCTACAGGGCTCCCATGCGGGCGTGAACTTCTCTACCTACGGGTCGCCTTCCTCCCCGAAAATAACTTATCCTCCAACATCTGTATCACCCAAGATGTTGTCGGCTCCCGTTAAGTCGGCGAAGCGGATCTCGTCTCTGTTTTCGCTGGGATCCAAAGATCGGGACTCCCAATCCTCGCCCGTGTCTTCGCCAGTTTTGAGCCCAGAAAACCCCATGGACGACAAGCGACGCCGGAGCAGCTCAAAACCCACCCGCCATGTCTCAACCCCCAATCCCGTCTTCTCTTCGGAGCCCAGGACCATGCCCAATAACCTCGATATGGAGAGCCTACCCCCGCCACCTTCACTGCTGGCGGTGAACCAAGATCTGGCAAACAGCGCTCCGAGTTCGCCTGTTGGCCGTCCGCAGAGCAGAGGTCGCGATATGAGCAGACCCTCCAGCTCGGCAGGGTTGGCTATCCCTGGATCGAACCCGGATTCCCGCCCCAGCACACCGTCGAAGCGCAGAAGTTGGATGCCAGGTCGTTCGCGCGCCAGCTCAATCGACAAGCGGCTAACTCCCACAACTCCCATGCTTCCGGCTGCTTGGATCGCAGGACTGGACCAAAAGGTCGTTTATGACCTGGGTCCATTGTCCAGAGGAGAACAGGTATGCATACGCGAATTTAGTCCGTTTCGAGGTGTACTGATTTAATCATTTTCTTCGTTGGTTTCCAGATCCAGGAACTGTGGAACGAACAAGGTGACACTTATGTGTATCTGTTCCCCCAAAATACCGGCCGCGCCCCATCTTTTAAGGTCGATTCCACCATATTTGCCGAATCCCCCTCCCTCACCTATTTAGCCCGCGGCAATGATGGCAAGAGCGGCCTCGAGCAGCCAACCCGAACATTATCACTGAACCCACCAATGTCTCCGCCTATGTCGCCGCTGGACCGTCAGCCCGACAACGACAACGATAACGATAGTGCGGGAAGCCAAAGAATGGCATTCGAAGATACCCCCGAGGAATTACAGGAACTTCATCTTTATCTCCCCATTCCACTGAACTGCGATGTATCCAACCCGCAGGCAAGGCTCTCTTCAGAGGATACAGAGACTCTCCTTTTGTTCCGCAACCTTTTCGCATTCCTGCTCGGCCAGTCTTTAATTGCCTCACCGAAGTCAGCCACCCTTTTCTCTATCTTCATGGACGTGGCGGTCCTTTTGGCTCGTTTCGAGTTCTCGAACTTGGATGCGTCCAACTTTGGTGAGACTGCCACCACCAGTTTCAGCAACTACTGTGAAGAATTACGCCTTGCAGATGTCCGTCGAAGCAGGGAGAAGACGATCGAGGCCATCGTCTTGGGTGAGCGTCTGCGCTACTATCCGCTCTATGTCGAGGGCTTTGTCCATGGTGTTGGAAAGCTGGATGAGCTCAAACAACTGCGGAGTCCTAAATATACCTTCATCCATCCAATCACACAGAAACGCATGGAGCGCGCGTTCATTGATCTCGACACCCGTCTGCGCGGTCTCTATGGCAAGCTCGAAGATTTCGATTTCCCCTCTGTTTTCTCGGGCGTCGCCAACTCGACTACCTCCCAGGAAAGCAAGGTGGTGCGCTTCAAGAACTGGAGGACAGGATTCCAAGAATTCCGCCGCTTTACGATTCAGTACTACCGACAGAAGTACGGATCGTGGCCCCCCAAGGCTCGGTCGAAGAAGAATGAGTTCGAGGAGAACGGACTTAACCGTCTTCTTCTTCTGGACTTGTACCACGACTTCACCGATCTCTACGATTTGATGGTTGACCGCACGTCCTTGACGACGCGTACAATTGATATTTCAGGCGCGGGCAATGACTCAGTGGATTCATCTGATCCAAAGCAAATGACCGTTCGTGCCTTGCGGCAGGTTCTCTCTGAATATGACCGCAGCACACCGCCGGTACTTCCTCCCATTCCATTCGACATTCCACAAATGCCTTCGCTGCAGCCCTTGCATCGGAAACCGCTCGACGCGAAGAAGGAGGCCAAGCAAAGCGTCAAGAAGCTCAAGGACTCCGACATCAATGCTGTCCTGATGGGATCTTACACCCGGGAGGCCATGCGCCCCACTCCTTTCATTGAGAGCTTCATGCAATTCGAGCGTCGCTCCGCGCACGGCAAGAATGTTAATGACATCACCGATCTCCGATGTGGCCAGTGGATCTTCCTATACTCCGTTATCCAAGCCCTCCCCATGCTGGTGGTGGATGTTCCTGACGTCCACTACAACGATGGCGTGGAGTATTTCCTCTGCATTGCCCCACGTGGCGGTGCTCCCTGGATTCAGAACGACACCAAGACGGCTCGCAGCTGGTTTGGAGTCGCAGGTGGTGCTGGTGTTGTTAGCTTGCCATCTGACGTAGTCATTAACGGTGTGGAAGGTGTATACCGCCGCAGTCATTGCTGGCAAGTCGCTGAGCAGTGGGCCGAGGCGGGCGCTCTTCTCGATCCACCTATGGTGGAAGACGCCGCCTACGACGATGAGGAGTCCTCTATATCATCACCTTACCAGGGCCAGCAATCGTCGGCTGGGTCTTCTTCAGAACCTTACCCGAACCCCATGATGGTCCCCGGTGGGCTCACCCCACCTCCAGCCATTCCACGAACCCGCTCCCCTGCCGCTGCCCAACGATCTGAGCATCGCCACTCATTCTACCCTGGATTGGAAGCCTTGCCCCTTCCCGCAGGCATTGCCCCCATCGAGCCTCCTACACGTCCGATTAGTCGGTTCAACCCGAACATGAGTTTCGACGATATTCTCAAGGAAGTCCCGAAGAAGGACAAGAAGAAGCACTAAATACAATTGTCCCGTGTCCTTTCTCTATGATTAGATTCTATGGCACGGGGCGGCCTGCACATTCAGAATACAAACTCGTTTTGTGACTCTGACTTCCATACTCTTGGCCGTTTCATTTTTCTGTTGATAGGCGCATTTTGTGACATGGACTACCGGGCGGGATCGGCGCGATGCACAGGGAAGCGAAAACAAAAAGCAAGAACTTTTTTAATTCATCGGGGGCAGCATGCATGGAGAAGCACATCATAATTATCAGCATATCGGCATCAGCATCTCCGGAGGAGGGGCTTTTCTTTTCACCTTGTCATTTTAATTTTTCCTTCTGCTTTTCTTCTCTCTTCGCCTCGGATTCCCCCTGTTTCCCGTAGTCTGTGATACTGGAAGCTGCCCGATAGAAATATAGATTCTAACGTTTGTACAATTCAGTGTATGAGGGTTTATTTACTTCCTGATTGCGTAGTTTACATTGTAGTTCCTGTAGCCATTGAGTTGTCCCGGATCCATGGTTCCGGCTTGAGTTACCAGGGTTCTTAATTTCTTTGTTTACACCTGGGCAGCGCTCTATCTTCTCTATTGGACCAAGTTTGTCACTGGATTTACCTGCACTTTTACAAAAAATGTCCTTCGTCTGTCCCAAAGGATTCAAGTAGTCAAATCCGCGAAACCATGCATATGCCGAGGCCAAACCCACTAAAGCAGGCAATACGAGAGGGATCAGCCACACAGCCTCATTTCCTTTACCATCGTCGGTTACAGAATCCCCCGGGGGATTAGGGGTTAAGGAAAAGAAGGACCTTCATGCCCGCAGATCGCTTCCGGACCGGGAAAGGGCCATCTGTTGTCGCTTGAGCTTGATTCAAGTCGAGCTTTGTTGAATTTCTTCTAGCCATCCATCCCAAGTACCTTACCAGGGAAAAATTCGAAGAGCCTCAATAACTCAGCAAAAAGCGCCGACAATGAATTAACGAATCCTATACTCCGTACATAACAATATATACATACTCTAATCATCGCAATTCCCCTCATTCATCACCTCATCTCTACCCACCATGCCACCCTCCCGCTCCAGCATAACGAGCGACAGCCACGAGCGCCTCGAGCCGCGGCTCCTACGCGCTGCGGAATCAAACGACGTTGACTCCCTCAAAAAGACAATAGCCCTCGCGCAAGAGTACAACCAACTGAGCGATAACTTCCTCCGCATCGGATTAATGCGCAGCGCCGAACGAGCCTGCGTCGCCGCAACAGAATACCTCCTCACCCTCGGCGCGAAAACAGACGTCCCCTCCAACCGCGCCTCACCACTCCTCCGCGCCGTCGAGCGCGACCACTACGAAATCGTCCGTCTCCTCCTCGACCACGGCGCATGTCCGAACTCCGCCGATAAAGAAGGCCGCACGGCCCTCATGACAGCAGCATGGAAAAACCACGCTGATATCCTGCACCTGCTCATTATGCGCCACGCGGACGTGAACAAGCGCGATCTGCGCCGTCGGAATGCCTTGCATAACCTCGCTGCTGATAAGGCCTGTCGATGGGGCTGGGGAGATGAGGTTGTGGGGTTGTTATTGAGGACGGAGTGTCTTATTGATGGGCCTGGGGGGCAGGATGAGCTTGGACGTACGCCGTTGCATTGGGCCTGTGCGACGGGGAACTGGAGGTTGGCGGAGATGTTGCTGACGAGGAATGCTGGTGAGGGGGAGGGGGAGGGGCGGTGGCCTGGGCCGGCGGAGATCGACGCTGTTGAGTTGCGTGGTAAGACCGCGTTGCATGTTGCTACAGCTCATGACCGTGCGGATATCGTGCAGCTGTTGATTGCGCACAAGGCGGCTGTTAATGCTGCTAGTGATGGTGGCTGGACGCCGCTCCATAATGCATGTGATAAAGGGTGTGAGGAGATTGTGCGCATTTTGGTGAGCGAAGGCGCGAACATCAATGCTCAGCTTTTAAATGGAATTACGCCGCTGCATCTTGCTGCGCAGGGAGGTCATAGCAAGGTCGTGCAGTGTCTTCTCGAGAGGCCGGATCTGAAGCGTCGGGTTAGGGATAATTTTGGCAGTACGCCGTTTCTGCGCGCGGCGCAGTTTAAACGGAAGGATATTGTGCTGATGCTTGCGCCGTTTAACAATGTTGAGAGTCTGTCTGATGATGTTAAGGAGGCTTGTGCGGCGTTCGACGCTACTGTTGTCGATTTTGGAAACTTTCATAATGAGAATCGGGTTAAGCGCATGTCGGTGTTTAATCTGCTTTATGGGAGGGATCAGGAAAATCCTAGGAAACAGGCTGTTACCACTGTGCCGGTTGATAGTCGTGGGACCGAGTTTCGGTGGATTCACTTACCGGCGAACAATATGGCGTGGGTGGAAGCCCTTCTTACTAAATCTTTTATTGAGGAGGGGGCCCACGATGTTGATGGGTTCAAGGGATTGGAGAAGTCTTTCAACTACCAGCATCGGGGTCAAAGGACTCACTCGCACTTCATGCGGCCGTTGTGTCAGAATACGCCGCGGACGATGCTGCGGCGATATGAAGAGGAAACTTCGGAGGAACCTGTGTCTGATCATGGGCAGGTGAAGGCCATGGATAGCACTGCCCGCAAGCAAAAGGGAACAGGCGGTAAGCCCGAGAAAGTGGATTCTTACTTCCACGATGAAGGGGCAGGGTCCCATGGGAAAAAGAACAAAAACAACCAGAAGCGTGGCAAGTCGGGCAGCGCACCGGGAACTCCCAAGCAGGAGACGAAAGGGAAGTCACCGTGGGGCCAGAGCGAGAAACCGTCGAGGTCATCAACCTTTTGCAAAGATCCCCACCCTCTGGTTTCTGCATGTAACGTCTGCGTGTTCATGCCGTATCTACACTTCGAGACCGCGGAGCGCAGACAAAAGATGCAGGATGCAATCGCACGGGCGGAAACGCTGGACTTTGTATCCAATGGGATGAAGCGAAGGCGCACAAGAGACGAAATGCTCATCGACGCACACCTATCATCCTCATCGACCTCCCTCCATGTCCGCCGAACACTGGACCAGTTTTTCTACCCAAACATCGATACCCAGAGCCGTGATCAGGATCAAGTGGTGTACCGGTACCAAAAACAAAGCCCCGGGATGGGGGCAGAACCGAAGATATTCATGGTGGACCAACTGTGGATGTGGGTTCTGGGCACGAATTTGATTGTAACGGCCTTCCCACAGAGATGGGATCAGCCCAAGAATGACCCGCTTAACGTGCTGGATGGGGTTATCGAGGCTATCAATTCCAAAACCCGAGACCCTGTCAAATCCGTCTATGATCTAGCCATGATAATCACCAATCGATGCTCGGGAGTCTTCGATCGACACCGTTTGGGCGACGAGGAGTACCAGTTCCTAGACATGTTCGAGTCATCTATTGGTATAGCTACAGACAAAGAGACCGTGCTTTTTAACCAATTCAACCACGCCTCCGGGCAGGCGTCAGACTGGCTGAAAAGCCACCGGAAACTGAACGGCTCCTTCAGCTCTCCGCCTAAGCCCTGCAATGGGACAGACGACAAAGACCAAAGCAGCAACTACTGTGACGAGGACGGACAGCCACTATTCGTCGATCGGCTCCTGGACATCGGACAGGAAACCAATCTCCTGGCGGAGACAAAGGACATCCGAGACGAGCTGAACATGATCCGAACGGTGCTGGAGCATCAGAACAACGTACTGCTTGACTTCCAAGAAGTCATCTGCGAGACCTACCAAGGGCAGCACCGGTCACAGTTCGAGGTCAAGAAGCGGTTCAAAGATCAGCAGCGCATGGTCGACATGCACCTGAAGGATATTGACCGCATGGATAAACAGGCCGAGCGAATCTACCACTCCATCACGGATCTACTCGATCTCAAACAGAAACACGCCAATGCTTTTGAAGCCCGATTTGCGCGCGACCAGGCTGCTGGTACAACCCGTCAGAGCAAGACAATTATGGTTTTCACTATCGTTACTATTGTCTTTCTGCCGTTGTCGTTTATCACCTCCATCTTCACGATCAACCTGAAAGAATTCGAGCACTTGAATCTCGGTTATGTGGCAAAGTATACCTTTGGTATTGGCTTTGCAATCTCCATCCCACTTGTCTGGGTCGCTCTCACAGTTGATGATATTGGTGGTTTCTTCCGCGTGGGCAGCCGACGATGGCTGTCTAACCGGGAGAAGGTGTCTGCAAAAAGTGAACGGGGCGAGGAGACGCTCCAGGCGTTGGAGATGGAGAAAATGTTAAGTTTGTCGCGAATGCGGAGGAGCATCGATGTTGGATACGGTGGTAGTCTGCTACCTGTTTCTACCTGTGGCACGGGGGCGTCGAGACGACCTGATCTATATGTTGGTGGATTAGGAAATGGCACTGTGCGAAAAAGTTACGATCTACGGTCTAGTGAGGACTACAGATCACGATGATATGATTTATGGCATGTAATGACCCGATATCTTGTCTTATAGTTTGTCATTTTGTGATCTTTGGGTATACTTCATTTTCTATATGGCGCTAAAACTAATTGAAGTTCTGATGAGAGTTGAAGAAATTAAACTGCGCGAGTTTGTAATTTGCAGCTCCAGTAAAGAGTAATTCAGACTCGACGTTCATGGGATGTGACTTTTGGTCGATCCATCTTGTAACCGCCAAAGACTCTTATTAGTGAAGTGCACCAGCATTAGGCGCTACAGCCATTTCTTTCTAGCTTAGCTGCATCACATCTGAATACTCGCGGCTCTCACCTTTCCCATCCCCCAAGATCTCAGCGGGGTGGTACACATTCATCACAGCCATAGCGATCCACATCAACAATGCATCAAAGATGTACATGAAGACCTCATGGGTCATGGTGTACCCGTCATAACCCTCTTTGTACTCGACCAAGCGGAACACAGACCGCACTAGGATCAGGAAGCTGACGATGTACAGTCCGATCAGGATAGTGAACCAATTGCGTTGTTTCCAGCCATCACCGCGGGTATTATCACGATCTGACTGCGATCTGGGGGTAGGTCGACGTGAGATGCGGAAGTGAAATATAGTTGTGACGATCACGAAGAAGCCGAAGAAGAGAAGCTGGACGACGAGGCCACCGATGGTTATGTTTGAGCCTGCGTCACGCATGGAGCCTCCTGTGGACATGAGACCGCCACCTAAGATGAGATATGATTAGCTTGTATGTTCTTATTCCATAGCTGGCCTATCGTCTAATCTGATGACGGGAGGTTCACTTACCAGCGCATTGTAAGAGAAATGAAAGCACATCTCCCGTCACAAATATCTTTGTCATCCACTTGACTGGCACCATGCTCAGGGGCTCAGCCTGTAGGTAGGTCACTGTTCGCCCAAGGATCATGTAGATTGAGGCCGCGTACAGCGGCGGCGCGAGCAGGATGAACAGGGACTGCATCGCATAGAGTGGGATTCCATAGAAGTTGTCATGCGATGCGGCTCGACAGATGTATCCTATGACCTGGACTGTATGAGTTGAGAGTTAGTGTTGCTTTTACGGTGAATCAAGTAAACAAGTGACTCGACATACATATTCCACCGATCACAAATGGAATGAAGTACCAGCATCGTGACTTGGTGAGCTGATAGCCGTGGTGAGCGGTCGTAGCGCTGAAGAGAATGATGAAGATGACAGCGGCGGGAAGGGAGGGATTGTACCCGTATATATTGGGCTTGTCGGACATCTTGGGATGAGAAGAGTCTGAGGAAGTTTTATTTCATTGTGCTAATTGGGGTAAACAGGACCTTATATCAACGTGGGCAAGAGCCATCGGCTGGGCAAGAGCCATTACCATAGCCCATACATAGCCTTGACTCCGAAACAAGGCTCCTCCGCGATCCACTATAAATTTAGGCGACCTTACAATTGAATGCATTGATTCGAGCGTATTCTTATCGTCTGGGGAACGTCTGGGCTTTCTGCGCAGCTTAGCCAGACGATGTGGGGCGTTGAAGAGGCTTTACGCGAATCCGTTTCCGTCTTCGTTTCCGTATTCGTTTCCGCACCATCGTATCCGCACTCGGATACGATTCAATGTTTCTCTCCTCACTTCGACTTTTATACCGCCTTGATAATGGGCCCAAGGAGATCACATCGGAAGTCGCGTAATGGTTGTCCACAATGTAAGGCACGAAGACTGAAGGTGCGTCGAATAGTCCTCTAGCTTGAGATCATTCTAATCAGCGCAGTGTGATGAGCAATATCCGTGTACAAACTGTACCAAACATGCCATTCAATGTTCATATGTTGAGCGTGGCATATCAAATCCGGCCGAGACTCCATATGCTCGGTCAGAGTCATTGGCGCCGTCTTATATGCCTTCGCCATTGAACGTAGAGTCATACCCGGCAACTCCGGCCGGGAACTCGAGAGCTCTGGGTCACGACCAGCCTAAGTCAGAGAGTAGATCTGGTCTACTGCAGTTTTTATCGGACTCCCCAGATGAAATTCAGGCTTTGAACACAGATGACTGGGCGTCAGACCTTGAACTCATGCACCATTACTCCACCGTGACATGCAACACTCTGACAATCCGCGAAGACTCACGGCATGTCTGGCGCGTTGTTGTCCCAGTGGAGGGATATTCCAATAAATATTTGATGCATGGAATACTGGCTATCTCTGCCCTACATCGTGCCTATCTCTTTCCAACTCAGAAGGAAAAGAACATCAAGGCATCTGCCTACCACCAAGCAGCTGCGCTAAAAGAGTTTCGGGAGCTCATTTCCTCCCCAATCGACCCTAGCAACTGGCAGCCTGTTTTCTGCTTTGCTTCTATGATCACGCTATATGTCTGTGCCACGCGGATCCGACTGGGCGAGGACCGTTGGCCAGCTCCAATATCGAATATGGTGGAGCTCTTCTCCGCCGTCAAAGGATTGCAGACTATTATGGAGCCATGGTTACCCTCTCTTAGAAGAACCCAGCTCGCACCGATTGTTAATTGCGTCTGGATTGAAGATGAAATTCTCATTCCAAGGTGAGCTTTGAGTGCTCGCAATCCCATATCGGGGGCATGGTAATTGTTGAACCGAACCGACTGACCCCGTCTCAGCCCAGCGACCATGCAGCAATCACTGCTTCCTCCCGACATCCAGGTTCGGATATCACAACTCCATCAGTTTATTGATGATTATCCATTCCCTTATACACAACAACCACAGTCCCACCAGAACTTGAGCGTCTCGGATGAATCACCCCGTCCTCTCGATTACCGAACAGACTACGAGCAGTCACTGAAGTTCTTTGAACACTCCACTCGTCAGATAGAGCTTGCAGGACCCCATGTGGAGACTGGCATGGTCCTAATGTGGGCATACTCACTTTCCAAACAATTCAGAGATGATATGGAAGCATGCCATCCTGCAGCTCTCGTCCTGCTGGGTCATTGGTGTGTGCTGCTGCATACTGTCAAGGATTCCTGGCTCCTCAAAGGCACTTCACTTCAATTGCTGGAGGAGATTGAGATTAAGATCAACCCCGGCTTTAAGGAGTGGCTAGTATGGCCGAGAAGATGGGTCTGTGGGAAATGACCTCTACCTACCATGTTTAGTGATTCTAAAATCAGACGTATTGATAGATAATCGTTACAGGTCTTTACTCTACAGGACTTTACAGCAAGAGCAAAATTGTTATATATTCCACCCGATCTTGAGCGGCCATTCATTATGCCATGGTAAATAATTTCGAATCAAAAACGATTGAAATGGACTTTGACATGCGAAATCCTCCTTTCCGATGTTGTCTTTCTCTCCTGAAACAATGTTCATCACACCAACTTCAAAGCTTGAGGTCTGCGCTCCCAAATAGCACAATGACATACCCACCAGCTCCAAAAGCTCTCACAGCTCATGAGACTCCTCCCCAACAGACAACGGGCCCTTTTTGACCATGATAGTAAGGACTTCATATAGCACATCAGCAGCAGCCCTGCAGAAAAGTCAGTCTTTGTTATATCTTCCATGACTCAAAGGAACCTACATCGTCGATAACTCTGCATTGGTATCATAAGCCGGCGCTACCTCAACGATATCTGCACCAATAAAGTTCAGGCCGTCAAGACCACGGATGATCGTCCGCAGTTCGCGCGTGGACCACCCGCCAGTCTCTGGCGTGCCGGTAGCTGGTGCGACTGGATTGTATTCTTAGCGATAGACAAGACACAATCGACATCTCCAAGACTTACAAGCAGGATCCAAAGTATCAATATCAATAGAAAGATAAACCGGATTGTCAGTTCCGACACGGTCGCGAATCTTTTTGATAATACCGTCCGTTCCTAGAACAATCATGAGCACAAAACCAACCCAATCGACAAGGTAATATACCAATAACATCGATCTCCCTTGCCTCAACAATCTCAAACCCGCAGTACCCATCATTCTCATAATCAGAAGGACCAGACAGTGTCGTACGAATACCAGCATGAATATTAGTATCATTCTTCAACAATCCTTCCATCGCCGCATGGTAGAAGTATGTGCCGTGATTGATAGCTGCAACCTCACTAGGAGAGCCACCGAAGACCTTCGGTTTCCACGAGTCCCTAATCAAGTCAGTTAGTTATTCGTCCATGCTGTAATGCTAAAAGTCCTCACAAATGACTATCAAAATGAATCACCGTCACAGGCCCATAGGCCTTATTGATACTCCGCAGCAAGGGCAGTGTGATGGTATGATCACCACCAAGGGTAATAACACGAGGAAGGGTCTTGCCAGCAAGTGAAAGACCCGGCTTATTCGCGTCAAGGTAAGGCTTGCGCATCAGGATGCTGTTGTGTCCTTCTTCGATCTGCTGGATTGCCCAGGCGTTGTCGTATCTATATCGGGATTAGTTTCTTGTCTTTTTATCTCCCGAACGTGAACATACGAGGTAACGGGAACGTCGCCACAATCCAATATTCGCATATCGCTGGTAAACGGGTTCGCCTGCAAAGGCACATTGTAGCCACCGCTGAAGGCCAATTTTCGTGAGCTTTGCTCGTGTCATGCGAAAGCATCTCTGCTTGTTGGGGCTGGTACGTACTACAGATTGAGGCGGCGAGAACCTTGTCTGATACCGCTGGGCCCGAACCGGGCGCCGGGTCTGTAGGAGGTTCCGGTGTCGAAGGGTGCACCTGTTTGGTAGAAGTGTGAGTAGGGGTTTTGTATGATCTTGCTGTTGACCGGCTGGTGTTGACTAACCGAGGAAAGCGATGTCGTATTTCTCGGCGTCGCTGGACAGACATGGGTAATAGGGCAGGCGGCCGAAAGTTGAGATTCCGGAGAATACGGAGTCGGCCTTGTTCGTTTAGTGAGATGGCTTCTCTTGAGTTGAGTATGTTATCAAAGGGGTTGATCACCTGCGTGCCACCATCTCCTGGGAGTGTGTTGTACCAGAGTCCTTGGTGTGGACCAGCAAGCTGGGACTGGCCATGGTCACCATGGGCTGTGGCCAGAGCAGACAGGGCAACCAAGCCTGCGATGGAGGCAATCATTGTGATTTCAAGATTTAGGTTTATGTATAGAAGAATTTGAAAGCGTCGAAGTGAATACAAGTCGTTTGGCTATGGTGGTAAAACGCAGGGCCTTCCATGATATATGTATGTCATTCATTTTAAGATATTCTCTACATCCCAGTTTGATTCACTCTATACAGTGCAACCAGTCAGCTTGCCATGTGATAGTAACCCTCTACCGTTATTGCCCCGATACAGACACGATTGATAAGAACTCGGCAATCCTTACTATCCGCACCATCAACTAACCATTGGAGGTAATCTTGGAAAGACAAGACAAAAGGAAAGGAAAGTTCTTTCCCACTGCTAGGCAGCGTTTACCCCCTCCGCTCCCAGTAACTTCCCTTTAAGGAACCGATGTCCGGCTAATAACCGGTTGGTGGGGGATGCGGTGTCAAGGCTTGGCCGCGACATACATACATCATGCAAGGCAAAGCTATTACATCCCAAAATGGAAGGCCGGGGGAGATGGGAACGTGAGATAGATATTAGAGATGGGGAAGATAAGGAGTGTATTGCAAGGTTTCTATTGCCTAGTGTCTGCCATGGCTTATCGGTCGGTCGTCATTGGTGGCTGTCGATCTATAAAATCCAGCATCTGCTAGTTCGCTTGTCCGACAACGGAGGATAATTTAGGGTTGTTGGTATAGTATATCGTCACGGCGACAATGTATTAAATGTGCTGGTTACTGAGGACGGTTAATAAATCGTCTATGTGATGCGAGACTTCGAATGTAGGGGACGTCGAACAAGACTTGTAAATCAATGTCAACAACAATCTAATTCAATTCCTATCTTTAACAAGAGTTGATTTATTAGCCTAATCGAATGTATAGTCTCCTTCAAATCCCATCCTCCATAGTCTCATGTACACCCATGCGCTGGAAAGCCTTCTGCACCTCAGTATCCCACCGACTGCGCGCAACAATAACCCACTCAAAAGCTCCAACCAAATACAAAGCAATACACTGCCCAACCCACAGACCCTTAAGGCCCCAACCATGAAACGCAAGCCAAATTCCCAACGGCAATGCACCACAGTAATAACTCACCAAATTAACCAAAGCACCCACATGCTGCCGTCCCATTCCTCTCAGACTTCCCCCACAACTCCCATTAAGCCCGTCGGCAATCTGGAAAAGCGCCACATACGGCAAGACCTCAGCCGTAAGACTCACAACACTCGAATCATCATTGAAGATCTTGGCAAAGTGGTCGCGCGTCCCGACAAGAATAGCTAGCACAAAACCGCCAAAAACCACGCTCAGCACGGCAGAGATATGCGCTGCCCGCGCTGCACCGGTATGGTCCCGTTTTCCTAGTAGCCTACCGACGCGGCCGGATGTCGCTACCCCAATTCCGAAAGGGATCGTATTGAGAACTTGATCGGCTGTCATAATTACACTCTGAGCAGCAAGTGAGACAGTGCCCAGACGCCCAGCTGCTAAGGCGACGATCTCAAATGCCCACCATTCTGTTCCAACGTGCACAACGCCTAGGAGAGCAAGTCGCGCAAATGTATGAATGTTTTGGAATGTCTCACGAGACCATCCGCCCCAGCACTCTGAGCCGCTGATGAAGCGTGCGTAGAGAACTAGCAATGCAAATGCGAGCCAGTAGCAGAGTCCGGTTGCGAGAGGTGCGCCTAAGAGGCCCATCTCGAATGTGTAGCAGAATAGGAAGTTGAGACCAGCATTTAATGGTAATATAACCAGCAGTACGTATGTTCCAGCTCGCATGATTCCTATTAATGGTCATGATTAGTCCCCATACCCGAATAAATCTCGTGCAGACATACCTTGAGCTTGAAGATACTTCTTCATAACCTCAAAGTAAATATATCCCAAACCCCCAGGAATCAAACAAGTCAAGAACATCGCGCTATCATGCGAAAGTCGAGGATCCTGTCCAAGGAACAAAAAAACAGGTTCTGAAAAAGCCCATAAGACAGCAACGGGTATATAAAGAAGACCTAAGATTAAGAAACCCCGCTGTAGCAGAATTCCCAAATCATGTTTATTAGAGCTTCCTGTGAACGAGGAGGAGGCGAGTGTATCCATAGCCGTGGTACCTCCCAAAGCAATCATCCACGCTGTAACCATCGCAAACATCTGCGAGAAAGCACTTGCTGCAAGGTTCTCCGGTGATGAGCGACCGATGATCAACACTGATACTGTTTGGAGGCTGTTTTGCAGAGTGTAGGCTAGTATTACGGGGGTTGAGTCTTTCAGCAAGACCCAGAACTCAGCGAGGATGAGAGCTCGTGAGAATGGGCTTTCATCTTCTTCGGAATTGTTTCGTGGTGGCCCATCGTCGATAGGCCTGGAGAGGAGGGAAGTATATTCGTTTGGTTGGTGGTTTGAGCCTCTCTTGCTGGAGGGGTCGGGCATGGTAATTGAATTGTGGCAATATGTGCTTTGTGGTAAATCTGGCTTTGGCTTCAATATGTCGGACGTTGGCCGGATTGAGCAACCTGGCGATGTGACGGCTTCTAGAAGTAAGGGCACAGTATGGTGTGAATTCGTCTGCCGGCTAAGCAAGGGAGTTGGGAGAAGCAAAAAGCCCCTTCCCATCAGACAACTGCTTTTGATTCGGAAAGTGTGAATTTATTTCAAGGTTATGCCAGGGCCGTAGAGTTTGTATATTCACAAATCTCTGGTACTAGTCAGTGATACAGCAAGTTCGCTGCCTGTGTATTCAACACTGGATACATAATAATACATAGCTAGTATGATTCAGACAATCGAAACAATAATTTCCATGAAGTGTGTATTTTTGCTCCACTGCTATGTCCTTTTGGTCGAGTATCTCAAGTCCAAGTCCGATCTCGGACGGCTAGATGCTACGGTGCCTTGGTGCTTGGTATACAACAAATGAGCGCGCTGGAGCCACGTTTCTGTGGCTTCAAAATTGGAGGGTATGGATTTGAATAGATTGGTCTAGTCTTGATCTCTAACATGTGTCAGGCTATTTTGTTTATCGTTATCAGTGATAGCGGAGAACGAGATCAGCCCTGAAGTCCACGGCCTTCTCTAGTCGTTGCCCCAAAGCGGAAGTTGACTAGAGACAAAGGCGCTCGTTGTCAATACAAGAATGACTTTGATAGCGCTAAAAGGATGGTGTCATGCTAATGACTGTTCTTCACGGGTATGTTATCGTCTACTCGAATGCTGATCTGATATGTCACAATTCTGTAACTTGGGATGAATTATGTGCATATCTTTTAGACTGCATTCGATGCTAAAGGATCTACTTTAGGCGAGAATGGTTACGGTGCAAATCCATATGGCAAGAGCGCATCCGTTCTTAGCGTGGAGTACCCCAGATATTCCCCCAGGGTACTCCGTGGACACAACAGGTTTACATGGTTTTTAGGATCTCAACATCGGAGAATCAAGTTTCACTCTGTGGCCAATGCCTGATGATCTGTCGCCCTTATCTTTGGCTCTTATCATCGTCTCTGGCCAGTTGATTGGTACATTCGGACGACATCCACGCACCCCTGTCACTTGGCTCTTTGCGGCAATGATAGTCCCGACACTTATGGAATACCATTCTAAAGGGTCTATGCAGACAAAAGTTCCAGAAAGAAATGACCAAAATACTTCACTGTTTAATTGCATACCTCATGAATAAAGATGGCATGACTTTCCCTAATCACTATTTGCAGAAAAGATAAAAAGTGGCTATAATAGTATGCGATGCCAGGGCTCTAATCTAAGAGGCTCATTCTCTTGATGAAATAGGCTCAAATGCGCTTCGTAAAATTCTACAAACCATAGTGCAGTGCTTATCAGCTAGGCCCTTGCATCAGGAGATTCTACCCGGCAGCAAGGCCAGTAGACAGCCAAAGCGTAGTTTCCACATGCTGATAGATAGGCAGTCGCCAGCTCTAGTATATATGTCTCATATATCTTTTCAAACCCAGATCAAGACGTCGGGCAGGCCTTCGACAATCAATATCATAGTTATATGCCGGCATTGACCTCTATCCTCTTGGATAAGTATTCAAATGAAAAGCCTACAACATGGCATCTTGCGCAACAGAAATTGATGGCAAACGCGAGGTTGGAGAAAAAGACAGCAAAAACGACGTTTCTGACCCAACCCATACTCCCGTGGACCAGGGCACCCAAATTCTCTACAATGCAGCAGTCAACAAAATCGGAATCAGACTTCACCCTCAACCGACTGCAGACTTCCTAGATCCATTAAACTGGTCAAGCCTCCAGAAACATGGCATATTATCTATCGTTATGTTTAAGTAGGTACCAAATCAGCCCCAAGAATCGTCCGCCATTTGGCTTCACACTTGCCAGAAAATAAACACCGATCTACATGTCTTGCTGACATTTTGCTACGCTCTGTTAGATATTTCCTATTCACTTACCTCACGACCACCACAGTCCCTTCGTTTACGGAGATTCAAGATCAATACTTGATCAACTATTCGCAAGTCAACTGGACTGTCGCCGTGCCGGCATTAGGGTTATCCGTCGGACCACTCATATGGTCATCGCTTGGTGACATCTATGGTAGAAGGGTGGTTTTTATAGTCGGAACAACCATATCACTGGTCTCGACCATTGGCGCTGCTGTAGCTGATACCTATTCGGGATATATGGCTGCTCGCTTCTTCCAAGGATTTGGGGTGAGCCCAGCTTCTATAGTCGGAATGGCAGTGGGTATGTCTCAATCATTCATCTTCAGACAAGATTCATATCTAACAGTTAGTTCGACAAAGTAAACGATCTGTTCTTTGATTATGAGCGTGGTCAGAAGCTTGGCTTGTGGGTTCTCGCACTTGATGCTGGCCTGCTTCTAGGTCCTACCTGTAAGTTCGTCTGGATATTTCAAAACACCGATGCGCCATATGCTGAAATATGTTACCAGTCGGCGGCCTTTTGGGCCTCGTAAGTGCTTTATGGATAAATTGGTTCAACGCAATCCTCTTTGCGTCATTACTACTTCTCGAACTCTTCTTCATGCCAGAGACCCTCTACCCCCGCAACAAGATGCTTCAGCAAATGCCTCGTCTTGATGGCAACAAAGCTCTTCCGAGTGATATTGAAAAGCAAATAGCAGGAGATAACACGGTCACATCCATATCTCCGGCAGAGACCTTACCATCAGAGCCACGCCGGACAAAGAACCTGCCTTTCATCAATTGGCGTCCTATTCCCGGCATGCGCCATCCCAAGCCGTGGGACTCAATTACTCGGTTCGTGTTGACGTTCCAATTACCCGCAGTAGTTATCGCAGTTGTCGGATACAGTTTTGTCTGGTATTGGTGGATTTTATCTGTCATCACGATGGTACCCGCAGCTTATGCGACCTACACACCTCTCATCCAGGGGCTGTTGTTCCTCGGGCTGTTCCTTGGGACCTTCCTCTCGGAGATTGGGTGCTCTGGGCGGTTAAGTGACTTTATTCTTGAGAAGTTGTCGAAAAGGAATGGCAATATCCGCGTTCCAGAGATGCGGTTGTGGTTGGCGTACCCGGCTATATTGGTCACCACTGGTGTGTTTAACTATCCAGACGATATGTGTTGAACTTGACTGACAAGAATCTTTATTATAGTTGGGTTGGTTGTGTGGGGAGTTAGTATCGACAAAAACTATCACTGGATGGTAGGCCAAGTGGCATTCTTCCTATGTGAATTCTATCTTCCGTTATATATAACGTTCTATGTAGAGCTGACAATCGTCTAGTTGCGGCTGGTATCCAGATAGGCAATACTCTAACTACTAGCTACATTGTTGACTGCTACCCATTACAAACAACGAGCGTGGTTACTTTCTACGCCGTATTTCTGAACCTGAGTGCTTTTATCAATCCGGTATGTTGCCCAATCTTTCTTGCCAATGAGATATTCAATGGATATTGATAACTGACTTCTTGGCACAGTTCTTCATCGCCTCCTGGCAAGCGTCTTCTGGTTGGACCCGGACATTTACTACCCAAGGACTTATTGTGCTTGCTGGTGGGGGTGTGGTGTTTGGTGTTCTGCATAAATTTGGGGCTCGGATGCGTGCAAAAGCACCAGAGCCTTCATGGGTCAATCCAGAGTTTGATATGGACCCTTGATCTGGTGGGTAAAGCGGCCTGCTCTATGGGGCCATACACTTTACTTATAATTTATTCTAGTACCAACTGTTGAATTGCCGTCATGCCTTACCCAGGGCACGTTGAAACTTCCTCCTTCGCTGGCAGTCTCAAGTATGGAACTCGACGCATACGGTAACCGGGTCGATAATGAGTAGGACTTACTTCCAATGCCGTGTCATTAATTGTACTGAGTTTATTGTACTTTAGGTGGCGAGAAGTAACTGACGATTTGAGAAACAAGGGTTTGGCAGGTAAAGGATATATGCATGGAGCGGAAATGAGCAGGGCTATATCAAGTATACTGCGCTTTCACAGTCGGGATATTCCCCAGATGCTTAATGTTCCACTCTGCTCAGTTGGCAAATGTATGTATCAGACTGTACGGGCTACGTATATACATATCTTGAATACAGTCGCATCAGATTGTGCTCTGAATTTCTTTTTCTTTCTTTTTCTTTTTTCTTTTTCTTTTTTTTTGCCCTCTCCATGGTTTGGAAGGACGTATAAGAGGGAGGGGAAGAAGATCGCCTGTTGCTTCTTCCCAAATTCGATGAGGAATTGGCGCCCACCGTATTCGAAGGCCTAAGACAGATCCTATTTGGAAAGAAAAAAAGTTGCATTGTTAATTATATATGTAGACGACAACGAAATGAGATAGTTGCACAAGCGCAGAGACAGCCTCGCCAGTCGCGCATCGCCAACTATTGGCCCTCCAAAATTGATATCCTCAACCTCTCTTGTCAACTCACCGCACGCACTCACTCTGCGGCCTTTATATAGGTAAGGCTCTACTTCGGGTCGATGATTGGCTTCGAAGGAGACGACTAAACATACTGTTCTCAATCGCAACAACGGACCAAAAGGGTACAAGCCATCTGTATACGCATAATAAACCAGACTTGCTTAGATGAATTTTCCCACGACTACCGATTGGATTTTGGATGCACATGAAGGTGACGGGTCGGGGGGTTGAGATTCAACCGCGACCCAAATTTCAAATCATCCGGCGCAGCAACCGGCCCTATTGCGTTTTGGTAATCTTACCTCGGGGTGCTTTTAGGCCACTATAGATCTAGGAAAACTGTCTCCTGGCCTGTGTGGTGGCCGCCGCTGTCTAAGCTAGACACATATCGAGTGCCACGAAGCCAACCATGTAATAGATCTGTGGAATCATGTCCAGGCAGGTCCAAGCCTGGAGATGTGGGTCCCTGGTTGCGGAAACCAAAGCCAAAGACCATAGGAATGACTGTCATTTCAAATACTAGCATGGCGTTGAAAGTATACGGGAAATACTTGGCTTCTAGACCAAGGGGATTTCAAAATTCCTTACAACCAGCCATGGACTCCTCAGAAGCCCCTCCGGGGTACAAGTATTATGTGATTCATTCACCGAATCTATTATGATAATTGAGAGGTTTCGTCGTCCATACTCACTAAGGTCGTAAGCCTAAATCTCTAGCAAAACCTTTCAAACTTGCTAACCCTCACTAAGGGTTAGTCTCTCCTCGCTAAGGGGTGGCTAACTATTTAAAGGCTACAATCCTTCCGACTTTCAATCACTAAGTCTTTTCTCTATTAATCATATTTGTACCGTATCTAGAGTGAGTTCTTATAGGCCTCTACCCCTATATTAAAATGTATTCCGCTCAAACTGTAAAGGAAAAGCGCCACGGAGGCGGAACCAGGATCTTGATATACATTTAACTTCTTTGTCTCGAGCTTCTTTGATGGTTTCTAAGGATCGTCCATGTGATCATCCTGACAACTGCAGGTGTCTGAAAGAGGACTCGGAAGCTAGCTGAACACATCATCGTGACGGGCACGATTCAGGGACGAAGAGGTACAAGAGTGCCTCCCCGGGAAACTTGGACTTAGCAAAAATTAGAGTCTCTGCACAAAGGATACCATACGTCTCTCTCCCCCACTGTTCAACTCGCCTGACCAACAGGACTAGCCTGACAACTAGTATTTATTTACACAATCTTACTATTAAGTAAAGAAGCAATAGACGATTTCTTAAGAGAATGTATAAGCTTTATTTGAGAGAGTGCGCTAAATTTTAGGTCCAGCTTTAGAAAAGAAAATTCATCCGTTATTTGTGGCGTAATGAGACGAGGTTTAGATATAGATCGAGTTTGTTCGGTATACTTACTCGATTCCGCCTTATAGCTGGTAGGTGGAATGGGGAAATCTAACTTTCCTATCTTATGTAAGGTATTAAGCGATTCTTACTTAGAATATGCTATAGCTAGTGGGTTACGTCTTACGAATATAGGTTCCGAGTTACTATCGCGCGGTATAAGGACACTAGGCTATTAGACAGAAGGATAATATATAGGCTACTTAGTATTAGGTTCCTAGAGGCCATGGAGCATCTTGATAGTGTGGTTACTAGACTAGCCGAGAGTATACCGGTTTTGACTACTATATAATCACATCAGCTAGAGATCGTCGACTACTCGTGGCGACCAGGAGGGACTTACTAGTAATTAGCTGGCGAATGATCCGCATACGCCGCGCCAACCTGGTCTGCTTTAAAGTTATCAGTGAATCAAAGCCGTTTATACAACCTAAAAAATATTCAAACTAAGAGCGAGCTCCCTTACTAGCAGCGTTTCTCCCTCTAGGGGTATCTGTAGGCATCGGAATATCGACAGCCACTCCCGCCTACCATTACCAGCCAGAGCGTCCCTATCTGGCAGCAGAGCCTTCTATAAGGCTGCTTCCTGCAGATACCGAATCTTGCTCCAACATCTGTATGAGAGTGTGCGCATACTTAAGATTGACCAGCTGCCGACGGTCATGTAATCTTGGGGAATATCAAGGTGATTCTTTTGAGATGAGCAAGCCGAGCGGACAATATCTGGAGACAAGTAAGCCCTACCTCCCGTTGGAGCTGGTTAGTTTGCGGTTGCGTTGAGTGAACAGTTGATGTGACGAGGTTGGAAACTTCCCGAGGTTGGAATCCGCCTTCAGATTCCGATTTATTAATTCTCCATTACAGCAACTAGTCACTGCTTGAGTTGTTACCGCCTTACCCACCACACCGCCTACGAGGTGAAGGCAAAATCTCGAGCCAGATGAAAGGACAGAAGAGTTCGATTAATCTCTTGCCATTTCCTTGGATATTATCGAGACGTATTATAACTGGAATAGGGTTAAACCCGGGCCTCTTTCCGCAGTGTTGAAGAATCTGAGCTGTCCAAGTCCTCGAACACGATGGCATCCGCGGACCCGCGGACAACGCGAGAGAACAAACCGGGACCAGTTTGTAGGCTTGTTGCCTTGAAAACTAAATAGATCAAGGCCTCAAGCCGCGAGAATCTCGGAAATCCTTGAAATACCTTGTGTACTGCATTTAGATGATCCATGTGATTTTGCCAAGCCCTACCTCAACCCCATCGTATGACACTCCCCTCGAACTCATAATGTCTTTCTTTTCTCCTCTCTTCTTCACAAGTTAACTTCAAACAATTTACAGCTGATAGACATCTGCCAGAACTCTCCAATGCCATGTGAACAGCATGTGCCTGAACATCCCGACCGTTTCCGACGACACGTGCAGCTCGTTCTCACCGATTGCTCCGAAGGGTTCCGGAGCCACGAGCCTGATAGATGGAGCAGGAACAACATCTCTCAATTCCCAACACATTCACGGGAGCACGAGTGTCCGATGAAATATGGATCCTACCAAGTGGAGCAGGCTCAAGATCGGCTCCGGATATCTCCTTTCCTTGTCCTACCGATGATGAAGTCATCGATGTGTCAGCGAAAGAGTAAACCTTGTGGGCACCAACGCCGCATTTAGATAGCAGGCGATGGTGCCGAAATGGGCTTTTTTTTAACATATTACCTTTGATCTACTGACATTCACTGAGCTAGTCCTGCATTGTCATGGAAACCTGGCCATTGAGCGCGATGCTCCCTCTGCGGCGCCAGGCCATACGTATACGGAATCCGCTCCCCTCCGTTGCCCACCGTCTCCATTCTACATACATATCTTCTTCTAGAATTGCCCCGGCAGTTCATACAGCAGGCCGGAGATGCCTTGCAACACAAGCTCAACAGTCCGCCGCAGCTGAGGAGCCTGATGATAAAAGAGAGCGAGTCGTCATTCTTGGATCCGGCTGGGGTGGATACACACTCTCGCGGAGGCTTTCTCCAAAGACCTACGCACCTCTCATAATGTCACCCCGCTCATATTTTGTCTTTACTCCTCTCCTCACCAATACCGCCAGCGGATCTCTCGATTTCTCGAACATCGTCGAGCCCGTGCGCGATCCGCGCTCCAAAGTCAACTTTATCCAGGGAGCTGCGCGTGGAGTTAACCTGAAAAAGAAGACCGTCTTATGCGAAGCGACAGTCGTCAAGAGCGGTGTCACCGAGTCACCTCGCACTCTCGAAGAGCACAGAGGAACCGAGGAAGGCCCGGAGACCAGGAACAAGGAGCCGATGCAACCGTATCTCCAATGGGAACAAGGAGAGATGTTCGAAGTACCCTACGATAAGCTTGTCATTGCGGTAGGCGCCGTCAGCCGCACGTTTGGAACACCGGGGGTGCGGGAGAATGCAATGTTCTTCAAAGACATCGGGGACGCGAAAAGGGTCAAGCGGCGCGTGCGGGAATGCTTCGAGCTCGCCGTGCTGCCCTTGACTACCCCAGAGATGCGAAAATGGCTGCTGAACTTCGCCATTGTCGGAGCTGGTCCAACCGGCATTGAGCTTGCAGCATCGCTGCGCGACTTCATCTACTCTGATTTGATGGCGTTATATCCCAGTCTGAATGGAGTCCCGAAGATCACATTGTACGATGTTGCGCCTAAGGTGCTTTCGATGTTCGACGAGTCGCTTTCACGCTATGCGATGGAGACTATGAAGCGCGAGGGTATTGATATCAAGACCTCCCACCATGTGAAAAGTTTGCGTTGGGGCGCGCCTGGCGCACCTCCGCCATACCAGATGGATCCCAAGCGCTGCCTGACACTTACAACGGAAGAAGATGGCGAACTGGGCGTTGGCATGTGTGTTTGGGTAACAGGCAATGCCATGCCCAAGTTCATCACTGAATCGCTTGATTCAGTCGAGGAATTCCCCTCAGACTCAGTCCATAGCATCGAGGGCTCCTCAACTGCACCGGCAGATGCCGAAACAGTGTCATGGAAATTCAAGAAGGCTCCCAGGAAAGGCCCCCTTCTTGTCGACGGGTATCTGCGCGTACAGCTGCAAAACGAAAAAGGCCAGACCGCTGTTCTCCGGGACGTGTTCGCATTGGGTGACAACGCCATGCCGGAGAAAGGTGCTCCACCAGCAACGGCACAGGCCACGAACCAAGAAGCGAAGTGGCTAGCTGATCGTTTGAACAAAGATGACGTGGGTCAGACTCCGCCGTTCTCCTTCCGCGACCTGGGCACGATGGCGTACATAGGCGACGAACGCGCATTGATGCAAATACCCCATAACGGTGACCGTGGTGCGAACAGCTTCCTGCCAGAAGGTATCAAAGGACGTACTGCGTCGCTCATTTGGAAGATGGCGTACATCAGCATGTCCATCAGCTGGCGCAATAAACTGCGTGTGGCTTTCAGGTGGATGTTGAATAGGTTCTTTGGTCGGGATGTCTCGCGGTTTTGAAGATAATCTGGACAGAGATTATGTCTTGATATTGTCTAGGAAGAATCCATGTGAAATTCAGAAATTTTAAGTTCTAAGTCTAGCGCATTCACATAGACTGGGTGACTACCTAGGTGAGTAACTGCACAATGAAAGAGGATGCGATTGAACACCCCCCATGTATTCCGTGGGACTTCGCCAAATGGCTACGGAGCCCAAATGCTCAGCCACGACTTCAAAGAACAAACACGATGAAAGCCCGGATTGATTTGGTTGCGGACTTATATGGACCTCAACAATGTTGAGATCCTCGCAGGTGGCACCATGTGCTACGGGACCCTCTGCCTACACTGTCTCGTGGGGCTATGGGTGAGATGGTGGTCCAGAGAGTTGGGGAGAGGAAGAAGGGAAGAAGAGGAGAGGAGGAAGAAGAAGAAGAAGAAGAAGAAGGGCCCCCTTTTACACTCCACGTACCTTCCTAAGATGGACACTATCCAACGCACCTTCCCTAGTCACACATGTCATGCACACCTTCCCAATTCAAATATCTCCCACACAAGTTACTTACTTCCTTCCTTTCAACTGTCACTTGCATAACCTCAAAATATCTCGTTAAGGATTTGACTATCATTGATCAATGCTATTTCAAGAGTGGATAAAGAACACAGGAACTCCGAGCCAACTACCCTATATCCAAAGCTCAAGTAAATCTATATCCCAGTTAGTACGACAACCCAGAAACCAGAGAACGAGACACATACCTCATAACATAAGGACAGATGCTCAGCCCACCAGAAGAAGTCCAAATAGCCTGCTCACGAACCGGCGTACCAGTCCGAGCAGCATTGATCATCAACTTATCATTGATAAAGATACCAACATGAACAACGTCGTTCTCGCAATCACCACCAGTAGCCCAGAACAAGAGATCGCCGGCCTTAGCCTCTGCGCGGGGATACCGCTTGCCCATGTTGGAGTGATACTGGTCCTGCGAGACACGGGAAATCGTTTTGTCCAATGCCTGGCAGATAGCATACTGCGTCAGACCGGAGCAGTCAAAGCCGCCGCCAGAAGGACCCTTGCAACCACCTCCGCCCCAGACGTATGGGAGGCCCTTCTCCTTCTCGGCTGCAGCGACGATCGCCTCTCCGGTGCCGGTGCTGCCTCCACTGTTGTCTCCCCCACCGCTGCTGCATTTGGCAGTCACGTAGTCGCTGGTGCCGGTTTGAACGTAGTAGTCGGCTACATAGCAGCCGTCGGATGTCTTGTCCCAGAGGTTGTCGCCGAAGATAGAGTCTCCGGTAGTTTGGCAGGTGACCGTGACATCCTGGGCCTTTTTGTATGACCTGACGACCGCATGGCTTGTCCCAGGACCGGAGCGGCAGTTGACGCTGTCGCCAGTGATGGGGTAGGCGCTGACCGCTGTTATGGCGGTCGTGAAGGAGAAGGCAACGAGGGAAATAAAATGCATCCTAAATGGTTTGGTTGTATTTCTTTGTAGTATACAGTCCTTGTTTTCCGTGTTTTGGAAGGACTGAGTTGAAGATGCATCGGAATCGCGATGGACATTGAAGCATTTATAGACGAGCCATTCACACTATGCTACGAGAACATCCATACCTCATTTGCTGTGCTCTTCGTGTTTAACGAGCTAATCCTCGATTCGTATTTTTCTTGCAGCAGGAAGCGAGTCTTCACTCGTATTGCAGCCTCTGATCGTCGCCGTGAAAATCGCGTTATAGACCTCAACTAACCAAGATCTTCACTATTGTTTATAAAAATAACAACTTTAAGAAATATACTCCGTAGTAGGCACTAGCTGGAGTTTGGTTGATCTTTCTCGTAAGTTCGTGTTCCTGAGTTCATACTCCCCTCGAGGCCAGTAACAGCACGAGGAACACGAGAAGTACTATTTATAGCGGATGTAACCATATTGTAGCCCCAGTTAAATAGCCGTATTTTAGCTTTGAATTTATGCAGACTGATGATCGTCATGGCATGTCCCGCATCTTGAATCTCACTGGGTGATGTCAACACTAAATGTTACCTGCAAAAACTGACACGATTTGGTTGATTTTGGACCCATTAACAGAATATGTCACTCTAATTTTGAATGCTCATTTCTACTGGACAGCGACAATGCTGGCGAACTAGGAGATTAGTGGGCACGGAAAAAAAATTAATTCTTCCAGTACACTTGCCGGGAGATCTACCCAGGTACCTACTAAGTTCTGAGTGCTCTTGGAAGGGAACGAGTGTCATTTCCATTTTATGAATGATAAGTTTTAACGATATACTAAAAAATATCGAAAAGGTATCCATGGCCGGTTTAGAACCGTACACTTTGTTGCGGCGGGGAGGTAACTTTCCCGCAGGCGACAGGGTGCTCCAGTGACAATAGTCGGGATAAGTTGTGGTGATGGCGCCCGAGGAGACCCGGGAGCTGGTTGGCTGACTGCAATATCCTCTGGCTATTGCGCCTTTGTTCCTGCCTCCATCTTAAAGGCTATTTCAATGCCTGTCCTGCCTGTTACACATTGATCACTGGGCGGGGGACCAACGAAACAACAACATCAATCCCATTGCCGTAGTTTGGGAGGAAGCCAAAAAAAATGTGACCGCAACAAAGGCAAATTTTGACCCCAAACCTCGCCAAACGCAATGATCATTTGTCCAGCAGAAATCAATGAAATTGGTGAGTAGGGATATGGTGGCAAGGAGAGGGATTTAGTTGTCTTGTTTCCATCTAATGTAAAAGTCAGAGTCTGAGACGGTAACGGCACTAGCGATTTGCATACCTATAGCGGCAGTTCATGCAACAATAGAATATGGTGCTTCCTTCGTCCGCACTTCGAAGCTGCGCTTCAGACCAGGTGGCCTTCTTATTTGAACACTTGGGGCATTCCATTTCCGTTATGGGTCCGTCGCCAATGATTTCTCGGGTGACGATTTGTGTTTGAGAGCGAAGTTTTTGCCGCAGACTTGAAGGAAAGTTTGAAGATTCAGATACGCGTTCGTAAGTGAGCATTGCATCTGTGAGATTTGAATGGTCAGCTCAGAGCAAAGAGGGCCAAGAAAACAGCGGCTTGAACACACTCTTTGCGACTTTCCCGCATAGTTCACATTGCACACCATCCGTAGATGACACAGCTAGGAGATGACCACAATCCTCACAAAATTGTACGACCATGGTGATATGGCTTCGGGAAAGAAAGATAATTTGAGCAGGCTGAGAATGTCGGAAAACTGATGGAGAACTTTTCTGTCGGCAAAAAAAGAAATTGGCGGAGACCGCCCGGGCGGAAACTGTATGATTATATAATAAAGGTTTAGTCCAACCTTGGAGCCTTCCAAGGTTGATTTCTTGGCGTAACCTGTACTACACCACAACGCTAGGTAACGGTGAATTGGGCTCCGAAAACGGCTTCACTTGATGCCATTTTAAGCGTCCGATTTACCAGAATCTTAGTCATTGAATTACCACATGATCAATTCCGGCTCACTTTTCCCATGTGCTCCCTCAGTGGTCCCGGATCCCTCCATGGGCGCTCATGGTTGCTCGGGGATCAGCTCACCCTTCACTCGGGGTACTCAGGATAGATAATCAAGAGTAGCGCCATGTCCCGTCCTCTATGTTATCCGACTGTAACCGCCAATCACAAAATAGGAAAGGTCCTATCGCTGGATGTGAATCAAAATGCAAGTCTTCTATAATAAATTCGCAGCTGGGTACTGGTGTTGATCCTAGAAGGGTAGCTAAAAAGCTATTGCTTTCGCTATAAGGGTCCTCCGCGGTTAACTATATTAAGAGCGGCCATCATCGGTTTAGTCGGCTTGCGTATCGAATATACGTATTAAGCTTTTAGGCCATTACTTAGGTTGGCAGCGATAGCGTCTGCACTCGGAGCAAAGCAAGAACTTTCCCATAAAGGCAAGTTTCTGCGTCGTTAAATAGTTCGATAGGAGGTCTTGCCCACAATATTCTGTGTACTCCACAATAAAAAGCATTGTTTTGCTGAATCCTATTCATTCTGTCCCTCATTTCTCCGCCTATTGCTCGAAGAGCCGCAGGTCGATACATAAACTTGGTTTGCCGAGGTCACGAATCATACATGAAATACCAACAAAATTGGCATTTAGAATGCTATATTGTTAACTTCCTTCCCCCTCCCCGCCTTTCGTTTCTCACTGCACTGGGAAGCGAACGGCGAGGGCGGAGAGAAGCTATCTTCTCTTTATCTGGCAAAGGACGAGAAGTTGACGTTAGTCGTGGCGGTTGGCACAAATCAGCCAAACGCTTCGATTCTTCACTCTTGAGCACCCATTGCTCTTTCCCTTGTATAGTAAGTTTTTCATATGGGAGGGATCGCATCCAGCTGATCCACTTCCGTACAACTTGAATCGCATTTTCCTTCGGAATCTCAAAATATTCTCTGTGGGCCTTCGAGCAACCGGGGCATTTTTTCTCAATTCTCCTATGTTTAAGCAATTCCATATGCACCAGGGCTTCAACCCGACAGATATGTGGGACATTTTGCAAATCCTCGTGGCCGTCGTCTCGGTCAAGATCCGGGAAGTATGCAACGATATCCTTTTTGCACTGTTTCTTCCATTCTTCGAGGCGGCGACCCACGTTTGCAGAGCGTCCAATCTTCAGGTGTCCGAAGTTTCCAATTTGCCAGAAAATGTAGATGAATCCTTCTTGGTTGATTTCGCTCGGCAGGAGAGGCCTATTAACGAGTTTCGTTATATCTTTGGCCACCCCCTCTGCGAGGGCCGTGGTAATATAGGGTTTGAATTCCTGAATTGGATTGATTTGATTTGTCTTGCTCTCAAGGTCTGTTTTTATCCTTGGCAGTGGCGAAACGCTTTTGTCGTTTTGAGAAGATGCCTCCTTGCTTATGAAGCAAATCCAGCTAGCAATGGCCAATAGCCGCCGGTCATGGAAGGGGAAGCTGCCTTGAGGTCCTTGAACCGTCGAGAGTCGTTCAAAATCTGCTTTCCACCCTTCAATGTCACGTAATGCGACCCTCCGGTGCGTTGAACAAAGTGCCTCATTTATGAGGCGCTGGATCTGTGATAAAAGCTCACTAATCTCCACGGAGGCCAAATTCCCAAATGACGGGATGATAGGTCCTGTAGAATGTCGGATGCGGCATCGGGGTCCCTTGGCCGTCCACGCTGGGCATCGTGAGCTATCTTCACTTATATGCTGTATAATCTCAAGAGGCATAATTTTGTAAAGGGACTTTCGAACGCATTCAACTTCAATTTTGCATTTAGTTGATGAGGAAATTCCGAGCGTGCCCAATGATACCAAAGCTTTGCCACTGGGGTTCAAAACAGCACGATTGCAGGAGGTAGTAACTTTGCTGTCTTCACCTTGGACCGTACCTGTAGAGTTTGGTGGAACGGCTTTGATATTGGATATTTCGTTCTGTGGCTTCTGGCAGGCAAAATTATGACTCCCCAGTTTAGTTCTAAACTTCATTGACTTGGGACCTGAAAAGTCAAGATCGATGTCGCCGACATTTCCCGGTATCCATAATTCAACTCTTGTATGCCGGGAGCGCTTCGTCGCTTTTGACCCAAAAAGGGAAAAAAGGAAGCCAAGCTCCTCTGGCGACTTAATTTCCCAATATTCTCTGTCGCGCAATTCTGAGCCATTGTCGAGCGGAGCCACTGTGTTTCTTGTACGCTTACTCAACACTGATGAAAACTTTGTCTCTGGATCGGAGAACGAGGTCCGGAGTTGTAGTTTGCAGGCCTTGGCTCTTCTCGTACGCCTGGATATTGGTAAATGGTCCGCATTTTCCAACTTTATGGTGGACGGATTTCCTTTCTCCGAATCAGCCTTGCTGCCAGTCATTGACAAAGATTTGAGCATGGTGGTTGCAATGGGAGTCATCGTGGTAACCCGGCAAGTGATGTTAAGATCCTTTTCATTGCCGCTGATGACATTAGGAATCAAGCGCGGAGAAATGACGACATTCTCTGTTTGACAATCGGTTTCATGTCCGGACTCAAGTGACTGAGGCCCTTTGTGTTGTGACTGAAGGCATGGGATTGGCGAGAGCATGGTCGTATCTCCCATAACCTATGCTGGTCATGACCATGAAGGGTAAAAAGAATATAGTGAGCAGATTCTACAAGCCAACCATCCATCTCTTATGATAAGCATGAGGGGTTATGGGCCTGTGGGTCTCATGTGAAAGTTGCCTGGGCGCATAAGTACTACCTAGGTAGGTAATGCAGCCTGATACGCTAATGGCCAGGCCGGCATTCCAAGGCCGCAGACGCCAAAAGTCCATTCCGTATCATGTGGGTGCCTAAGAACGAGCCAAGTTTTCAGGAGAGATGCGTTTGTGTTCAACGATTGAAAGTATTAATGCTCCGATTGCACCAAGAAAGAGTCTGCTGAAGGGCAACAAGCGTGGTACAGCAGAACTGGTCAATAGTAGCCTGCCGTGGGGAGGAAATGCTACGGAGAGGGTGAGGATCTGGAATGTGGACTCCGCTCTTGCAAGGGCCAGATGGGGTACGTAAGCATTCTAAGTCGCCTATCCTTCCATAGACACTAGTCTGAGAATCGAGACCCTTACTACCAGGCTCGGGGTTATTCATCTACACATTATTTAGTGAGTAGAAGAGCCCGAACATAATCTGTCGAGAATGTTTTCAAGTTGTATTTCGTAGAAAGAGAGATCGGTCTCAGCTTGGTTTGGCCCCCAGCTGCGATGCCGCTCCCTGCCCCATCACGAGATAGACAGGGGATACGCCTCGTGCTCGACAGGAACTAGGGGAATAAGCCATGACGCGTTGGTTTGGGGGCCAAATCACGCGGAAGCTCCAGGTGACTCGATCCGATCCCGTCAAGAATCCTTCGCAAATATCTGCAGACTCATATAAACGACTGGGGGGCTGTTACTAGAATGACGCTGTCTCTTGTGTGCAAAGTTGTTTTTGAAGCCAGTTGTTAACTTCTCAGCCTGCAAGAAATGGAAGCACATGTGAGGCGATTTAGAGCGTTCCCGTACCCTTATCTGGCGCTAGTACAACCGGGGTCCACATTCCGTAACTCCCCCCCCCACGTCTTGAAACATCGACTGTGTTTCCGTATCGCAGCCAGTTGGTCAAATTCCCTCTTCGCGATAGAATTCATAGGGTAGAGGGCTATGAGCGGGTTTTCGATTTTGAGAACATGATCTGTCCACCCTAACTATGAATTATACCTGGCGGAATAATCGTACATCATAGTGGGATCAAAAATCAATTCTTCTCGTCTGAAGAGGCATTGTTAATAAATTTATTTTTCGCTTTGAACCACAAAAGATTGTTTTGGCTGGACGTAATAGAAGACGATCATATTTCACGGCAATCAAAAACGCTAACAAATAGTTATTATTATCTCCTCCAGGCTCTCCGGCATGTAGGACACGTCGGAGCTCTTTCCAACCACTGATCCATGCACGTTTTGTGGAAATTGACTCCACACTGAGCTTTGCACCACACGAGATCTTCGTATCTTTCCTCCTCATCCCCATTGTGCTCGTCTTCATCGTCCGTGTCATCTCCTGCGACACTGGTATCGTCGGTGGCCTCGTGAAGCGTATGCAGACAAATTCCACAATCTCCTTCAACAGTCCGACGAGGAGCGATAGGAGGGCGAGCGACAGAAGCAACCGCTTGTTCAGTTCTTCTTTGAACGGGCCTAGGAGGAGGGCTACTAGAATGGACATGTGGCGGTGTCGTTCTGCCAGATTCAAAATTTGACATCCGAACAGATGCTTGTGGACGTGCTGCTTCCGTCGCTGTTGTATTGGTCACCACTTGTATGGAGATTGACTGGGCTATGACATCTCTACTCCGAATCCAACTGATTGATCCTGTATGCCGTACAGCTTGAGTTCTTGTCGTATTGGTACTTTGCTGTCTTGAAACCGGCGGTAGTATTCCTCTCTCCCGTGGTATCTGATCTGCGTGACCAGTTGAGCTGGCTCTTGGGCCTTGGTAGTTTGCATCGAGGGTGTTACCAGCATTGGTGCTGGGAGTAGGAGTAAGTACGGTGGCATTGTGCCGGGCGTTATTAGGCACAGCCGAATCGTGATGAGCATCTTGAAGGCGTGCAAGCATTCTTTGCATTTCAAAGATCTCCTTCTCCAACCTCAAACATCGCTCCTCCGAAGTTTGTCGGCGAGCATTCAATGATTCTGAGACGAGAGCATCTCTGGACTGTCTCCTGGGCGACGTGATAGGAGATTGAGAGCGTAGGAAGGAGCGAACTTGATTCTTCCAACGAGTGGCGAGATCAGAGGCCTGGGATTGATGGAATCTTTTGCATAGGACATGAGGAGCGAGATCTTCAAGTATATCCTCGATACTCTGCCCAGCACGAAGCGCTTGAGTGCCTTGGCTCAGAAGATGCATGGCGCAGCTGCGGCCAGGGCCGTTCGTCCGGTAATGGCAGCGTCGACCCTGGGACGGTGCGTAACCAGCACACCAAGGCTCTTTTTCTGGTTCAAGTTTGATGATTTGGGAAAGTTCAGGCAGGGAAGCACGTGCCATATTGTAATTTCTGGAAGACATGATCAATATTTGGACCGAATGTGTGGGTAGTATGCAAAAACAGACAGGGTAGGTCTGTGGGGTTAAGTAACGAATTCTTGCTTCCAGGGAAATCTCGATGACTTTAAGGAACATTATAACGGTTTCCTTTCAATCTATCATCGGCCATCAGCCCTCGGGAGAAGCCTCTGCCCCGCCATGGTTTTGTGGCGCAGCTCTGAGAAAACGGAGGCAGATGGCGCGGACGGGCCAGTGCACGGTTTCACTATATGACGAGCACTTGGGGCATGGTTGGAGGAAATCCGCAGTTGATAGGCTCATTCTGCAAGGTCTGCATAAGTTTGGCGTACCAAGGGGCAGTGGTGCAAAGATGGGTCTGTTAGATTGCGCCTGGCGGTTAGACCCCCTCTATTGATTGGCCCCAGAACCCCGACGATGCGTACAAAAGTACAGGGAAAGGGGGCGGACCATGCAAACTGACTCGCGAGAACTAAAAATAGCTAGTCTTGATAAGGATAGAGAGGCTGGACGTGTTTCCAGTCAACAGGAATGTTAACTTTCATTCGCTCATAGATAATGTCGTCATAGGTCGTGATTTCAGTCTCTGTTCTCGACATAAAGTTGTGGCGGAGTCTCGGGAGGAACCTTCACGGGTTCACTCGAGGGCCAACGCTGCCCTGTACTCCACTCTCGTGGCCGACCGTGAATGGTCACTCAGTTGATTGGTGCCGCAGCCACAGCTTTTCCTTTCTCACTCTCTACCTCTGATGTGATTATTCTTAGATCTCCTTCTGCTCTTTCCACCCTTTCTCAACAGGTTCACGCTGCGAATCGATAGAATCCACCGAGAATTAAGCAGCGTATCCATAGAACGAAGCTCCGAAGGGACATTGACAAGGGCATGGTGCTCTCCATGTGCTCGCTAATAGACCAATTTGTCCAGACCGCGAGCTCTGGTGATCTGGAATGAGATTCCTGAGTTCCAAGACTTTTCGTTGACCACTCTTTGAGAAGCCTTGTCCATGTTACATCCGGAATTTGACATTCGCCTCATTCATCAACAGCGAGGAATGTTTGCGAGAATGCAGATAATGCAAACCAACCTAGGACATCCAAGATTTTACTGTCAGTCGTGTGTTATGCTCTCAATCCTGTTTATGATTGACAGCCAGCGCGGTTGGTCTGATACCATCGGCCCGGCGTAAAAAAATGGTTGCATATGAGACAAAAGGAGATGTATGAAAACCACCGCATCCAAAGACATCGAACACTCTCGTTATCCTCGCCCTGTCCAATCCAGTTATGGAGGGAGTACTACTGACTCGGGAGAAAGGATAAAGTACAATCACCTCCGGGTAATCGGGGTAACTATCGGTGGCTAATACATCGTTATAATAGATATTAGGCGAAACAGGCCGAGACAGCTAGCCAATTTCCGATGCTGAAGATTCATGTATCAATCGAAGAGGTTCGAAGCAAAACGCAAGGGATATATACAATTACCAAAATCCATTACTCTCTTCTTTTGGCATATTATTCCCCAGGCTGTAGGCACTTGCTTGGCGAATTTCTTCGCGAATTTCTCCGGGAATACTCGGTTACTCTGCTACAACTATTGTCCGGGATTCAGAATCAATTAAAGAGTACCTTTGCCGGAGATTCGGTGTAGGCTGCCAGAATTTTTGACGATTCAACGCTACCATAGTGAAAGCAAGGTCATTTGGTTAGCAGAGAGTTAAAGTAGGAGATAGTGAGATTAGACTTAATAGGATATAAGGAGGAAAGCTACAAGGAAAGAATCCTTAGGCTATTATATTTCATTCCTCAGTGCCTCTTTTCGCCCGTCGCACTATGAAGCGATCTGGTTGAGTCGAACAACAGGAAGTTCGAGGAGCGAGACGAAATTACTATAGCAACGCGAGGCTAGGAACACCAGTAGGCAGCAGTGCGATTATCGTCCGAGCATCTGAAATAATGGTGAGGCAAGATGAGATCAAATGGGCCGATTAGCCTGAGTATTCGGGTGAGTGATAAGCTTTCTCAGGGAGCTGCTCATGTTCGCTCCGTGAGCCGATCACTTCCCGGCACGGGCAGTTTTACCATCACAGGTATGAGACTAAAACGCACTTTAGATCTATACATGTCCCTGATACTATAGTACCTTATATTTACTTACTTTTTGACGTGGTTTTCGTATTGCTTCTACATTACAACACTTCTTTTATATAGTAGAAGCAGCTAGTTACAAATTTGGATAGGGGGTATAATATTCAGAGGGATAGGATACCCGAAGTGAGATAATAAGATTGGACATATTAGAAATATTAACATTGATTGTGCGACAAGATCTTAAGACCTTATACTGAATGTGGAGATACATACTCTACTATTTCTAACTTGCCTGGGCGGCTCGGTGCATTTCGTGATACCCTATTTGCTAGAAGGGAAAAGCGGGGTGAAAGGTATTAAAGACCACAGGTTCTCGGCATCAAACATTTACCTCCTCCAAAAGGCAATCGACTTTATCGATTTCCAATTCATCATCATCTTCATCTCCATCTTCCAGCGTCAATATGTCAAGATCCCAAATCTACCCAGTCTACAAAGTGAAATTGAAACTAGCAATCCAAGACCCAGACATGCCATCTACCCGATACCACACAATACTCTTCGTCCAGACAAACGCGCAAGGTCCACGTAGCGGGATTAAGCACCACGTCACCGGCGACATTGTCACAGGCATGCACTACGAGTCAGCAGAATACGACGACCCGGAGACAGACGAGAATTTCTTCTCAAAGGAACTCATCGGACATACCAGAGCTCTCAACTATCCCAAGAACTGGAACGATACTCTCAAGTCTATCCCGGCGCCACCGAAGCAGAAGGCTTTCAATAAAGTGACAATGAAGACAGAGCCCGTCAAGAGTTGGGATCCTGTGACGTTTTACGGGCCTGGAGAGCCTCGTCTGCCGTTGATCAAATGCACAGAGTGGATTGAGGATCAGGCTATTTCGACTTTGATCAATGCGGGCTTGATTCATGGAGATATGAGCGTATAGCTGGTGCTTAATGTTAGAGAGGCTAGTCTCGACACCGCTGTTTCAAAGAAGGGTACATATTCTATGTAGTCCTTCTGGTTTTGATATAGTCCATAGACCATTTCAGTAGCAAGTTTAATATTGTGACCGGCATCCTTCCGATCACTTCAATTTATGCAAATGCCACAAAAATGGACATGACAATGAGCAATATCAAGTAATCTCTATAGAAACCCTCGCACGCCGCACTCGCAGTCTCGGTGGGTCCCTTTAGTGCGGCTCTCGATGTATACAGGAATTCTCTCGAACCTTCTTTACAACTGCGATCAAGGTATGTACACGCTTGACACAAAGTATAGGTCCTACATATAACAGAGAGAAATTTGACAAACAAAGCCGCGAATCAACTACTATATAACCAGAGCTGTACTAGGTGAGACGGCACCTTCTAACGAAAACGCTACCGGTGCTACCTCAGAGCCTCAGAGATATTTAATCGACTTTTCCTTTTGCATAATGCATTATATTAACGTGTGAAGTTACGCATATACCCCCAGCATGGACCCCTTCTCAATCCTCAATCAAGTTGCCTCCGCACCAAACGCATTCAAAGAAAATGAACCCGGTTCACGAGAAGCACTCATCGCACACAGCCACCTCGCTCGTGGTCGCACTCGAAATCCCAAGCTAAATCATCCAGCGCACTTTCTGGACAGAGGTAAAAGGACCAGTTCCCAATTCCATACAACCTCCAACAGTGCAATAAGGAACCTGACATTCTCCCTACTTATACCACAGCCCTCCCAGTCCGCAACAATCCGACTTGCCGTGGGCGTGCGCCTCTTCCAGCAGCTTAAAGAAGCAGCCCCAACACGCCTCACCTCGGTAGCTCTGTCTGAGAAAACAGGCGTGGACGTCAACCTCCTGACCCGTTTAGCACGACACTTAGTCGCCATGAACGTGCTCGCCTTCCATTTAGGTGCGTTTCATGCTACAGCGCTGAGCAACGGTCTCGTCGAGGAACGATACCAGCACAGTATCTTATTCTGCTATGATGCCACGCGGCCAGCCTTCAACGGGCTCCCGGCTTACTTCAAGAAAAACGCATACCAGTCTCCGACGCTGGCCGGCACGTATGGACCCTTTCAGGAGGCACATGGGATGGAATTACCGTTCTTTGAATGGGTCGTTGCGATGCCGCCACAGCTGAGACATTTTAATTCATTTATGACTGCCTACCGTGCTGGAAAAGCGAATTGGTTTGAGGAGGGCTTTTACCCCGTTTACCAACGGCCGATTCGCGGGTCTGATGCGGAGATTGGCGAGGCGTTGCTGGTTGATGTTGGCGGTGGGCGGGGTCATGATGTTATTGCTTTCGTGGCGTTGTATGGAGATCTGTCCGGGAAGGTTTTGCTTCAGGATCGTGAGTCTGTTGTTGCACGTATTTCGGAATGTGCGGAGGGGAGGCCGTTCGAGGTGCAGGCTTATGACTTCTTTACGCCGCAGCCTGTGAAGGGGGCAAGGGCTTATTGTTTTCATTCCATTTTGCACGATTGGTGTGATGAAGATAGTGTACGGATTTTGAAGGATGTGGTGCCTGCTTTGGACAGGGGGGTTTCACGGGTTCTCTTTAATGGGATTGTTATTAGCGAGGAGAAGTCGACGCTTGCGGCTACGAGTATGGACATGATGATGTTGGCGCGTTTTTCGGCGAGGGAGAGGACGGAGGTTGAATGGAGGGAGATTCTGGAGAGAGTTGGGTTGATGGTCGTTAGGATTGTTACTTATCCTGGTGTTTCGGAGAATTTGATCGAGGCTGAGTTGGCTTAATTGATCTTTTATTGCCTTCTAAGTGTTTTCGTATTCCTGATGTGGTTAGTCCTGCTGCATGACACTTTTCAGTCTTGCACGGGCGGACTCTGATATGTCCAGTCTTTAATTTTTCTTTGTAGCGTCGAACAAGATGTCGCAATGGTCGCCTGCATTCCAACTCTGCCCGCCTTTCTTCTGAAACTACGTTCGAATCGAAGTCTCCATATCTATGGTTACCGGTAACTAACACTCTGGTTCTCGGTCATTAGACTCTTCGTCGGGGACTCTGCCTGGTAAAATCAACCAAATTGATATATTACCGAAAGTGATAGTAGTCAGGGCGAGGTATCCTGGATGAGGGAGATTAGTACGGAGAGCGATAAGGAAACCGAGGTAGAGAATGAGATAGGTAGGGAATTGAGGGAGGTGGTTGCGGCAGATTCTCGCAGTGCGCGATGGTATCACAAAACAGAACATCGTCCGCAGAGACTCTACGGATACATGATAGAACGAAACCTGGACTCTCACCGGCCACTGATGTTCCAGTTCATTTCTTTTTCTCTTGAAGTGACCAGCCTGTAGCATCGTAAAACATAAAAATAGCATCGAATCACCCATCCGGTCACAAAAAGATATTCAACGACCTCCCCTTAGATTGCCATATTGGCACAAGTAAAGGCAGGCGTGACAGAGCCTGAGTAGTCAGCAATGATCGCCTCAACGGCTGCATACAGCCCAGGACCCAGCAAGAACAGCCCAACGATCATGATGATAATATTGAGCAGAGTCATAGCAGTCTGTCCCAGATTCTTAAAGAGGGACCCCCGGTTTAGCTGCCAGTATGCGAGGGCGAAATAAATGAACCCGAAAAACGAATCAAAGGCAGCACTGAGCAGGGAAAGGAAATCACCCATGCTGGGAATGATCTCCGCAAAGACGAACCCGAGTATCCAGATCCCGACCATGATTACCCCCCACACACTCCATCCAATCACGGTGTGGCTGTGCGAGTGTCGGGACTTGCCGAGGACGCGTGTGTAGATGAATTTCCCGGTTACGTTGGCGTAGATCACACCGATGACTAGCGTGGGGACGATCACGAAGCCGAAGGATGCTTTCTTGTATGAGACCACTCCCAAACTGCCGAAGGCCGGAGCGGTAGCGTATTGGCCTAGGTACCGGAACCCAATGGCCGAAGGGACGATGAATAGGATGGCGGATATGGCGGTGAGAACGGCCAACGCTTTAGGGAAATCTTGAGGTCTTTCCATCTCTGAGATGAAAGTTGGGAACAGAATTTGGGGGACCCAAATAAAGGTAACATTCATCACGGCGTTCATACAGGCGACCCATGTGGTGCCTGATAGAGGGAAGGCATAGGTCTTTACGGGTCCGTCTGCCGGGTAGTTGCCCTTAGGTCCATAGAGAGGGGCTTCTTCGACACCAGCAAAAACGAGGAATAGAATGATTGCGATACCCATGCAGGCGGCTGCGAGATGGTTAGTTGTTGGGAGCTCTGGAGGATTTAACGACTCACATGAGAACATTGACATGAAGCTAACATGTTGCAATGTCCGGGGCATGGACATGACGATTCCCATAATGGCCACAATTACTGAAAAGACCGCAGTGCATAATGAGTGGTCTGAGAGGGTATTCAGGACCTTGGCGCCAGTCAAGACGTGAAACCCGATGAGAAGAACATTGTTCGCAAGCATCATGAATGCGGAGAAGACGTAGGCAGATTTGCTCTTTCCAAACACATGATATCCAAAGTCGCCTGTCGTAATTGAATTAGTCTTCATTGCAAGTAGGAATCGGGGATATTTGGACTGCCGCGGACTCACAGATATCCATGATATGAGGATTCTTCATGATATACTTGTGCATCGTGATCGAGGTGACCCAGAAGAGAAGTCCGCAAAGGAGCATAGTGATGATTCCCGGAACCCAACCGAGGACACTGAGGGGGCACTCCTGTCAGCTTCATTGAAAGCACGTATTCGAATAAGATGGTTTCTCACGAGAGAGACCATGACTGTGCCATAATGGCCAAACAGACCTGCTCACCGGCAAGCAAACAGGCCGTCTTCTGCCACGACATAGTCCGAAGCTTGATATCATGTTCATGATCTGGACGAAAGGTAATGTAAGCTTAGTCCGACCTATAACGCAGCGCAATCCGTACCTGCGGCGACCAGAGCAGTGATGGTATCAAAGGAGTCTGTTCCATCAGTATCCGTGTCCAGGACGCAGCCCAGTTCCTTCTTGTCGTCCTTGCACATGTTTGGGCAAGATGATGAAGGTGATGGTAACAAGGCAAGTCTGCCTATGTAGGCAGGATCAGCGGACACTGCATTATAAACAAATGAGAGACAAATTACACGTGGATCTCAAACCTTTTCCCTCTTCTTTTCTTGCTTGTTTATTGGCTTGTTTTTTTGAGTTTTGCCTTAGCGTTAACATGGTATCGTGGAAGCCAATCCGGACAAGGAAAAAGCGCAACTATGGCGCCATAATTAAGATCATCGCGATATTGGCTTTAGTCTTGTCAACTTTGAATGCTTAGCTGCATTGCTTATCGGCCATTCTATGGGCCTGGCCCAATTTAATTACATTATTGAGTTTGTATTTCGGTCTTCTGATTGGTTGAATGTTAAATTGTTCGAATCAGAGTTGGTGCAATCAACTATGGACACTCCAAGGCGACGAATGCTTCGAATATTTCCTGGGAGATTTCATATATATTCGCCTCTCGTGAACTCCCGTATGTATAGCCCCTAAATCATGACCATTTCCGAAAATTTACCACTTTGCTATCCACAGATACGTTCGGAGTAACTACAGCTTCGCACTGGTTGAGCCCCGGTGGCCTTGCACAGCCCGATCAACAATCTCCATTGCCTGGAAAAGCTGATAGTCGTGCTGCTTAGGAGTGACGACCTGTACACTAAGGGGTGACCCGAGGTACACCCGGCGGTCAACCGTTTTCTCATCCCCTTAATCAAAACGAATTAGCGAAGGAACAACTGTATATCAAGTGTCGATATCGAAACTTACACAGCTTCCGATTAGCCTTATCCCAACTTCCCAACACAGGCGCCTCCATTTCCCGTCCAATCTCAAGATCTGATTCCGCGAACGAGCGGACAGGAACCGAGCCAGCCGGGTAGTCTAGCAGCACAAAGGTCGAGGTGTACCCAACGGCATTGTAACGGTCGATCTCCGGGACCGGGTGCGGCGCCACAGGGCAAATTATAGCGTCGACGCGTCGGGCGACAGATGAAGCCTGTGGTGACAACGTCCACATCTTCATCATTTCCTTCTCAATCTCAGTACGCTGAGCCTGCAGCGTCGCCAGTTGAATCAACGTCAAGTCCTTGCCGCGCTTCATTCGGCCTTGCAGCCACGGAATGAGGTCTTCGCCCATGCTCTCGATAAGGTCAAGCATGTGGGACCCGTCGTCGATGCCCATCAGCCGGCCAGCGAGGGCTTGGCATTTAGGTAGGACCGGTGGAAGTGGAATATCGACGACCTCGATGCCGGGCGTACGGCGGAGGCTGTTGGCGACTTCGTTCAAAATTCGGGTGATCGGGGGTAAGGGTGTAACCAAACCATCTGTCTTGAGAACACCAATAGTGAAGTTGTGCGGTGGAGCGAGAGCAAGCGGTATTGATTGTGACGACCATGAGCCCGGAGTGCAATCTTCGCCGAAGAGCTCGGCGCGAGGGACGATCTCCGCCATAATGGCGTTGATATCCGCAACAGAGCGAGCTAACGGACCAGCCACCGCTTGCAACCCTATCCGGCCCTTACCTTCGATTTGACCGCTCTGTTGCCCTCCATATGGCACGCGTCCGTTACTCGGCTTGAACCCGTAGATACCCTGGCACATAGCTGGTACGCGGATGCTACCACCAATGTCCGTGCCGAAGCCGACCATGGACCCGCGCATGGCGATCAACGCGCCTTCCCCGCCAGTGCTGCCACCGGCAGTCCATTTACGGTTGAGAGGGTTCAGCGTGCGCCCGAAAAGGTGGTTGCAGCTGTCCAATGTTGCAAGTGTTTGTGGTATGTTCGTCTTGGCGATCACTACCGCGCCCAGAGACTCCAGCAGGTCTACTAGTGGGGCATTCGCTTTTGCAGGCTTGAATGCCAGGGCAGATAATCCGATGCTTGAATCGACGTCTTTTATATTAAACGTGTCCTTCACTGACACTGGGAGACCATGTAAGGGGCCTACTGGGGTGCCTGTGCGCTGGAGGTGATCGTCCAGCTCCCGGGCTCGTTGCAAGGCGCGGTCGAAGAGGGGTTCGGTTAGACAGCGAGTAAGTTGTTGGGCGATGGCTGCTCTCTGTAATAATCCGAAGATATTAGCACCTTCATCGGAGACAATCAGCCAACATACGAGCACACCTTGCAAAACCCGCGCACCACGTCCGCGGCCTTCAAGTGGCCCTGTGCAATCTCTGCCACAAGGCCCCGCACATCGTATTTCTCTGTTATTTCCAATTCTTTGGATGTCAGTAGCCCACATGTCCGTGGAATATCCATCACCCCGACTCGTTGGTAACTTTTTGGGCCAACTGTGATCGACTCGGAGATTGAGAGCATCCCCTCAGGAATGACATGTGCGGGAAGGCGCCATTCAGCAGGGATAGCTCTAGCAAGCTCAGCTTGCTTGCGCTGGGCAATTGCCACATAACGGGGTTCTTGGGAGGCCATAGTGGATGTGTTATGGAAAAGATATCGAAGTGGAGAGAGGTGGTTTTTAATGCGGGGAGTGTGGAGAAAAGCCGCCTCGGCCTAGGGAGGTAGTTACCCGAGGTCTCTTTTTGCTGGCTGATCGGGGAAGGTTACATTTTGAAACCTATACATGCATACATACATATTGGGTACATCCAGGTGAGCGATATGTCTTTTTTGGCTAGTCGAGGTCTAAAATTCCCTAATCGCGGTAGACCACGCCTGTATCCTGTACCATCTTCGCAGCCTTATCGTCTTTATCACGTCCTATGGATTAGGAGGTAAAGTTTTTCTAGAAATTCCAGCTTCAACTTGATAATGGGGTTGACATTGGAACCTTGATCAGGATCAGGTTAGTATTTCAAGCTTTATTTGTGTCAATAAGAAACACTCTCCGTGGACACCATAAATCAAAAGTTTAGAGTCTTCCCTTGATCACAGCTCCACCATCTGTCGCAATAACCGCTCCATTCAAATGACTAGAAGCCCTAGAACCGAGGAAGACCACCAAACCAGCAATATCCTCAGGCTTTCCAAGGCGACCATTCGGCGAGAATTCCTCAAGATGCTTCATACCACCTTTTGCCTCAATAAGCCCAGTAGCCATCTTCGAGGGATAGAACCCCGGTGCAATAGCATTGGTCAAGACATGACGTGGCCCAAGCTCAACAGCCAAGTTCTTCGCCAGATGGATAGCAGCGGCCTTGGAAGCGGAGTAAGACGGTGTTGCATTCTCGCCAATTGCGCCAATCCCAATACCTGCCACAGAGGCCGTGATAATGACGCGGGATGGATCTGCGAGGGTTGCCTTTGCTGTGAGGAGAGGGGTGAATCTGGTTCGATGTTAGAACCGCTTCTCATCTCTATTTTGGGCTGGGCTAGCAACATACTTCTGGATCGTGTAGAACACGCTCTTCACATTCAAATCCATCACTTTTGAGAACATCTTCTCGGGGTGGGTATCAAACTTCTCGCCCCATGTTGCGCCAGCATTGGCGAAGAGAATATCAACACGGTCTGTGGTCTTGGCCACCTCAGCGACAAGTCGGTCTAGCTCTTTCATGTCGGAGCTGTCTGCCGGCACGGAGATGGCTTGTGCGCCGGGCCGCTTGTTGGGGATGGCATTGAGAGCTGCGACTGCTTCGTCGCAAGCTGCCTTCTTGCGGGAGGTGATGTAGACCTTGGAGCAGCCGGCTTGGAGGAGACTGCAAAGATATGAGAATATGATATTGGAAGACATTTCAACGAAGCGTTAGAGAGATACATACCCCGAGGCTGCATGTAGTCCTAGTCCCCGGGAACCGCCTGTTACAACAGCGACCTTGCCCTCAAGGGAGAAGATGCTGGAGAAGTTGGAAAGTTTGACTTGCTCTTCGACAGACATTATGGAATTGGTTGTAATTCAATTATGCTCAAAGAGTGAATTGAGGAAAAGAGGTTTGGTTCCTCAAACTGTTTGTATTTGTACATGCCGAAATGACCGAGGCCCGTTGACACTCCCCGACCCCGCTTGGCCCCTTGACCCCGGGAAAACCTGAGGGGATTAATAATCTACACATAAATCCATGGATACTACCTAGTCAACTGACTATTTAATCGTCGATTATGTTACTGTGCACTGGTGGACGCGCGCTAACGCACGCTGTAGGCCCTAGAACGAAGTGTTAACTATCGCAAAAAAGTCAAAATTCGTGGCAGTATTGAGCACTAGGTACATGTGTCACAAAAACCAAGCTAAACAAACTATGTAGATTGAAAGGCTCTAGACAGCGAGTGTTCTGTGTGTAGATCACGCAATCTTTCCGTCTTCACGAGATCTAGGTCAGGCGAAAAGCGAAGATTGTCGATCGTGATGTCTTGGACTAAAGGGAGACCTTGAAAAAATCGTAGTCTGGAAAGCTGAACGTAAAGAGAGCAGTACTTTCTGTGAGAATCTTGGCGTCGGGAAGTATCGTTCTTTAGATCTAGGATAAAACACGATAAGGGGGTAGTGCAGTGCATCTTCCTCGCCCTGGAGGGTCTTGCGGAACGTCTGACTGATCGAAGGTAGTCTCTATTCGACAGCTGACGAAAAACCCCCGTTATGTGCCTCATATCCGGGTAGTATTTCTGTCCAAATGTCCTCGTTTCCTCTCTCGTGTATATTAAAAATATCGTGCTGATGATTCGCGCCAGTTGGCACTACCTGCGTCGTGTCTTGATGCCCCAGCCGCTGGCTGTCTCCCTCGTCCACCCAGGCACCTTGTTGTAGCTGTCCGTACACAGGTGCTTGCGAATCAACATTGTCTCTCATAAGCCAGTCGAAATCCATGTCCAACAGCTCACTCACATCCTGCTGAGAAGAATGTGCGGTATCGTGCATCGTAAGATTCCTTGCATTCGGCGACTGTACTTGTCCAGAAAGAGCGCGGCTGAGGTTCGCCCAGTCTAGCAACATATCTATTGCAGGGTAGCCTGCAAAGGTCTTAGCAGGACCTGGTACAGATAGACATGGCTCAGCCATGAGGGCCTGCTCCCTTGCCATCCTGGCCTTCACCATCAGTTCTCTCACAGGCCGCCGCAAAAATGGACGCCGGGGTTCTGTTTGTGCGTCGCCAACTTGTGAGTCCACAAGTACGTCAACGGCCTTCCAGGCACGCTCGACAAGCTCACCTTGAGTTCTCTTGCGTAACCCGGAGAGCAGGGAGGTAACCGAGTACCATTGGACATACGTGCCGAACAGCCAGCTCCACTTTTGGACACGAGGATCGTTGTTAAGTTGGTTTGCGTATTCGACAACCTCAATGGAGGCAAGGAAGAGCTTATCCTTGATCTGCTGAGACCACCTCTCGCTGCCGTCGACCCCTCGAAAGGAGCGGTATGCCATCAATGACATTTTTGATAGAATAAGACGTGTGAGCGTTGCAGCGACCCAGACAGGTGGCAGACTTATGTTGGCGTTTGCGATATATGTCTCCTGCATCCTTTGGCTGCACTGCGCAATCCATTCCTCCTTGCGTTCGTCAGCCAGCGCTGAGAACGAGATGTTAGGCTGTGCGGAACGTGAAGGCACATGAACGATACGCCTGAAAACGTTTGCGAGCTCGAAGCTAACGAGACAAAAGGTCATATCAGTGTACCCCTTGCGAGATTCTGGAAGCTCAGACATGTCGAGGTGAAGGTCGGCGTCGTTGACATTCAGAGGCATTTGGGTATCAAACTGAGTCTCGACAATAGTGGCATCGAACCCATGATCTTCCCTAAATGATGCTCATGATTAGCTGGGAACTAATGATCCGGCCGGAAAAGAGAGACTTGCGACGCCCTTGCATCTAAAAGGCACACCTGCCACCATAGTCTCCTCCTCATCTCAACATCAAATGGAGCAAGACGGAAGTGAACGCCATCTCTGTGCACTCCCATCATTCGTGCGATCCTTACGACCAGCCCTGTCAATGCGCATACCATCTTTGCGTCGTCGTTCCGTCTATTTGCAGTAAGGAATATGACGAAAGCTTGCAGTACAGTCATATCTGCGGTATCGAGGAAGCGTGCACGGGTAAGTGCACTTTCAATTGCGAAACGGTACCGGGCTAAGAGAACAGCTTTGGTTTCACCGAGTTCTCCAATACAGTCCCTTGAAGTGAGAGACGTTACGACGCCTACACGTCATTGGTTAGGAAGTAGGAAAAAGCCGAGGCTGATTATGCAACGGGGAACTTCGTACTGTAACAAATAGCGAACATCAAAACCTCAGTTCCTCTCGATAGGCTACCCAAGCGATCCTGCGCTTCTGATATTTTTGGCTCCATCGTGGGGATGTGAAGTACTTTCACGAGTGGATCGACATTCGTTTTGAACAGGCTCCATATGGAGGGTATTAACTGACGAGGGGGATGCAGTGTCGCCATATCGACGTTGCTGTAAGGGTGGCCAAATACAAATCTCCGACCAAGCGTTGTGTCTTGCAGTGCTGAGGGGCAAGCCCGTTCATCTTCGGTGTCAGAAAGCTCCACCAGGCTGCTCTTGAGATCCTCAACCTTCGTGCAGTTAATTACGATTATTTTTGTACGATGCTTCACGCAGGACATACCTCTTGGTCTATACTTGTCCAGAAACCGTTGTTGATGTAACGGCTTCCCCCCTCACTAGGGACCAATTTGCCGACCCCATGATCTGGCGATGAGTTCACGCACTCATCGCCTGATAGCACTTGTCCATGATGTTTATCCCCTCCCAAGGGGGTTGGCCTCGAACTGCAGACGTTTGACACCTTCCGCCACTGGCGGAATAATTCAGATTCATCATTCTCTTTTAGAAACGACGGCAAATCGCCTCGCTTGATATCACCCCGCTTCGGAAATTTCAAGGACGATATAACATCTTCTAGTCGTGTCAGGCGCTCGAGCATGTCGTCTGCATGACGTTTACGGGGCTTTCGGGACGATGTGCTAGAAGAAAATGTAACACACTCAATATTGGCTCGCACACAGGTGCCGCAAGGATTCATCCTGTCGCCTATATGTCCAAGATTATGTGAGATTGGGCCAAGAGGTTTCAAGAAACGTATAGGAAATAAGACTGGGATACACGACTTTACATTTAACCTTTTTCTTTCCTGCAAGCAGCGCAAGACCAATTATTCTGCGAGCCAATCCCATTGGCTGTCCCTTCTGTGTTCATAGCTTCGTCTGGAATCGTACTTGACGTTGAATTCTGCTGGACATTATGCAGTTGGTTTCGGCTGGGGCAATGAGCTTCAAGATGTCGCTCCATCATTACATGTGGTCCAGTTGAGTCTGGCGGTTGTCTAGATACCTTACTGGTAGCGAAGCCACGAAAGTCGCGCAAAAGGGTTCAAAAAGAGGACGTTGCAATCTGAGCTATTAGATGATAATCTTTCACGTGATCACTTGCCGCCAACAACCTTTTACGCCTGCGAACATGAAAATTGAGAAATCATGAGCTGATACGGACACGGAGACTATTCCTTTTACTCTGGGTAGTACCATCTCTCCTCACTAAATGGTTTAATTTAATCCATAACGACGGCTAAATGTGCCGCACGAACAAACACCAAATATATGAATATTCTTTATCCAAACGATGATTCCTAATTTGTAAATGTAGGACTGGAATAACTAGAGCGGCGCGCAAGCTGCGGCCCGGGCCAGTACCTATGTATGTCGTGAATTATATTCACACGATGGAGTGTGCTCGAAAAGCAGTGTCCGGAAAGAATTAGTCTCTGAAAAAAGAATACCATACGTTTCTCCCCCCCCCCCAACTCGGCGGACAACTAGTATTTCTTTACAAATAGCTAGCCCATGACTCCCTCGAGACAGTTTTCTTTGGCATTCCTGGCGTTATCCTTGTCCCGACAGCGAACGCTTCAGCTTGTCAACCCGTATTCTGAGAGTTATTTATATTGAAATCGGTCGAGAGTCAACGATTAGTCTTGCTGTCCCAAGGGATGATTGCCGCATTTTCGTGCAGGGTCTTTTTAGCGAGGCTTTTCAATAAATGATTTGTGAAGTGTGAATGGGAGCTGATGCCATTGATCAGCTTTGTTATAGAATTGCAGGCGTATTCTTCGCGCGGCGCTCAAGGACAATTCAAAGTGTTAGCAGGGTAACCCCGTTGAATGTGCATCTCAGGCAAAAGCCTAAAGGACTTCGAGTAGCATCCGCCGACAGTAGATACAGGCTGCCACCACATGAGTTTCGGTGTCTCGGACCGGAGGTTCTAGGTAGCGGGACCCGCCAGCTTTTCCGTCCTTGGTTCTGCCAATAGGATGGATGCCAAAGCAGGAAAGGGAGCGGACCCGGACTCGGCTTAGCAAGAGGCCGAAATTCATTACGTCATGTAACAATGCGGCCCCGGGGATATACCTGTAACACGGAGGCCGAGTCCTGGCGACAAGTATGTCTTCGCGTGGCCGCTCCGACGCCACTTTCTGCATCTATGGATGCCGGACCATGGGGTTGAAAAGCGGATTTCAGTGGGCTCGTATGCAACTTAAGTTCGGAGAGCTGGAATTGAGTCATCGCGATAACCCGAGTTGATTGTTTACATACTGTGCTTTTTCGTGCTTCGCCAGTGCAATTTATTAGCCTGAAATTCAATGGCTCCCGAATACATTAGGATTTTTACCAACTTTGCACCCGTGATATTTGAATCCATCATCACAATCGCTTCCCAACAAATCCGCGCCTTACACCATCGGCTCACCTACCACGCCTCTTCAGATGCCCGCAATGTGGTAGTGATTGGAGGGTCTTTCGCCGGCCTCCAGCTAGCCAAACGGCTTTCCCAAACGTTGCCTTCTGGTTTCCGCGTAGTTGTCGTGGAAAGGAACTCGCATTTCAATTTCGCATTCAATTTCCCCCGCTACTCAGTTGTAGGGGAGGAGAGAATGGCGTTCATACCCTACAACGATGTCTTCCGGGGAACACCCGAGGGCAGTTGGGTCTTACTTAGGGACACGGTAACTCATGTTACTGATGGAGAGCTCTTGCTACAGTCTGGACAGAAGCTGCCATTTGATTACTTGGCCATTGCTACTGGCTTACAGCAACCCTTGCCAGCGAAGACGTTATCACCCCATAAAGATGAGGCTTGTGCGGACCTAAGGAGCCTAAGGATGAAGATTCAACGGGCGGTAAGGATAACAATCGTTGGAGGTGGAGCTGTAGGAGTGCAACTAGCGGCCGACATCAAAAGCGCCTTTCCTGCCAAGGAGGTTGCACTGATACATTCGAGGGAAAGGGTATTGAATAGTTTTGGAAAAAGGTTGAGCAATTTCGTGGAGGCGAAATTGGACGAGATGGGCATCAAAGTCATGCTGAAAGAGAGACCACATATGCAGTCAATGCATATAGGAGCTGGAGCCGTATACGGCGGCATTCAAAATGGCGTGGCTTTAGTCTTCCAGGATGGTAGCGAAAAAGAGTTCGATCTGGTTGTGAGATTCCCCTCCGTCAGTTACTGCGAGTCGCGAGCGCATTGCTTGTTAACTATCTCACTGCGAACAGATTCCATGTGTTGGCGCAACGCCGAATACGAAATTCCTCTCCTCTTTCGTCCCATCCAACTTCTCAAGGACAACAGGGCGCATACTGGTCCGACGAACTCTGCAGCTCGCGGATGACGCTCACCTGAACATTTTTGCTCTCGGCGATGTCGCCGAGACTGAAGGTCCAAAGATGGGGAGAACCGCAATGGCACAGGCTGAGCTTGTGTGTAAGAATATCTTGGCATTGATCAAAGGGACCAAGCTGCGCCCGTACGAACCTAAGGCGATTGACGGCATGTTGAACTTAACCTTAGGCCTGGTGGGTTTCTAACGTGTCATATCCCTTATTGTAATTGTTGGAAAGAGTATGATGGGCTAACTCTGCATCTAACCAGCAGCATAATGTAATATATGTCAAAGACGGAAAGGGCGCGGACATTATGGTGCCAATCAAGAGTTCGAATCTGGATTTAGAAGTAGCGCAGGCATGGTGGTATCTCAATGGGGACATGAAAGCCGAAATTGTCAATTAGTATGTCAAAGGTAGTCATCTTTATACAATGTTTGCGTTCGAACCGAGACAGCAGAGCCCTTTAAGCATATATAGTTACTGATATGAAGCTGAAAATCGCTGAGGGGACCGTATACAGTGGGCATGCTTTTGTAACAAGAAAACGTAAACCGTTAGTTTGCACAAGGACTTGAGCAATGAAATTCGGATTGACTGCTTGAATATGCCCGATTTCTTTTTTATAGCCACAACTGTGGGAGAGGCGAATTAGACTTCCATAACAGATCCTTAAGAAGTTGGCGAAGCAGCATATTTCTGGTACGTCTAAAGCCGCTATCACTTTGCTAGGCTCAAAATTCAAAATGTAAGCAGATCGACTAACCAATTCAGTTTACACGAGCAAACTGCGATCTTTCAGCTAATCCACTTCGACAATCATATTCCTCCTTCTCTCACACCGGGGCCTTTCCAGCCTACTTCGCAGTTCCTAATGCATGAGACTCCTGACTGATACCAGTTGCTCGGCTGCTGCTTTCATGCTCCGGGATGCAGAATGGCTCCTGATTGGCCACATTGCAGGCGTGGGATGGCGACGAATCGGTCTCTGAGAAAGGCCGCTCCGAGCCCATCCCTGCAGCTAGAGACCGACCTACCAGAAGTGGGCTTCGGGCGTCGTCGACAGCCACATTACCTCAGATAATAAAAGCCCCACGGGCTCCGCGCTCCATTACGGGGGCTACGGACTGCCGAAGCCACCGAGACATGCGGGTCGAGAAGGAGACGGCTAGCGGCCCATGAGACGAGACGGCCTAGGTGTAATGGACTTCTGCAGAAGTTGAAAGATTCGCGACTGTTCGAGTATGGTTAGTGAGACTTCCAGCGATTTCGATCATAAATAGTGCGCCGATATCTCGCCTATCGATGTTGAGCCTACCTGGCTTACGTTTTGTTCTTTTATTTCCAACGGAAAGGCGTTCCCGCTTTCTACGGCTATCCCGACGTCTCAACGATAAGATGGACACTCATGCCTCTACCGATGGGCGTGAATTGCACAGAGCATTAGGGGCTCTCGAAACCCGACTGAGCAATGCGATCAGAGACTATGGAAATGATTGCGCCAAGCGTGGTTATGGCGACATTCAGCAGCGGGAAAAGGTTCTCGCGGCTGCCAAAGCTATCGTCGAAGAGGCCACTCTGCCTCAGAGCGATGGCTGGATCAGTCAACCAACTTCACCGAGATTGTGGCGGTCCGACTGTTCATGTATTGGGGAGTTTTCGACCTCATCCCCTTGGACGGGAGTATTTCGTATGAAGATCTCGCCCATAAGATAGACGCTGAGGTCTTGCTTGTTAGTAAGTTACATCCGCCCTGGGGTCGTGCTCAACCTTTGGTAGTGAGCAGAGCTTACCCTCATAAAGATCGTATTGCTTGGGTGCTGGTAGCAACCGGCGTTCTGGGTCAGATTGGAGACGATCGTGTGACGCACACAGCTAGGTCGAAGATCTACCTGAAGGATGATACTTTCGGGAAGCTTTTCATCATAATGTAAGGATGATATTCGGATGGATATGCGCCTTGCCTGTGGAGACGGCAGCTGCGAAGCTAATGTGGGACGATATACACCCCACTTTACCTCGCCGACCGACGGATCAAGATACACATATTCTAGGACGTATAGGGCGATATAACATCGTCATTGCTAGCTTGCCGAGTGGCGCATATGGCACCACTTCAGTCACAGCGGTTGGGATGCAATTGCTGTCCAGTTTTCGCGCCATTCATATCGGTTTAACGGTGGGTATCGGCGGCGGAGTACCAAGAGCAATGCAGATACTCGACTAGGGGATATAATAGTGAGCCAACCGAGGACACTTCTGGAGGCGCGATTCAATACGATCTTTGTAAAGCGTTGAGCGAAGGTCATTTCCAGCGGACCGGGATGCTTAACCTGCCTCCTAAGAGTATGTTAATTACGCCAGCCTGACTATTGAGGATTTAGATAGTAAAATTCTCCGCCCGACGACAATGTTAGATGGAGCGAGTTACTTTTTATATGAAACCTACTCAGAATTGCCATTCATCCTTAATCCCTTACTAAATATATGTTTCCGACTTCTATACTTGGAGGCTGCAGTTTCTTCCTGTCGGAGCATACACTAGCTCCAAACCAGTTCGTCCATCTTACCTCGAATTATTTCTAAAAGCCTGCTGCACTATTTTGGAGTTGAAATTCTTAAGAAATCGAAAGGGACACGGCCAGGATATTCCATACTATTGCGGTCTAGCGCCATCGGGTCACCTGATGATGAAGCTGCGAGAAGCCCCTCATTCAGCTGAGTGACCTTCAAGTCCCTTGGTTGCAAACTACGATAATCAGTGGGGCTTCTATCATGGCGTCCACATCTTACAGTGGCACAAACCATGGACTGCAGATTGGAAATAACCATGGTCCTGTAACGTTCCACCAGTGTAGGTTTGATCGCGTCTCTCATGACCTGATATCATAAAGCTTACATAGTTTATAGCAAACATTTCTGAAGACATCGATCGATTTTGCCTCCAGAATCTACGCTGCCCTGACTCACTAGCCGTGAAACATCGTTTGACAGAGACCAAGGACAAGTTACGCCGTCAATCATTTGAATGGATTCTCCAAGATCCGCAGTATCAGAGTTGGCGAAATGGAAAAGAAATTTGTCTGCTTTGGATCAAGGGCGGCGCTGGGAAAGGGAAGACCATGATGTCAATTGGTCTTATTGACGAGCTTTCACGGGTACAACATGAGTCTACTGTGTTGAGTTATTTTTTCTGCCAAAATGCCGACAACGAACTCAATACCCTTGAATCTATCCTAAAGGGTTTGGTTCTGAGGTTAGTGAATCAGCAAACAGAGCTGAAAGAAGCTCTACGATGCCGCTGGGATACTAAAAACGACCGTTTTAATGAAGACATGACCTCGTGGAGAAATCTCTGGAACATGCTTTTGGAGATGTTGGATCGGTGTACCGCATCGAAGATATATATGATTGTGGATGGTCTTGATGAGTGTCAAGATGATGGCATGGCCGACTTCTTGAAACTCGTCGTCCGGAATGGACTAGACCACCCTGCCAAAGTCAAATGGCTCTTGACAAGTCGACCATTGGATAGCGCAGAGCGGGCATTGCTAGCCGGGAATGACCAGGTGCAAGTCAGTCTGGAGCTCAACTCAAACTACGTCTCTGAAGCTGTGAAGGCTTACATCGCTTATAAAGTGGATGAGCTCAGTCGTTATCACAAATATGGGCAAGCACTAAAAAGAGAAGTGGAAATCGAGCTTTTAACGAAGGCTGAGAGTACCTTTCTATGGGTGAGCCTGGTCTGTAAGAGGCTTGAGAGTGTCCACCAAGATCAGGCATTGACCGCAATCCAAGATTTACCGCCAGGCCTATATCCTTTCTACGATCGGATATTAAATCAACTGAGCGAAGGAGAGCCAGATGATGTCTATAAGTGCATACGACTACTTAAGGTGATGATACTGGTATACCGACCTCTGAAGATGGAGGAAGTTTCGGGTCTGACTAGCCTGACTAATGAATACGACACTATTAAGGCGTTAGTTAATCGTTGTGCTTCATTCCTCAGAATGCAGGGAAACAACGTCGAGTTTGTTCATAAGTCTGCTCGAGACTACTTGGCCGGAGAGAACGGAAAGTCTACACTTAACGCCCACGAGCGCTTCGGACATTTTGAGATCTTACTAGGTTGTTTGTCTCATTTATCTAAACGCCTTCAGGTCAACCTCATAGACCTACCGCGACCTGACTCAACCAGAGAATCTTGGAAGCCGGTGAAAGACGAGAAACAACGTGTCCAACTATCTTGTCTGGACTATGCGGCTACCTTCTGGGTGCAGCATCTCGGAAGCATCAAGCCAAGCATGATAGTACAGACCGGGCTTATTGAGAAGGGTCTTGTTGGAAAATTCCTTCACACAAAAATGTTAGAATGGCTAGAGTGCATGAGCCTACTAGATAGGCTACCACAGGCCATTGAATCTTTAGCTTCATTGATGAATGTAACAAAGGTTAGCATCGGACGTTTTTTGATATGTAGAGCCTTCGCTAACAAGATCATCGAAGGGGTACCCTTTAGCATTGGCACTTGTGCAGGGTGCTACACGCTTTTTATTACGACATTACCACATTGTGAATCATTGGCCATTGCAGATCTATACATCTGCAGTTATCTTTAGTCCCGAATCAAGCGTCGTGAAAAGGGACAACTTAGACAAAATGCCAGCATACATGAGAAAAGTGCCCAACATGGAGTACAGTTGGGCGTCTCTGATACAAACACTGGCCGGCCACTTAGGACCGGTCAAGGCTGTAGCCTTTTCACCAGACTGCAAGCAAATCGCATCTGGCTCAGACGACAAAACCATCAAGCTCTGGAATGCAGCAACGGGTAGTGTTCTGAAGACACTAACGGGCCACTCGGGGCCGGTCAAGACTGTGGCATTTTCACCAGATGGCGATCAGATCGCATCTGGCTCTGATGATAAAACCATTAAACTTTGGAATATCGCAACGGGTAGCGTTGTGAGGACACTAACGGGCCACTCGGGGCCGGTCAAGACTGCGGCCTTTTCACCAGATGGCAATCAAATAGCATCTGGCTCTGACGATAAAACCATTAAAATATGGAACATCGCAAAGGGGATTGTTCAGACGACACTAGCCGACCAGTTGGGCCCGGTTGAGGCTGTGGCCTTTTCACTAGATGGCAAGCAGATTGAATTTGGCTTTCATGGCAGAGCTATAATGACCTGGAACACCGCAACGGGTGAATTTCAATTTCAGAAGAGACTACCCCGACACTTAGACGGGGTAAATGCTGTGGCATTTTCGCCAGACGGCAAGCAGATCGCATCTAGCCCTAAAAGTATGAGGGTCAAGCTTTGGAACGCCGTAACAGGTTATGAACAGAAGTCACTAGCCGGCCATTCGGGTCAGGTCAACGCTTTAGCCTTTTCACCAGACGGCAAGGAAATTGCATCTGGCTCTGATGACGGAACTATCAAGCTTTGGCATACCGAAACAGGTGAATTTCAGCTTCACAAGAGACTACTGGGCCACTCGGGATCGGTTAAGTCTATAGCCTTTTCACAAGACAGCAAGCAGATTGCATCTGGCTCTGATGACGAATCTATCAAGCTTTGGAATACCGTAACAGGTGATTTTCAGAAGACGCTAGCTGGCAACTTAGGTCCGGTCAAGGACGTGGCATTTTCGCCAGACGGCAAGCAGATCATTTCTGGCTCTGAAGACAGGACCATCAAGCTTTGGGATACCTCAACTGGTGATCTTCGAAAGACACTAACCGGCCATTTGGGTCGGGTCAATGCTGTGGCCTTTTCGCCAGACGGGGAGCAGATTGCATCTGGCTCTGATGATGAAACCCTCAAGCTTTGGGATACCGCAACGGGTGATCTTCAGAAGACGCTAGCCGGCCACTCGGGCCGGGTCAACGCCGTGGCCTTTTCACCAGACGGCAAGCAAATATCATCTGGCTCTGATGATAGAACCTCTAAGCTTTGGAATACCGTAACGGGTGATGTTCAGAAGACATTGGTCTACTACTGGGGTCCGGTCAGCGCTGTGGCCTTTTCACCAGATGGCAAGCAAATTGCATCTGGCTCTGATGACCAGACTATCAAGCTTTGGGACACCGCAACCGGTGATCTTCGGAAGACTCTAGTGTGCTGCTTGGGCAGGGTCAAGGCTATAGCCTTTTCACCAGACGGCAAACAGGTCGTATTTAGCTCTGACAATACAAGTATCAAGTTTTGGGATACCGCAACTGGTGGTGTTCAGGAGTCAGGAGCCGCGCACTCGGGTCGCATCAACGCTATAGCATTTTCGCCAGACGGCAAGCAGATCGCGTCTGGCTCTGACGACGAAACTATCAAGCTCTGGAATACAGCCACCAGTGATACCCAGAAGTCACCAGCCAGCCACTCAGAACGGGTTAACGCTATGGCCTTTTCGCTAGACGGCAAGCAGATCGCATCTGGCTCTGATGACCAAACTATCAAGCTTTGGGATGCTGCAACGGGTAATCTTCAGAAGACACTAGTCCCGCGCTTGGGCCGGGTCGAGGCTATAGCCTTTTCACCAAACGGCAAAAAGATCGCATTTAGCTCTGACAACGCAAGTATCATTTTTTGGGATACCGCAACAGGTGAATTTCAGTTTCTGAAGAGACTACTGGGCCACTCGGGTAGCGTCAACGCTTTGGCCTTTTCGCCAGACGGCAAGCAAATCGCATCTGGCTCCGAAGACAGAACCATCAAGCTTTGGGATACCGGGACGGGTGATCTTCGAAAGACACTAGCCGGCCACTCGGGTCGGGTCAACGCTTTGGGCTTTTCGCCAGACGGCAAGCAACTTGTATCTGGCTCCGATGACGAAACCATCAAATTCTGGGACATTGCCAACTCAATAAAAATCCTAAAGATTCTCGGGCGCCATGTTGGTAGCCATTTTAAGCTCCGATCATGGAAAGAAATCAAGACATCCAAGCCGGTGTACAACATACAATTTTCACCAGATAGCCAGTACCTTTCAACAGACATTGGACCAATCATGCTCAGAGCTATGGCTACAGTGAAGCAGGATGGGAGTTCTAGTACTTTACAAAGTCTGTTAGTCAGAGATCAGTGGATATGCTATGGAGAGATACCTTTTCTTCGGCTGCCCGTCGATTCTAAAGCGGTATGTTACGTGGCCCACGGCGATCAAGTTGCCATTGGAAATGGAAATGGTCGAGTCTTGCGTTTTGACATCGATAGAAGTAGCATTCAGTTAATGCTAGAACACACTCCGGGTATGATGTTCTAACAAGCTGGTGGATTTTTCAGTTGCTTTTCATTTTCTACTTTATAGTCATCATCGAAATCGCCTTGACTAGTACACACTGAGAAACTGTTTTTCTGGCCCCGCTGCCAAGGCCGTAGCGTAGCATATATTATATCGTATATCGCACTTATAAAATAAATTAAAATAATATTTAAATATAGTATAACTAATATAAAGCCGCTATTTATATAGTTATTACTCTATTAAAGAGATATATTAGTTAGATTACTAGATGATTATAGTAGACATATTAAAATAGTGATAAAAAACCGTAATTTATCAATATTATATAAGCTAAATTATATAGCTTAGCATTGCCTAATCCGGAAAATAATATAGAGAATAGGTCGAAATGGGTCGAAATGCGTTTTTGTCTAAAACCCACGATAGGTTTTGGGTTAGGTTTAGGCCTTGACAAGTGCAGCTGCACCTCGAGAAATTTGGTGCAATTGCCCGGTGCAGCGAACCCTGGTGCAGCTGCATCTCTTGGCAGTGCAGCCAGGTGCTGCCAAGGCCAGATTTTGCCAAGAAATTACCCTATTCGGCTTGATACCGCCGACCTGGTAACCAATAATGCCGTAATTTACATAAATTACATATATAAGTCACGGGATAAGCCGAATTAGGCAATGTTTGTATTGTTTACAGTGCAGCTGCACTGCAGCCAAAGTACCGCTGCACCGAACCTCGCCCTTGGTGCAGTCGGCTCCTCGATACCCTCAGAAGGACTTAGCCCGTATAAAGCCTGTCAGGCAACGGTACGGTTGAGAGACAGATCGTTGACGTTGGAAGCAGAGAAGCATCAGGCAAGTATAACCTAGAAATCCTTTTCTTTTCTCTCGATACTACCAGCCTTCGATCCATGAATCGTGGAGCTTAATGCTTGTTACTCGACTAGGATTGACAATGGGCTCGTGCCCTTTGCTTCGTTGATGAAGTACTTCGACAGCTACGGTCGCAATGAGCCTAAGGCGATGAGGCACAATCCATGGTCCTTTGCCGCGGGGGAGCCGGAGAAGACAGCGTGGGAGATTATGGGTAGAGACCCGGAGAGAGTACGCCAATTTATGGAAGGTATGAAGGTGTTGGAGAGGTCTATACCCGTAACTGGCGAGTACGACTTTACCTGGGTCGTTGAGAGAGCGAAAAAGTGCCCCGAAGACCGCATTTTGTTTGTCGATATCGGTGGTAGCCGAGGCCACGCAACAGCGGCCATCTGCACAGAGAATCCCGGTATTCCAAGGCGACGTTGCATTCTGCAGGACCAAGATGAGGTCCTCAACGAGATTCGAGCTACTGATCTGGAGGATCTGCGTGAAGTACAATTGATGCCGGTGGACTTCCACCAAGAGCAACCTGTCAAGGGTGAGTCACTCCATATGGCTGGCTTTAACACTCAAGCTTGTGTTATCATAGCTTGCTATTACTAATTCAAATTACTAGGTGCTCTAATCTACTACATCCGCCACTGCCTTCATGACTACAGTGACGACTTGTCGGTCAACATACTGAAAAACATTGGTGATGTTATGGCGCGAGATAGCAAGCTTCTGATTGTGGAGGTTTAATACATATTTCTGGCTCAGGTTCACAACACCCAGTACGCACATACATATGTAAACAGGATGTGAAGTTAATTTGCGATCCTGAATTAGCTTATGTTGACTCTTCCGCCACGCAGACTGAACACTGAACTCTATTTCTGCGTTACAACAATAATAGGATGACTGCGCAGGCCGAATTGAGGTAGAATCTATGACCGTCGAGACAGCATCGTTCCTAATATATCTTACTCGGGGCCCCCTTGAACGTTCGCGTTGACCTTGTGATATCCCTACTCGAGACCTTCATCATCATCAAAGAATTATTAGCTCGCTGAGCTAGAGGGACGAATTGGGAACTTGACAGTAGAGTATACGTTCAGGTCACAGACAGTAGTGCATTCTTTGTATGGGCTTTGTACAGTACTATACAGTATCTGTGCTACGCATTCTGGAGATCCTCTTGAGGACTACATCAAAAACAGCCACCATTGACCTTCTTGTCTTCCATGCACTTCAGATCTAGCTCAGCTATCTGTTTCAAATTTTCTGCATAGGCGCATTATCTTGGGGGATCTGATTTCTGACTTCGCCGGCATGTTCGTCCTGCGTTAGGGCCGACAGGGTGTTGAAGTGAATTCCATCAACGAATACTGTAATAAAGACGATTATCAATAATTGAGTATGAATACTATCCGACGGAAATAACTAAGCGATATCACATTACTCAACAGTGACCCATTTCAGTAGGCAACTGTCAGGAAGAGAGTCTAGAGATCGACTGTATGGAATAA